GAATGCATGGCTCCTAATTCCTTGATGTCTCGCCTCTAAAGCCAGGTATGGTCCTCGCTAGCTGTGTGCCTTTCTCCTGCACCCCGATTTCTTACTTATAAATGAAGGAGCTGGTCTTGTAGACATGAGACCCTCTCTAAAGTCCTACCCACAATTTCTGGAACAGCTAAGAGTCCTGTTCCCAGGATGCCTCTGGTTCACCCAACGGCTTCTGACTCTCTGGTCCCTGCCCCTGCGGAGTCTGCACACTGGACGGGCAAACTATTCATCTCAGAAAAGCCCCGGGGTTTCAGTCTCTGCCTGACTGGCCACCCAGTTCCTGAGTATGAATTGTACAAGGATGGGCATCATATGGCTTGTAGGCAGGCAGACGGAGGGGCCAGTCAGCTGTTTCTGCTCACACACAGGGCATTTCCTAAACAGAATCTCTCCAGAGTTTGGGGAGCCTTAGCAGCTGGGGTGATAAGGAAAAAAAATGTCACCAAGATGTCTAGACAAGGACAGTCCTCTTGAAGGTCAAGCAGAATTGGAAGCAATCTAGGGATGGATAGGGTTTCTGGCAAAGGGATTGGCTAGAGCCAAGGGGTAGGGTTGGGGGTGGGACTGGACACAGGAAGTCTTTTTTTTTTTTTTTTTTAAGGGAAAGGGTTTATTGGGGAACACCCTACAGACCGGAGTGAAGGGGCAGCGAAGGAAAAAGAAAGAGAATATAAGAGAGAAACAGAGAGGAGAGTAGCTAGCAAGGAGAGAAGATAGAGCAGAGAAGAGGAGAGCAGAGCCAAGAGACCAGAGGAGGAGGCTAGAGAGAGGAACCGAGAGAGGAGTCAAGAAAGCACATGTTCAGGAACAGGCCCTTTTAAAACTTTGCCTGAGGGTGGGCGGGGAAGCAGGAGCAGCGAATCCCATTAGGATGGGGGTGGAGCCTGGCTCAGGTAGCTGGGCCACTCGGCAACCTGGCTAAAACTTTGCCAGTTTCCTAACATTCCCCCCTTTTGTTTTTTATAAAGCAGGATTTGTATGGGGTTACATTAGTCCCAAAAGTCCGGGAGGGGTAGAGGGACGATGATCTGTCTTTAGAGCTACTTCCTGCTGACATGGGGCGATGATGTACTCTTCGCTGGTATGGGGTGATGTCTCAGGCCGCTGTCTCCTGGGTGGGGAGCGGAGTATAGCCCTGTAGCAGCATTTGGTTGACTGCCTGGTTGCTGAAGGCCTTTGTTTGTTCCATTATAACATGCTGTAGACACTTAGACACTGTAGTATAAAAGACAGGGTGAGAATAGTAACCAATGATCCTAAGAGTAGCATTAACCAGGTAATGAGAGGATTTTATAGAGGAGAGGAAATGGAGAGGTCTCTGGACCCTTTTGGGCACAGTTTGATGGATGTGGCTTAAACTGATTCCAGCTCAGACTGGGAAAAAAAGCCACTTAACTTTTACAGGTAGCGGGGTTTGTCTGTAGAGAAAATTTGAACAATCATACAAGTGGGGAAGAGGACCATTAGTACACACAGGTTGGGAGTAGAGCCACTGGTGGTAGAGTAGAGGCTATGGTTACAAAGGAATGAGGCCCAAGTGGGCTAGACAGGGTCTAGAACAAAGGACAGAATCATTAGAGGAGCTAAGAAAGGTGCTGTCTAAGCTACAAATAAGTTTTCTGATTGAGAGGCAAATAGAACCTGATGGAAGGGGCTTGATAATAATCAGGTGGGCTTTAGGCCCAGACCTATATCTCTTCACATAGGGTACATCCTAAGGGAGGTGTGAACCTCCTTGGGGAAGGCACCCTGTTGAGGAAGTCTTTTTTTTTTTTTAAGATTTATTTATTTATTTGAAAGTCAGAGTTACACAAAGAGAGGAGAGGCAGAGAGAGAGAGAGAGAGAGAGAGAGATGTCAGTCTTCTATCCACTGGTTCACTTCCCAATTGGCCACGACAGCCGGAGCGGGGCTCAATCTGAAGCCAGGAGCCAGGAGCTTCCTCTGGGTCTCCCATGCGGGTGCAGGGGCCCAAGCACTTGGGCCATCTTCCACTGCTTTCCCAGGCCATAGCAGAGAGCTGAATCGGAAGTGGGAGCAGCCGGGACTGGAAACAGCGCCCATATGGGATGCCAGCACTGCAGGCGGCGGCTTTACCCGCTGCGCCACAGTGCCGCCCCAGGAAGTCTTGATAACAAGTAGCAGTGGAGTCAGCTAGCTTCAGGAAGGACTGGATCCGGGAAGTGCAGAACCCACAGAACCCAGGCCATCACTTTCTCTGGCTGATTCTTGTATTCTCTCATCCTCACTGTGTTTTTGCTCTCTCAGTCTCGAATGTAACCTCACTCTGCATGCTCCACTTCTCAGACTGTCTCTCTGACTGTATTTCCGTTCTCTCTTACTAGGACCCTTGCTAGTTCATTATTCTCTCCCTCTCACTGGTGCTCTCTTCTCTTTGTAGGAATCCTTGGTTCCTCTTTGCAGGTCAGCTGACTCCACTTCTCGGAGCTCAGGAAGAAAATAGCTCCCCTACTTACATCCTTGCAAGCCTGTCTCGAAGCCTGAGTCTGATTGGCCCTATTTGAACTGGGGCTCCATCTGTAGTCCACTCAACTGTGGTCATGGTGGAGTTGAGGCATAACGGGATAGTCCTATTACACAGTCCTGGTTTCTGGGGAGATGAGGGCCATTCTAGGAGAAAAGAGTCCTCCTGAGTGAGGTGACACCCCAAGAGGTGAATACTTCCGGGGGACAGTGAGAAGATCACCGTGGGGTTACTGAGAGTTTAGGGTTTTCATTTCCAAACATGCAGGGATTAAAGTATATCAAACGCGATCTGTATGACACCTGCAGTTTGGAACCCGTTGAGTTTTATTTCATGACTTAGTACTTGGTTACTTTTTGTAATTTCCACTTGTGATGGGAAAAAAGAAAAGCATTTTGGGGACAGGTGTTTGGCACAGAAGTTGAGACTTTGCTTGGGAAGCCCACATCCCATTGGGATAGTTAGGTTCAAGGTGTTGCTCAGTTCCTGATTCCAACTCCCTACTAATGTGCACTCTGGGCCCAAGCTACCCTGTGGGAGATCTGTGCTGAGTCCCCGGCTCCCGCTTCACTTGGCCCACCTCTGGCTGTTATGGGCATTTGGGGAAGGAGCCAGTTGATGGGCACTCTCTCTATCTGCCTTTCAAATACATTTTAAAAAATTCCAGAAGTACATGGGAGGGGTTCAAGCTTCTTGGTACACAGACATGCACCACACTTGGTAGTCTATTTGCTTTGTTGGCTACAGCTCCCTCAGACATCAAGGAAAGGTTTTTACCCACTTAAGTCTCTGCAAAACAGGAAGTTCTCCACTCTACCAATTCAGCTCTGTTTCATATTTCATTTAGTCTCCAAATTAACTGATGCTTGGTAGTAACTCGTATACAAAGTGCTAGAAGATCATGTTTCCCATCCTGAATAATAGTTAATCAAAGTAAATGCATATCTGGTTCTTTTTTTAATAATTTATTTATTTGAAAGAGTTACACACAGAGAGAAGGAGAGGTAGAGAGAGAGAGAGTTCTTCCATCCTCTAGCTCACTCCCCAGATCGCTACAACAACTGGAGCTGGGCTGATCCGAAGCAGGAGCCAGGAGCTTCTTCCGGATCTCCCACAGGGGTGCGGGTGCAGGGGCCCAAGGATTTGGGCCATCTTCTACTGCTTTCCCAGGCCATAGCAGAGAGCTGGATCAGAAGAGGAGCAGCTGGGAAATGAACTGGTGCCCATATGGGATGCTGGCACCACAGGCAGCAGGCTTTACCTGCTAAGCCTCAGTGCCACCCCTGGAGTTATTTCTATGGTGTAAATTGTGATCATTGTTTAAGATGTTGAAGTATTTTTATACAGGGGTCAGCGCTGTGGCACAGGGTGGCGCAGTTTGGAATTGCATGTTGTGTAAAATTATTCTAGTCCATGAGTTTACAATATTGCAAACTGTATTATGTCATCTAGTCCATTGCTTAATTTGTGTATCATTTTTCCATGAATGTTTATATTGTGGTTACTATGTTAGCATAACAGTATTCCAGATAGCTTTGTGTTGGGTTGCGGGTTTTTTTGTTTTGTTTTGCTTTTGTTTTTTTGTTCTTTGCATAAAATATCTTACTTTATAATGACGGGATTGCTTTTTCTTTTCGATTTGTGGTTTTTGAAGTGAAATTTAATTTTTTTGTGCAAGTACTACTATATACCCATCTTGAGTGTCTTACTTGTATCAGATTCCATACCCTCATTTAATTCTTAATAAACTGTTCACTTGTTAAAAAAAATGGGGGTGCTGTTGTGCCACAGTGGGTTATGCACACCAGCATCAGAGTGCCAGTTTGAGTCCTGGCTGTTCCTAGCTGCTCTGCTTCCAATACAACTTCCTTCTATTGTACCTGGGAATGCAGGGGATTATGGCCCACGGCCTTGGGATCCTGTCAGCTATATAGGAAACCAGGATGGAGTTCCAAGCTCCTGGCTCTGGCCTGACCCAGAGCTGGTTGCTGTGGCCATTTGGGGAATGAACCAGCAGATGGAAGACTTCTTTCTCTCCACCTCTCTGCCTTTCAAGAGACCTTGGAAGAAGCTCTTGGCCCCTGGCTTTGGCCCGTCGTTGCAGCCATTTTGGGGAGTGAACCAGCAGATGGAAGACCTTTCTCTCTCTGATTCTACCTCTCTCTGTAACTCTGCCTTTCAAATAAAGATAATTTTGATGTGTTAAAATGAGTATTTAAAAAATCTGCGGGGCCGGTGCGTGGCTCACTTGGTTAATCCTCCACCTGCGGTGCCGGCATCCCATATGGGCACCGGGTCCTAGTCCCGGTTGCTCTTCTTCCAGTCCAGCTCTCTGCTGTGGCCTGGGAAGGCAGTGGAGGATGGCCCAAGTGCTTGGGCCCTGCACCCACATGGGAGACCAGGAGGAGGCACCTGGCTTTTGGCTTCGGATCGGTGCAGCGCGCCAGCAGTAACAGCCATTTGGGGGGTGAACCAATGGAAGGAAGATCTTTCTCTCTCTCTTTCTCTCTCTCTCACTGTCTAACTGCCTGTGAAAACAAACAAAAACGATTGAATAAAGGTGGAGGACTCACATTTCCTGAATCCAAAATTTACTATAAAGCATAGTAATCAAGATAAGTGGCACTGTCCTAAGGAGAGACAATTGAGCAAGAGAAGAAATAAATCCCACATTGTTATGGGGCCTCAGGACCTCATATACACATACCGTAACTATTCTAAAAACACTGAACCCACCTTCTGAGAAAAACAGCAGTTAGTATTATTATCACTAACAGAATCGCAGGCCTGTGGAAGCAAGGGGCGGGTCATGTTGAAGCCCAAATCAATCTCCCCATTCAGAAAGGGAATGAAAGGGAGTGGAACTGGGCAAAGAATATGACAGAACATGACAGGTGCAGAGGAAAAGAGTGGGGACCATCCTGTGGGCTTGCACCTTGAGAAATCCTGCCTTTACATTCACCAGATGATCAAAGACAGCTGCTGAAATGTCACGGGAGGCGTGTCATTTAACACAATAACGCAGCGTAAGGTAACTCCCAGGTCAGTGAGAGCCAGTCTGTGAAGGTCCCAGTTACAATGGTGGCTGCAGTCAGTCCTGTTCAGCTTTATCAGGGACCCTAGAAAGATGGTCCAGCAGATTTTTTTTTTAGTAGAAACAATTGTTATGAGGTTGCAAGTTACTATGCCACAGTCATGCAAATGCTGTCATGTGCTGTTAGCATGTTAGGCAGCGTTAGAAGCTTGCTGTTAAGCAAAAGGCGAGAAATCTTTCACTGTGCATGGTTTTAATATTTGCAGTCAAATGATTTTCATCAGGAGTGCTAAGGTCATTCAATGGGGAAAGAGGAGTCTTCTCACCAAATGGTAGAGTCAACTGGATAGCCACGTGTAAAAGAATAAAATGGGATGCTTACCTCACACTGGATACAAAAATTATCTCGGGGCTAGCACTTTGGTGCATTGGGTTAAGCCACTGTCTGCAGTGCTGGCTTCCCATATGGGTGCTGGTTGGAGTCCTGGCTGCTCTACTTCTGATTCAGCTCCTACTAATGTGCCTGGGAAAATAGCGGGTCCCCTCCATGTGAGAGACCTGGAAGAAGCTCCTGGGTCCTGGCTTTGGTCTGGCCCAACTGTGGCTGTTGTGGCCATTTGGGGAGTGAACCAGTGGATGGAAGATTCTCTCTCTCTCTCTCTCTCTTTCTCTCTCTGTAATTCCATCTTATAAATAAATAAATAAATAAGTCTATCTCTGCCTCTCCCTCTTTAACGTTCAAATAAATCATCTTAAAAAAAAATCCCAAATAAATCAAACACATACATGTTAAAGCTAAGACAGAGACCTCTCTCTCTCTGCCTCTGCCTCTCTGCAACTGTGCCTTTCAAATAAATAAATAAATCTTTAAAAAAAAAAGTGAAGACAATAAAATTCTTAGAATGAAACATATATATAATTCTTCATGACCTTGGATTAGACAATCATTTTTTAGACACCAAGGCATAAGCAACCAAAGAAAAATCAGACTTTATCAGAACTATAATTTTTTCTTGCTTCACAGTGTTCCGGGAGTGGAGAGTAGGAAGGCAAGGAGCAGGCACAGGCTCTTTAGAGCCTTAGGCGACAGGCTGAATGCAGCTCACAGAGACTTTAACAGTGAAGTTGATTATAGTAGAAATAAGTACACTTCTTAAGAGAGAAGCAGACTGAAAACCAATGCTCAGACAGGCTGAGACTCAAGGCCCCAGATATGAAAAATATTGTGTTTTTATAAGGCTGCGAAGACCCCTGGTGTAGAGATCCTCTGTTATCTATCTATACAGCTTCTAAGTGAGGGTTTTCAAGCTTGTAAATTATTTTTCTCTCAGCTTCCCCAACTAGTCCCCCTCCCCCTTTTTGGTCTCCTGCCTCAAGGTAGGTGCAGACAGAGACAGACTATGAAAGAGTTTTGGAATTTGCTTTTCTCAGCTTGATGAGTTAACCTTTAGCTGTCTCCTGCCTCAGTTGGACACTGTTTTTTAAAAAGGGAAAGGACTAACCCACAGCATGGGAATAAAATATTTGTAAATCAGGTACTGATAAGGGCATAGTATTCCGAATATATAGAGAACTCATAACTCAACAATAAAAAGACAATCCCTGTTTTAAAATAAGCAAAGGATTTAATAGATATTTTTTGAAACAAAATGTACCAACGATCAATGAGCACATGAAAAGACACCCAACATCACCAGCCATTAGGGAAGAGCAAATGGAAGCCACAGTAAAAAACCACTTCACCCTCACTAGGGTGACGCCACAAGACCAAAAACATCAGTGTTGGCAAGGATGTAGAGCAACTGGGACCCTCACGCATTGCTGTGTGAATTAGCGTGGAGCAGCTGCTCTGGGAGTTTCCTGAAGGTTAAACATAGAGCAGATTAAACACAGGCATCTCCCGCGGAGGCTGTGGTTAACACGACTGCTTTTAGCACCTCCCTCCCAGGAGTTACACAGCTGAAAAGCTGTGTTATCTACGCACCCACGCTGTCTCTGGTACCTGTGCCCTTAGAAAATACAACGCTAGGGCTGGCACTGTGGCGTAGTGGGTAAAGCCGACGTCTACTGTGCCAGCATCCGATATGGATGCTGGTTCGAGATCTGGCTGCTCCTCTTCCAATCCAGCTCTCTGCTATGGCCTGGGAAAGCAGTAGAAGATGGCCTGAGTCCTTGGGCCCCTGCACCCACGTGGGAGACCCGGAAGAAGCTCCTGGCTCTCGGCTTCGGATCAGCCCAGCTCTGGCTGTTGTGGCCATTTGGGGAGTAAACCAGCAGATGGAAGACCTCTTTCTCTCTCTCTCTCTCTTTCTCTCTCTCTTTCTCTGCTTCTGCCTTTCTGTAACTGTGCCCTTCAAATAAATAAATAAATATTTTTTTAGTTTATTTGAAAGTCAGAGTTACACAGAGAGAAGAGAGGCATTGAGAGAGAGAGAGAAAGAGAGAGAGAGCTAGCGAGCGCTGGCTGACATCTTCTACCCGCTTGTTCACTCCCCAGTTGGCTGCAATGGCAGGAGCTGATCTGATCCAAATCCAGGAGCCAGGAGCTTCCTCTGGGTCTTCTCATGCGGGTGCAGGGCTCCGAAGACCATCTTCTACTGCTTTCCCAGGCCAGCAGAGAGCTGGATTGGAAGTAGAGCAGCCAAGATTAGAACTGGCGCCCAAATGGGATGTCGGCCCTGCAGGTGGTGGCCTTACCTGCTACGACACAGCGCTGGCATGAAAATAAATAAATCTTAAAGAAAAAAAAAAAAAAAAGAAAATAGCAACACTATTGCCTGGCTCTAGCTTCAAGATGTAATACACCATCAGTCAGCAAGGCTGGCAGAGAAGATGGAGCTGTGTTGCTGTGGGGGTGTGTTCATAATTCATAGGTGGAGAGATGTTGCCCCGTATTTCCAGATCTGAGATCCCCAGCTCAAGGGCCTAGTGGCCAGGTTACATTGCAGGCAAGGCTACTACTTGCAAATGTACCCCGATGGAGCTCTTGATGGAACCAAGGATGACAGCACCAATTCCACAGTGTTTAACCTCATCCCCGTGGGACTGTGCATCGTTGCCATCCAGGGAGTGAAGACAGGGTTGTATATAGCCATGAATGGAGAATGTTACCTCTTACCCATCATGCTTTTCCTTTAGGTGTATAGAATTAAAATCAGCCGTAGTTAACAGTCACTGGTCACCAACATCCCCTGCAGATGAACCAAGCACCTCAGCTGAGGACTGCCCATCTGGGGACAGGGAAGACAAAGCTATAACCAAGCAAGATTCCAAATTCAACCAGTTATCTCAAAATGCCCTTTAAAAATGAAAATTCTTCCATTCTTTACCCCTTGGAGTGGGTCACTGACCTTAATAGCTATCTCGAATTTAATGATATTTAATGTCTGAGTATCCTAAGAACCTACGATACTACATACATAATTTTTGTGTACAAATAATACACCAAATTTTTATATATACACAGACCCATATTTAAAAAAAAAAAAAAAAAAAAGATGTGTTACACCAGTTAAGCTTCAAGAACCAGAACTGCTGGAATCCAAGGAGTCAAAGGGGGAAGCCATGGGGAGCTACTGCCATCTGCCGACCATCTGCCTGAACAGCAGGATGAAGGACGAGGGGGAGACCAGTGCCGAGGTCACACCAGCCCCAGGGGCAGGCCCAGAAAGATGGAAGATGGTGAGCACCTCCTTGTAGTCCCCTTGGCCTTGTCACAACACCAAGGTTTGGTAGAAAGTCCCTGAGGGAGGAAGTGTGGCCTCTGGGGGGAATTTAAAGAAGAGACCTTGAGAAATACGACCAGACGCTCTGTCCTGACAGTGGAACCATACCTTCTTCAATTCTGCAAATAAAATTAGCATCTCCTGGCTCCAACATTCTAGTAAGACAAATAGATCCCTGTGAGCCACTGTAAACTTTTATCAAAACTTTTAGGGGAGGGGGTTCAGTACATCTTAGCAAATGCAACAGCAATTCTTTTTTTTTTTTTTTTTTAAAGATTTACTGGGGCCAGCACTGTGGCATAGCGGGTAAAGCTGCCACCTGCGAAAACAGCATCCCATACAGGCACCGGTTTGTGTCCTGGCTGTTCTACTTCTGATCCAGCTCCTTGTTAATGGCCTGAGAAAAGCAGCAGATGACGGCCCAAGTGTTTGGGTCCTACCACCCATGTAGGAGATTGGATGAGGCTCCTGGCTCCTGGCTATAGCCTGACCCAGCCCTGGCTGCTGATGGAAGATATCACTCATTCTCTCTCTCTTTCTCTCTCTGACTCTTAAATAAATAAATATTTTTAAAACCCTCAGATTTCAAAATAAGTAAATATTTTAAAAAGAAGATATAATGATTCCCAACAGATTGATGGCTCTCTGAGAATCTGTACCAGAATTTCTGGTTAAGGAGAGGGTGAGATTTTTATTTTTATCAAAAGGCATCATGAACCAAAAAAGAAAATATGGTGAAACACAGTTTTAAAATCTAGAAACTTGGACTCTATTCTGTTTTGACTCACTCTGTGACCTGGTCATATCCCTAACTTTCATAGACAGGCCTGTTTTCTCATCTGAAAAACACAGTGCTTATATGGGATGACTCACAGACTCTCATCTGTAAAAATATTTGTCATGCAACTCCCTATGTTTACAATGCTGGAAGGTACAATCAAGTATAAAAGAGCTTTATATAAAATGAATGTATGGGAGCCAGTGCTGTGGCGTAGCTGGTAAAAGCCGCCTGTAGTGCCGGTATCCCATATGGGCGCCGGTTCAAGTCCTGGCTGCTCCACATCCAATCCAGCTCTCTGCTAATGGTCTGGGAAAGCAGTGGACGGCCCAAGTCCTTGGGCCCCACATGGGAGACCCAGAGGAAACTCCTGGCTCCTGGCTTTGGATCAATGCAGCTCCAGCTGTTGCAGCCAAATGGGGAATGAACCAGCAGATGGAAGACCTCTCTTTCTCTCTCTCTGCCTCTCCTTCTCTCTGTGTAACTCTTTCAAATAAATAAATAAATATTTTTTAAAAAAAGATTAAGAATCAGTTCCTTGAATGAAACTATTTGAGCTGGAAAATTTCTCTGGACTTTTTTTTTTTTAAGATACGGAAGTAGAATAGCCGGGTCTCAAACCAGCACCCATATGGGATGCTGGCACTTCAGGCCAGGGTGTTAACCCACTGCACCACAGTGCCAGCCCCTGAACTTTCTTTTTAAGCATTACTAACCTGTCAGATAAGCTACGTAGGCAGGTATTTGCCATTTCTTTCCTGATAGCAGGTCCATTTTACCACAGGGAGAATCTCCAATGCCCCCATGTTTCTGAATCCAGAACTTGAGAGGATGGCCTGACAGGAAGGGCCCAGGGATTATCTATGTAATGCGGAGCAGAAGGAAGGCCCTTGTGGGCCTCTGGGACTCTACCACTCTTTGTCCAGACCCCAAGCTCTGCTCCATCTCATGTGTACTTGGCCATGCCCTGGAGCAAGGGTATTGGTCCAATATGTGAATTTCAGGTCAAATAATGGACACTTGTAAAACAGAATGTGGGCCGGCGCCTCGGCTCACTAGGCTAATCCTCCGCCTTGAGGCACCGGCACACCGGGTTCTAGTCCCGGTCGGGGCGCCAGATTCTGTCCCGGTTGCCCCTCTTCCAGGCCAGCTCTCTGCTGTGGCCAGGGAGTGCAGTGGAGGATGGCCCAAGTGCTTGGGCCCTGCACCCCATAGGAGACCAGGAGAAGCACCTGGCTCCTGCCATCAGATCAGCGCGGTGCGCCGGTTGCAGCGCGCTGGCCACGGTGGCCATTGGAGGATGAACCCACGGCAAAGGAAGACCTTTCTCTCTGTCTCTCTCTCTCACTGTCCACTCTGCCTGTCAAAAAAAAAAAAATAAAATAAAAAAATAAAAAACAAAATGTGTTCCTTTGTCAAATAGCCAAGCCTTTCCTAAAGAACGATCCATAACATTTGAACCATTTCCAACACAGATGTTATTTAAACTTGATACCCATCCGTGTTCCAATACCACTCGGGAAGTCTTGCTATATCCCCCACAGTACAAGTGCTCCACCACTGTAAGGCTAACACTATAACACAGAGAGCACAGCGCAATGCCAGTGTCCCAGTCCATGCTTGGTGAGTGTCGACCCCAATTTTCCAAGTCTATTCTAACCCACAGAACCTGCTTTTAGATGAGATTGAATTGAAAATACCTAATTTGTGTTGCTGTTTATGATGAAACTCTGCCTCATGCCAAAGCTGCATGACCCTTGCTCACACGGCTGAGAAAGTTAACCTGAGCTGTGTACAGCTCCCTCCGGTTTGTACTTTGCAGGGCAAAGTCTACACTCTGCTAATCAGGCAACTCAGAGGAATTTCTTCCGGGACATGTATTGCGTTGCATTAACCAGTGGATAAATCTGTAGCATTCGTGTCATTACCTCTTTGTCAATTGTAATTTGTTCTGCTCATGGGTAAGATCTTATGAATACATCATCCTAGGTGTCTACCAAGAAAAAGTATCGTTCAAACACACACCTGTCTTCAAAGAACTCACAGTCCAGTTGGGAACACAAGGTGAAACCCACAAATCAACCCATAAATAACATCAAATGCTCAATTGTTCTTTTAATAATATAAGGAAATATTACACAATATAAGGATACTCCCACATATTCCTACCATACCACTGGCATATATTTTTATTTTACGTATTTTATGCTCTCCTCTTTCCTCACTAGAATGGATGCTCCATGAGAGCAGGGGCTTCTTTTTGCTCAGTGCTATTTCCCCCAGTAATCTGGCATATAACTGGTGTTCAGTAGATATTTGTTGAGCGCATGAATGAGAAGTCAAGTTCTTGGAATAGACAGAGAAAGGGAAGGCTTCCTGGAGTGTGCCCCAAGTTGAGCCACAAGTACACTTTATATAAAATACGCTTTATCTAAAATTAATGTATGGGAGCCAGCGTTGTGGCGTAGAGGGTAAAGCTGCCTGCAGTGCCAGCATCCCATATGGGCAGCGGTTCCAGTCCTGGCTGCTCCACTTCTGATCCAGCTCCCTGCTAATGGCCTGGGAAAGTAGTAGAAGATGGCCCAAGTCCTTGAGCCCCTGCACCCACATGGGAGACCCAGAGCTGTATTCAGCTTGCTTATATCAACCTAAAGATTCTAGCAAACAACTTCTTTATTTTGTGTAAGAAGAAGAAAATGTGAATATAATTGAAAAAGATGGGAGTGAGATGAAAATTAACATTGGCTGCTAGGGTGCCGTGATCCTCTTAGCTCATTTCTTTTTTTAATTTTTTTTAATTAATTTTTTTTTTTTTTGGACAGGTAGAGTGGATAGTGAGAGAGAGACAGAGAGGAAGGTCTTCCTTTTGCCGTTGGTTCACCCTCCAATGGCCGGCGCACTGCGGCCAGCACACCACGATGATCCGATGGCAGGAGCCAGGTGCTTCTCCTGGTCTCCCATGGGATGCAGGGCCCAAGCACTTGGGCCATCCTCCACTGCACTCCTGGGCCACAGCAGAGAGCTGGCCTGGACGAGGGGCAACCGGGACAGAATCCGGCGCCCCGACTGGGACTAGAACCCGGTGTGCCGGCGCCGCAAGGTGGAGGATTAGCCTAGTGAGCCGCGGCGCCGGCCTCTTAGCTCATTTCTAAAAGGAGAAGTCTGTCTTAGAATCAATGAATTTCATTGTCTTTAAATATGGAAACTATTTTCAAACAAAACCCAAGAAATGGAAGATAAAGGCAGAGCTGCTCTGGTTGACCACGGGAGGGGGGCTGGGGAGGCCCGTCTACTCTTTCTCTCACCCTAACTACAAAGCTATAGCTTCTCAGAGATCCAAAGAACATAATTTGAAAATATTGGATTGAGAGAACTTTTTTTAAATTGTTTTTTTAGCGGACAGCTGAGGAAGGCTCAGGTCTTGGTGAAGGAAGACCCTGGTTCTCTTCTGGTCTCTGCCACTTGAGGGAGTGCGAGGAGTCAGCTACCCAAGAAAGACAGACTGTGGCTTGGCCAAGGCCAGTCCTCCTCATGGCCGGGCCCAGGGAAGCAGGAAGCAGAAACCACAGCTCCCTGGTCGCAGACTGAGGAGAGCGAACTGGTCTCGACCCTGGCTCACCTCCCTTCTCCACTCAGAAGCTCAGGAGTCTCGCAAGTCCATCTGGCACTCTCTCAGGGGTTCAGAGTTGATTGGAATTTTAAACCAGATAAATACCCAGTCTGGCGCCAGTCCAAGTGGGAGAAGGGTCTGCCTGATTTGCCACCGTTGTCCACTGTGTGCAGCTGACCGGTCAGCTCCAGCTGGCCAGAGGAAAGCAGGCCCAGCGGAACAGGCTGTAATGAAGGGACTACTCACTACGGTGTGATCAGATCTAGGAGACCACTCACAAGGCAGCATGCGGATACTAGCAACAGCTGAAAACTTTATCACCACTCGGCCTGAAAGAGCGAGCAGAGCGAGCTGTCATGGCCCAGCTGCCGTTGCTTTGGGAACTGTGGGAAACAGCGCTTCCACGTTACAAGCGAAGAAACTAAGGTTAAGGGGAGGAAAAGGAACTAAGACGTGGAATCCCTGAGGATGGAACTGGCGGCCAAGTCACTATTAACACTCCCCCGGGAGCCAGCCGAGTCGCCCTTCCCGGCCACCCACCGAAAACCACGGGAAGAGCTTAACTACCGCACGCAGAAACTACAACTCCCGGCATGCATCTCTCCGCGTCTACCTCAAGCTTTTCAAAAGGAGCTTCCGGGAAAATAGCCTGTCGGGACCTGTAGTCGCTCCACCTGGGGCTTGCCGTAGGGCGCTCATTGGTGCCCGGGTCACCGCCCCCTCGCCCTCGCCTCACGTTGGGGTCTCACGCACGCACACGCGACGCGTGCCCCCCCCCCCGCCCTGAGCCTAAGACGCAGGCGCGCGCACGCTCCCCGGGCCCCGGTAGGCGGGGGGGTGGGGGGAGGAGGAGGGTAAGGGAGGAGGAATAGGTGTCTACTCTGGCGAGACCGCGTTGGAGCACGAAGTGCGCGAAGGTCTGGCCGCCAGGCGGGTGACCGCTGCACCGAGCCCAGGGCCGGCCAGGAGACTCAGCACCAAGTTAGCGCGCGCTGAGAGTAGGAGTCGGGCCGCTGAGCCCCGTAGGTCGGCCGGGCGCAAAGCCCCGGCCTAGGCCCCGCGGAGATGTCCAGCTGCGGCGCTTGTAGTTGCGGCGCGGCGGCCGCCCGGCTCATCACCTCCTCGCTCGCCTCCGCGCAGAGAGGTAACGAAGTAGTCCCACGCCAGAGCCCTTGGCCCCGGCAGACGGGTGGAGACCCCGGGGAGGGCACGCGGCCATCGCCCCCTGAGGGGTGTTGGGGGGCTGCAGGGCGCCTCGCCCGGCACCCCGCGCCTTTCCCGTGGGATGGGCTCCGGCCACCTCTGGAGCAGCTGGCTCGCAGGTGTGAATGAAGTACAGCCCCGTGCCGTGCGGCCTCGCACTCGGGGCTTGTGAATTTGGGGGGCCGCTTCGCAGAATCCCCGAAAGAGGCACAGATGCCCCTTTCCTTAAAGAAGGGTCCCCCCTGGGTCCCACCCAGGGGCGCCGCTGGCCGCGGCCCCTCTAGCGGAGCCCGGTCCCGTGCCGCCGGGGCTTGGCTGAGGGGCTGTCACTTGTGGGATCGCCCTGGGGCCTCGCAGCGTCCAGCTGGCCGGCCGCGCGTGGCACGAGGTGTCACGGCCATTATGCGGCCCCGACGCCGGGGCAGCCGCGGGGCTGGCCGTGGCCGGGCCCGGGGGAGCTCCGGCCGGGCTTGTTTTTGAAGCTCTTGGGTGTATGTCGACAGCTTGACATCGGAGACGTTTCTTCGCCGGCGTTGGCGCGTGTTTACCTTTCCTCTCTGTTTATCAGGAGCTGTAAGAGGGGCACTCCAGCCTGGGGGTTCCGGAAAAGGCCCCGTTTCCCTCTAACCCAGACCTGGAGTGTGGGGCTGGGAGGCTGGGTCCTGCCGGAATCACCAGCTTCTAGACAGATCGGGTTTGTTTCGCTTTCCCGGTTTATGACCCTTGAATAAATAAAGAAGAAAGCCTCGTTTTGCTAATTCTTGGGTTGATAGTGAACGCCTATCATCGACTGTATGTGTCTCCCAGACACTTTATGAGCGTTTAAGGATTAGGTAGAGTAAATGAATGTGGTTCTAACACATTGTTAAACTTCAGCACGTAGATGTGCCAGTTCCGGAACGCGATGACAGATCTTTTTAATCCATTTCTTTGATAGAGTTTGTCGAGGGCCTCCTAGGTGCCAGGCCCTGTTTCGGTGCTGGAGGGGCAATGGACAATAAACACTAACCGTGATGTTGAAGCCTAGTGGTGTAGACAGTGCTGTGTCTAGAGGTGGGGCAGTTCTGTGTGTGTATCTCCTTGGCAGGAAGGTCTTCTTGGAGAAAGTTCTTTCTAGCCATGAAACTATGTGGGGTTCATGGGTTAAGCAAATTTTTTTTCTTTTCAAACAACCACTGTTTTAAAATTTTAATATTTTTATCAACACACGTTAATGGCCTATTTAGCAATTATTACCTACTTCTATTTTAAGTCATAGGTTTGCCAATTTGCCAGAAGTTTTCAGGAATACAGAACCATTGCTTTTCCTGTGAAGAAGTAAACTAAGCTTTGACTATGAAACAATTTTCAATATCATTCTAGAATTATCTTCTTAGATGACAATGAAATAGCAAATTTTTGTACTCAGCACTTTCCCAAGCCATATTTATGTAAACATTTTCTATAATGAAAACTAGGTACATCAAGCCTACAAGAATATAAAGACATTTTCTTTTAGGGTCTAAAGAATGTTACAAGGGCTATTTTTAAGATTCTTGGAAAGAGGAAGAGAGGGAAAACAAAAAATCAGGATTGAAGTAGAGCTAAGGAATTCATCAAAATACATGTAATTTTTTTTTTTAAGATTTATTTATTTATTTGAAAGGCAGAGTTACAGAGAGAGATCTTCCATCCACTGGTTCATTCCCCAAATGGTGACAGTGGCCAGGACTGGTCAGGCTGAAGCCAAGAGCTTCTGGATCTCCCACGTGGGCACAGGGATGCGGATAGCTAGGCCATCGTCCACTGTTTGCCCAGGCACATTAGTAGGGAGCGGGGTGGGAAGTGGAAGCGTCAGGACTGCAACCAGTGCCCATATGGGAAGCCAGAGTCGCAGGTGGCAGATTTACCCACTATGCCACAACAGGCCCCAAATACATGTAATCTAACAAGAAGTTGTGGGGAAATTTCAAAGCTGCTCTGAAATACAGTGCTAGTTCCTATTTTTATGGGCTTGTCATGCTGCACTTTAAAATTTTAAGTGAGTATTTGAAAGTTATTTAGTAATTTGTCAAACTGATACTAGTTCTGTTTTCCTTCTGAGCAATATGTACCCAATTTATTGTATTTTTCCTCAGTGTTTTCTTTGGATATGAAACCTGTAGTAAAGTAGAAATTAAAAATGTCTTTTTTTCTACCCAAATTGCTACTGTTTATTTTGATGTTGTTTGATTTATTTGAGAGGCAGAGAGCAAGAGAGACAGAACTCCCATCCACTAGTTTACTCCCAAAATGCCTGAACACAGCAAAGCAGGGAACCAGGGTCTCAATCGGGTCCCCCAAGGGGCAGCAGGGACCCAGCTGCTTTAGCCATGACCTGGTGCCTCTCAGGGTACGTATCAGCAGGAAGCTTGTGTTCTGGAGCCAAGCTAGAACTCCAATCCAGGCACGTCAATACAGGATGTAGGTATCACAACCCGCAGTTGAACCAGCAGGCCAGTATACACCCAGGCTGTATATTTTTTAAAATAGAGCTTGAATTTATGAAGTCACTGCATTCTAAATTTGTACATCCAGAAACGCTCGATTCCATGTAAAAAAAATTCCAAATGACGATACTTGGTCTGAATTTGGCTGTAAGTTTTGGGGAGTTGCACTTAACTGCTTTATTTTCTCATTACCTTCAGTCAGTCCTTGCCTGTTCCAACAGTGTCCCCTCATAAAGGTATGAAGGAGACTGTACAGATGCTCAAACATGTTGGGACCGATGACTGTCGTAATACTGTATAATGTGCTCACCTCAACAACTTTCAGCTAGATTTAATATCTTTAAAAGATTTATTTGAAAGGCAGAGTGACAGAAATCATCATCTACTGGTTCACCGCCCAAAGGCCACAGCAGCCAGAAGCTGGGCCAGGCTGAAGCAAAGAGCCAGGAACTCCACCTGGGTTTCCAAGTACTTGGGCCATCATCTGCTGTTTTCTCAGCCACATTAGCCAGGAGCTGGTGTGGAAGCAGAGAAACTGGGAATCGAACCAGGGCTCCGAAATGGGGTACAAGCATTGCAGGCTGCAGCTTAACCTGCTGTGCCACAGGCCTGCCCCTTTAGTTACATTTTAATTCTTTCTCTCCCCCCTCATTTTTGTAGAAAAAGGAACATGCTTTCTGTTTGTTTGTTTGTTTGAAAGGCAGATTTACAGAGAGGAGAGGCAGAGAGAGTCTTCCATCCACTGGTTCATTCCCCAAATGGTCACAGAGGCCGGAGCTGTGCCGATCAGGAGCCAGGAAATTCTTCCGGATTTCCCAAGCAGGTTCAGGGCCCCAAGGACGTGGGCCATCCTCTACTGCTTTCCCAGGCCATAGCAGGGAGCTGGATCAGAAGTGGAGCAGCCGGGACACAAATCAGCACCCATATGGTATGCTGGCACTGTAGGTGTTGGCTTTACCTACTACACCACAGCGCCATTCCCCTCTCCCCCTCTCTTTGATAGTCAACTACAACATAAATTAAGTAAGGCAAAGTAAATAAACAATAAAGCATCTTTATTTGTAAAACATTTCTTAGCATTTCTCTTCCTGGCATGTTCATCTTTAAACAAACAGACTAGTCTTAGTGTAATCTCATCAAAAAATTTTTTTAAAGATTTATATATTTTAGGGCCAGCATTGTAGTGTGATGAGTAAAGCTGTGCACCAGCACCCCATATGGGCACCAGTTGAGTCCTGGCTGCTCCATTTCTGATCCAGCTTTCTGTTAATGTGCCTGGGAAAGCAGCCAAGGTGGCACAAGTGCCTGGACCCCTGCACTCGTGTTAGAGACCTGGAGGAAGCTCCTGGCTCCTACATTCAGCCCTGCCCTGGCTGTTGCAGCTATTTTGGGGAGTGAACCAGCAGATGAAAGATGCTTCTCTCTCTCCCTCCCTCCCTCCTTCCCTCCCTCCCCCGCCTTCCCCTCTCCCCCCCACCATTCCATCTGTAACTCTGCCTTTCAAATAATTAAATCTTAAAAATTATTTATTAAAATAGTAACAGCGAGAGAGGGAGAGACAGAGATCGTCCCTCTTCTGGTTTACTCCCCAAATGGCCAAAACTGGCTGAAGCCAGCACCCAGGAGTTTCTTCCAGGGTACACGGGCCCAAGCACTTGGGCCATCCTCCCCTGTTTTCCCAGGAACATTAGCAGGGAACTGAATCGGAAGTGGAGCAGCTGGAACTCAAACCAGTATCCATATAGGATACTAGTGTTACAGTTGGTGGCCCAACCTGCTATGCCACGGTGCTGGCCACTCATCAAACATTTTTAAACTTGAGGAAAGCCATCATTGGAATGATGTTACTTTTCTTTTTCTTAAGTATTCAGAATTCATGAAACCCATAAAATTAAATTTTAAGATTAATAAGAGCAGTAACTATCTAGTAAGTTGCTGGTATTTGTGAGTTTTTGTGATTTTTTTTTTTCTAATTTGTTAGAGGTCAAGACTTTAAGTGAGCATTTGACTTGAGTCGGCATTTCATCAGTTATCATTACAATAGATAATTTTAAATTTCTCCTTAGTTGTTTCATTCTGTTTCTGAAATACAGATTGGCCTATCTTTTGAGTTGAATCATTTGTATGTTTTTGGAGGATAGTTCAAGATTGAGTATAGAAAATTTAATATAAATTACTCTTCTAGTTCTTAATAACCCTAAAATGGTTGTACTTACTCTAATATTTCTTAGAGACAGCTGCTCAGAAACTCAGAAAGCTTTATCTGTACAACAAAAGTGTTTTAGTAGTTTAACTTTAACTGATTGTTGTTGTTGCTGCCAAGTAGTCTTTTGAAATGTACTTTACATAAGTGTTTCCCTTTGTGACCTTCAGGTGTTCTGAGATTCACAGGCCCTCCAGGGGTCCCTGGATAGAATTCAGTCTCTGTCAACTTTATTTTTAGTAACCTCTAATTACAACAAAGCATTTCCTTCAATTAAGAATGTAAGCAACAAATTGCAGTACTCTTGTTAGTATCTGAATTTGTCACCAGTCAAAATCACTGATGGTTTCTTACCACATTAGTTGGTGATACCTCAAAATAGTGTTTATACTTTTTGTTACTATTGTAGTTCTTTTAAAAGTTGCTAGATAGTATTTAATTTTATAAATAAGAAAGGCTATTTATATTTAAAAATATTTTGGGGGTGTGCATTTGGCATAGCCCATGTCCCGTATTGAAGCGTGTAGGTTCAGGCACCTAGCTCTAGCAGTTTCCTGCTAATACATACCCTAGGAGGCAGCAGTAGTGACTCAAGTAATTGGATTCCTGTCACCCACGTGGGAGACCTGGTTGAGTTCCCAACTCCCTGCATTGTCTGACCTAGTCCTGACTGCTGTGGGCAGCTGGTGAGAAAACCAGCGAGTAACTACTTCAGTATAATTTATTTCCTTTGTTAAACATTCTATTTATATATATATATATTTTTTTTTTTTTTTTTTTTTTGACAGAGTGAACAGTGAGAGACAGAGAGAAAGGTCTTCCTTTACCATTGGTTCACCCCCCAGTGGCTGCTGCGGCTGGCGCACCGCGCTGATCTGAAGGCAGGAGCCAGGTGCTTCTCCTGGTCTCCCATGCGGGTGCAGGGACCAAGCGCTTGGGCCATCCTCCACTGCACTCCCTGGCCACAGCAGAGAGCTGGACTGGAAGAGGAGCAACTGGGACAGAATCCAGCGCCCCGACCCGGACTAGAACCCGGTGTGCCGGCGCTGCAAGTGAAGGATTAGCCTATTGAGCCGCGGCGCCGGCCCTATTTTATATTTTTAAAAACATTATTCTAGGGCCGGCGCCGCGGCTCAATAGGCTAATCCTTCACCTAGCGATGCCGGCACACCGGGTTCTAGTGCTGGTCAGGGCACCCGATTCTGTCCCAGTTGCCCCTCTTCCAGGCCAGCTCTCTGCTATGGCCCGGGAGTGCAGTGAAGGATGGCCCAAGTGCTTGGGTCCTGCACCCGCATGGGAGACCAGGAGAAGCACCTGGCTCCTGCCTTCAGATCAGCGCGGTGCGCCGGCCGTGGCGGCCATTGGAGGGTGAACCAACGGCAAAAGGAAGACCTTTCTCTCTGTCTCTCTCACTGTCCACTCACTCTGCTTGTCAAAAAAAAAAAAAAAAAAAAATTCTAAGAAGAGATTAGCCCAAAGGCTTTACCATACTGGTGCATGACCCAAAAATAATTAACATCCCTGATTAGTTTGCTGTAGTGCTTTACATTTTCTTCCTTCCTTCCTTCCTCCCTCCCTTCCTTCCTTCCTTCCTTTTTCTTCCTCTTTTCTTTTCAAGATTTATTTATTTATTTGAGAGGCAGAGTCACAGACAAGGAGAGACAGAGAGAAGCATCTTCTGTATGCTGGTTCACTCCCCAAATGGCCACAATGGCTGAGGCTGGGCGGATCCAAAGCCAGGAGCTTCTTCCAGGTCTCCCACATGGGTGCAGGAGCCCAAGGGCTTGGGCCATCATCTGCTGCTTTCCCAGGCACATTAGCAAGGAGCTGGATCAAAGTGGAGCAGCCAGGACTCAAACTAGCGCCCATATGGGATGCTGGCACTGCAGGTGGACGCTTACCCTGGTATGCCCCATGCTTTATATTTTCTGTGAATATTTTATGATTGGTCATTTTCATTGCTTAGTGCATTGATTTTTAAAATGTGGCCCTCACACCTGCAGCATCAGCTTCACCTGGGAACTTAATAGAAACACATTCTTGGGTCCTACTCCAGACTTTCTGAATAGTACTAAGCTGGGCCAGGCTGAAGTCATGCGCTAGGAGGAACTCTGTCTGGGTCTCCCCTGTGGGTGGCGGAGACCTAACGAGCCATCACCTGCTGCCCCTCAGAGTGCTCATTAGCAGGATGTCGGATCAGAAGCAGAACTGGGACTGGAAATAGGCACTCTTATATGGGGATGTGGGCATCCCAAGAGGTACCGTATCTGCTGTGCCACGTGCTTGCACCCCTTTGTGATGTTCTTTGTGAATGTATATGGAGATGAGAGAATTGGGTTATTCTTTGTATATTTCCTGAAAAGCTTGGTGGGTTGATTTTTGTAGTTTATAGAACTGGAATAGATGATAAATAATTAAAGAAATTAGTTCTGACAGTACACACAGATGTGTCAGAAAATTGCAGTTAATAAAACCAGTTAGTTATATAAGTAAGCAATTGTTTAATTGTTTGAGACATCAGTAGTTTTAAACCAGTTTTTTTTTTTTTAACATTTGGATACAATGTGTAACAGATGTACAAATAAAAAGTCAAAAACTGAGTTGAGAATTTTGCTGGGAATAAAATGAGGAAAGCAACATTAATTTCTTAAATTGATTTAAGTATTAACCTCCCTTCCTCTTTTTTCTTTTTGGTTTACTCATTACCTCCTAAGAGCCCTCTTGTAAACTGCTGGTAAAGCTCCTTTCTTCCAGGTGCCTCATTAATATTTGTTAGCTTATGCAAAGTTCTTTCTTCTTAAAAAATGATTTACTGGGGCGCACTGTGGTATAGTGCCCATATGTAGTGCTGGCATTCCAAATGGGTGCCAGGCTGAGTCCCGGCTGCTCTACTTCAGATCCAGCTCTCTGCTATGGCCTGAGAAAGCAGTGGAGGATGGCCCAAGTCCTTGGGTCCCTGCACCCGCATGGGAGACCTGGAGGAAGCTCCTGGCTCTTGGCTTCAGATCTGCCCAGCTCCAGCCTTGCTGCCATTTGGGGAGTGAACCAGCAGAAGGAAGGCCTCTCTCTCTCTCTGCCTCTGCCTTTCAAATAAAAAGCAAAGTCATAGAGACAGGAAGAGACAGAGAGGGAGAGAGGGAGATAGATATCTTCTATCCACTGGTTCACTCCCCAAATGGCCACAACAGCCAGCAGCCAGCAGCCTGGAACTCTGGGTCCCCCACATGGGTGCAGGGGCCAAAGGACTCAGGCCATTTCCCCCTGCTTTCCTAGAAGCGTTAGCTTAACCCATTGTGCCACAACGCAGGTCCTATGCAAGGTTCTGAGTAGCCCTGTAGTGCTGGAAATCTATGACATTTTGTTTAACCTAGCCTAATACCTTTCAGATTTCTGTGCAGGGAACATTCTTAAAGACCAGTTTGGGAGACAGTGCTTCACAGTGTGCAATATGGCTCTTTTGTCACTTATTATAAATTATTTTGGGGTTTAGTTTGTATTTATATGAAAAAAGTCATGATGGCAGATACAAACCCCCAAGGACCCAATCTGGTCACACTTATTTGTTTACATACTATTTTTGCTTTCCTGCCTCTATGGTAAAGAAGTTTCCTGTTTCATGATTGAGATGAAATGGCCCACAAAGCTGAAAATATTTACTGTCCTGGTCCTTTTCAGAAAATTTCATCAACTCCTGGCCTAGTCTTTAGAATAGACCAATTAGTAACACACATCCTTTTAAAAGACTTATAGTGTCCAGGTCAGTGTTGTGGCACGGTGGGTTAAGCTGTCACCTGCAGTGCCAGCATCTCATTTGTGCGCCAGTGATGTGCCTGGCAAAGCAGCAGAGTATGGCCCAAGTCCTCTGGCCCCTGCACCCACGTGGGAAATCTGGGTAGAGTTCCAGGTTCCTGGTTTCGGCCTGGCTCAGCCCCAGCCATTGTGGCCATTTGGGGGGTGGACCAGCGATGGAAGGTATCTCCCTGTTGCCCCCACCTCTTATCTCTGCCTTTCAAAATGAGTAAATTCATCTAAAAAAGAATGGTAATGTCAAATATGGCAAAAGACTAAAACATTTGAAAGCAGGGTAGTGGTTATGTGGTATTTGTTGAATGATGTTTCTTTTGTAGTATTGAAATAATCCTTGAAGTGTATGTTTTAATGGACAGCATTAAAACATTTTTCCTACAATTTTTTTATTCTGCTTAAATATGTATAAAATTTATAAATATAAAGTTCAATAAAATTTAAGTATATTCATTTTGTTGTGCAACCATCACTACCATCCATCTTGTCTTAATTCTCTTCATCTTATAATACTAAAACTTTATACTCGTTACAATAATAACTCATTCCCGCAACCCACACCAGGCACCATTCACCAGGGTTTTTATGATTTTGATTACTAAGTACCTTACATAAATGCCTTACCTGCTACGCCACAGCACCGGCCCCCATCCTCTCAGACTTTGAGAGAGCCACATGTTCTTGTGACCTACGTCCCTTCAAAGGAGTAGATCCAGAAAGGAAAGTCTGTATTTACCGGGAGTCTTCCGCAGGCCCAGCCTGGCTTGTTTTTAGCGGACATTCCTCTGACGCTGCCACTATTTTCTCCATCAGGTTGCACTACTGCTGTGGAAACCGTGGCTTGTCTTTAGCTTTCCGTGTGCTAAAGGGAGTTTTGTTTGCAGGGGATTTATTGACTTCTGTCAGAATTTGATGTGTAGACTAATAGATTTCATTTCATTTTCAGGCGTTTCTTGTGGTCGCATTCATATACCAGTTTTAGGACGGCTTGGAACCTTTGAAACTCAGATTCTGCGAAGAGCTCCTCTTAGAACCTTTACAGAAACACCAGCATACTTTGCCTCAAAAGATGGGACAAGTAAAGACGGCTCTGGAGATGGAAATAAGGTGATTGTTTTACCTTGGTTGGCACCTAAGCACGTTTGAGTTCCCTCCTTTAAGCAATTAAATGTTAAACAATACTGTATATCCTGTTTTCTGTAGGAAATAGGAGAGAGTATGATCTGAAGAATTATATTTAATTTATTTTATATTTTAGTTTGAACCATAAGACTTTTATAAGCATTGCACTTAGTAAGCAGTAATTAAAATCCTAGCAACCCAAAGTAGTAAAGAACTGCCATTAAATAATCTGCATTGTCACTCAGTAGACTTGAACTAAATAGTCATCATTTCCTGCTTTAATGCAACTCAGAAAGGTAAACTTCAATTTATCTTCTTCCTAAAAATCTTGGATTTCTGTTATCACTTAATGTTGGGATACATTGTAGGAAACAAGTAGATGATTGATGATTATACTGGGTCAGTGAATTGTCAGTTTTTTGCATTATGTGAATTTGACTGATTCTTGAGTTAATATATGTAAGACAAAAGGTTAAGCACTTCCATATCCACACTTAGTCCTAACAATGGCTCTCTGAAGTAGGTGAAGTTATTCCCAACTTAGAGATGAATAATCAGTTAGCAGAATGTTGTTCTTAACTGCCGTGATAGTAACTCCTGATTCAATGTCATTGAAATGTTTTTTAAAATTTTTTAAAATTTATTTGATAGAGTTAGACAGTGATAGAGAGAGGCAGAGAGAAAGGTCTTCCTTCCATTGGTTCATCCTCCACATGGCCGCTATGGCCAGAGTACGCCGATCCGAAGCCAGGAGCCAGGTGCTTCCTCCTGGTCTCCTATGCGGGTGCAGGGACCCAAGCACTTGGGCCATCCTCCACTGCCTTCCTGGGCCACAGCAGGGAGCTGGACTGGAAGAGGAGCAACCGGGACTAGAACCCGGTGTCCATATGAGATGCTGGTGCCGCAGGCAGAGGATTAACTAAGTGAGCCACGGCGCCGGTCCCTAAAATGCAGTTTTTTAAATATGTACTTATTAATTTATTTTTAAGGATTTATTTATTTATTTGAAAGTCTGAGTTAGAGAAAGATCTTCCATCCATTGATTCGCTCCCCAAATGGCCACAATGGCCAGGACTGGCCCAGGCCAAAGCCAAAAGCCAGGAGCTTCTTCCAGGTCTCCCACATGGGTGCAGAGACCCAAGTGCTTGGGCCATCTTTTGCTGCTTTCCCAGTCGTATTAGCAGGGAGATGTATTGGAAGTGGAGCAGCCAGGTCTCCAACTGGTGCCCATATGGGATGCTGGCATTGCAGGCAGCAGCTTCACCTGCTATGCCACAATTCCAGCCCTGAAGTATAGTTTTGTTTTTTTTTTTTACTTAGAATAACTTTTTTCCTAGCACTCAGTGAGTCATTGAAAGCAAGCTATTTCTTACACATGATGGCACATACCCAGTAAGGGACTAAAGATAGTTTGTAAGAACTGATTTGATCTTTGTGGTAAATAGGTCTTTTGACACTGGTGGTAGTAGAGATATAAATCATACCAATAATTCCTTTCTAGAAGTCATAAAAATGATACAATTATGAACTATCTTGTTTAAGTTGCAAATAAAATAGTTGCCTAAATTGACACTGATTTTTTTATCCTCCACAAATGTTAGAAATCAGTCAGTGAGGGAAGCAGTAAGAAATCAAGCTCTGGGAATTCTGGGAAAGGTGGAAACCAGCTGCGCTGTCCTAAATGTGGCGACTTGTGCACACATGTAGAGACCTTCGTATGTAAGTGTTAACTCCCAGTGTTCTTTTTTTCTACTTTTCCTATAAATCTTTCAATGTGTAGAAATACATAAGTTAGAAAAATCATTGTGATTTTCTTCTTGAGTTTACGTGATTGCTCTCTTGTGTTCATTAGTTACTGAAAATTCCCTGGGCTGTTAATACTTTGCACTATGGTATAAGACATAATTTAAGCAAAAATCTTTGGTGCTTTGTTTTGCTTATATGTGTTTATTTCAAAGTTGGATTTTGTGAGTTTTTGAAAATATTTTATTTGAAAGGCAGAGAGAGAGGCTGGTGCCGTGGCTCAATAGGCTAATCCTTCGCCTGCGGTGCCGGCATACCGGGTTCGAGTCCTGGTCGGGGCACCGGATTCTGTCCCGGTTGCTCCTCTTCCAGTCCAGCTCTCTGCTGTGGCCCGGGAGTGCAGTGGAGGATGGCCCAAGTGCTTGGGCCCTGCACCCCATGGGAGACCAGGAGAAGCACCTGGCTCCTGGCTTCAGATCGGCACAGTGCGCTGGCTGTAGCAGCCATTTGGGGGGTGAACCAATGGAAGGAAGACCTTTCTCTCTGTCTGTCTGTCTCTCTTTCTCTCTCTCACTGTGTAACTCAGCCTGTCAAATAAAACAACAACAAAAAAATAATTGTATTGTCAAGATTGTAATTGATATTAGTTTGGTGTATGCTTTAGGTCAGCTTGACCCTAGTAACCATGTATTCCCCCTCCCCTCCTTGTGGTTTTTGCCTTTGTAAACTCTGTTTTGAGCTTTGGGGGCGAGAGTGTGTTGGGCATGAGCCCGTTCTCAATCCCTGGCAATAGAGGACTGTCAGATTTTAGCAATGTGTGGTGCTCTTCTGTTTGCACTCGCTCAGCACACCACCAGGAGCCTGGAACTCATCCAAGTGGATGGCAGAGACTTAACCACTGGAATCTTCACTGCTGCCTCCCAGGGTGAGCATTAGCAGGAAGCTGGAATCAGGAGCAGAGCTGAGATTTGAACCCAGGCCCTCTGAAGTAGAATTCAGTTGTCTAAAGCAGCATCTTAAGTGCTGCAGCAAACGCCCATCCCCAGTTTTGTGAGTTTTCATGTGTGTAATCCTTGGACCATAGGAGAACCAAGACTTATTTACTAGGTCCGGCACTTTGGTTAGTAGGCTAAGCCTCCGCCTGTGGCACCAGCATCCCAAATGGGTGCTGGTTTGTGTCCTGACTGCTCCTCTTCCCATCAGCTTTCTGCTTATGGCCTGGGAAATCAGTGGAAGATGGCCCAGGTGCCTGGGCCCCTGCACCCACATGGGAGGCCTGGAAGAATCTCCTGGCTCCTGGCTTCGGATCGGCCTATCTTCAGCCATTGCAGCCAACTGGAGAATGAACCAGCGGATGGAAGACCTCTTTCTCTGTCCCTCTTCTCTGTGTGTAATTCTGCCTCTCAAATAATAAATAAATCTTTAAAAAAATGTGGGAGTAGCTAATGTGGAAGTGAAGTGTAAAAGAAGAATACACATACCCACATAATAAGCAGACATCTGTTAAGTCAGACACTGATAGGCTTGGAGAATATACAGATGAACCTGACATTGTTCCTGTCCTCTGGAGCTTCATTGCAGGCCCCAGCAGAGCAACAAGCCCCCTCCTTCCTCACCTTTGCCCACCTGTAACACAAGTCTCCTCAGGAGACTCGTGTGTCCTGATGCTGAGGCCTCTGTGTTTACTTATTAAATTTGGGTCATCCTGCCACTATTGAGAATTTTGTTTGATCGTGGGTTACTAATTTTTTTTTTTTTTTTTTTTTGACAGGCAGAGTGGACAGTGAGAGAGAGAGACAGAGAGAAAGGTCTTCCTTTCGCCAGTGGTTCACCCTCCAATGGCTGCCGCGGCCGGCGCGCTGCGGCCGGTGCACCACGCTGATCCGAAGGCAGGAGCCAGGTACTTATCCTGGTCTCCCATGGGGTGCAGGGCCCAAGCACTTGGGCCATCCTCCACTGCCTTCCCTGGCCACAGCAGAGAGCTGGCCTGGAAGAGGGGCAACTGGGACAGAATCCGCTGCCCCGACCGGGACTAGAACCCAGTGTGCCAGTGCCGCAAGGCGGAGGATTAGCCTAGTGAGCCGTGGCACCGGCCTACTAATTTTTTTTAAAAGATTTATTTATTTATTTGAAAGGTGGAGATACAGAGAGGCAGAGAGAGAGAGAGATATCTTTCATCTGCTGGTTCACTCTTCGTATGGCTGCAGCAGCCTGAGCTGGGCTGATCCAAAGCCAGGAGCCAGGAGCTTCTTCCAGGTCTCCTACGTGGGTGCAGGGGCCCAAAGAATTGGGCCATCTTCTACTGCTTTTCCAGGCCATAATAGAGAGCTGGATCGGAAGTGGAGCAGCCAGGACTTGAACTGGCGCCCATATGAGATGGCAGAACTGCTGGTGATAACTTTACCTGCTATGCCACAGCACCGGTGCCTATTTTTTTTTTTTTTAGATTCATTTATTTTTTATTTAACAGAGTTAGACAGAGATAGAGAGAGGCAGAGAGAAAGGTCTTCCTTCCGTTGGTTTACCCCCCAGATGGCTGCTACGGCCGGCCCTGCACCAATCCGAAGCCAGGAGCCACGTGCCTCTTCCTGGTCTCCCATGCAGGTGCAGGCGCCCAAGCACTTGGGCCATCCTCCACTGCCTTCCCGGGCCACAGCAGAGAGCTGGACTAGAAGAGGAACAACCGGAACAGAATCCAGTGCCCATATGGGATGCTGGCGCTGCAGGCGGAGCATTAACCAAGTGAGCCACAGTGTTGGCCCCTAGATTTATTTGTTTACTTGAGAGGTAGAGTTATAGACAGAGAGAGGGAGAGATAGAAAGGTCTTCCATCTGCTGGTTCCTTCCTCAAATGTCCCCACAGCCAGAGCTGGGCTGATCTGAAGCCTAGAGCCAGGAGTTTTCTCCAGAGACAGAGAGAAAGGTCTTCCATCCGCTAGTTCACCCCCAAATGGCCTCAATGGCCAGAGCTAAGCAGACCCGAAGCCAGGAGCCAGTAGCTTCTTCAGGGTCCCCCATGCAGGTACAGGAGCACAAGAACTTGGGCCATCTTCCACTGCTTTCCCAGGCCATAGCAGAGAGCTGGATCGGAAGAGGAGCGCCAGAATACGACTGGCACCCACATGGGATGCCAACACTGCAGGCAGAGGCTTAGCCCACTATGCCACAGTACCAACCCCTGTACATCTTATCTATAATACTTTTTTTTTTTTAAAGGATTTAAATATTTATTTGAAAGACAGAGCAACAGAGGTAAAAGGAAAGACAGAAATTTTCCACTTGCTGATTCATTCCTCAAATGATCACAAGAGGCAGATCTGAGTTAGGCCAAAGTCAGGAACCAGGAACTTCATCCTGGTCTCCCAGGTGGGTGGCAGGGGCCCAGGTACTCAGGCCAGTATCTATTGCTTTCTCACATGCATTAGCAGGGAGCTGGATTGTAAGCAAAGCAGGTGGGACTTGACTGGCACTCCCATATGGGATGCTGGCATTACGAGTCATGGTTTAACTCGCTGCTCCACAGTGCTGGCCTTGCAAACCTGTACATCTTTTACAAATGGCCTGTTTAGGTAATTTTCTCTTTTTTGTCATTTAAGTAATTTTTAATGATGGAGGAATACAAAAAAGTAGAACGTTATAAAGCTAAAATTCTGTAACATATCTTCGTTGAACATAGTACTTTTTTTCCTAAGATTTATTTATTTCTTTAAAAGGCAGAGAGAGGGGGGGCTGGCACTATGGCACAGTAGGTTAATCCTCCGCCTATGGTGCCGGCATCCCATATGGGCGCCAGTTCTAGTCCCAGCTGCTCCTCTTCCAATCTAGCTCTCTACTGTGGCCCGGGAAGGCAGCAGAAGGTGGCCCAAGTGCTTGGGCCCCTGCACCTGCATGGGAGACCAAGAAGAAGCTCCTGGCTCCTGGCTTCAGATCAGCACAGCTCCGGCCATTGTGGCCATTTGGGGAGTGAACCAATGGAAGGAAGACCTTTCTCTCTGTCTCTCCCTCTCATTGCCTATAACTAACTCTACATCTCAAATAAATAAATTAGTTAATTAATTTAAAAAAAGAGAGAGAGATCTTCCATCTGTTGGTTTACTCCTCAAATGACTAATAGTTAGGACTGGGCCAGGCAGAAGTCAGGAGTCAGAAACTCCATCCTGGGCTCCTGCATGGGTGGCCAGGTCCCAAGTACCTAGGCTCTCTTCTCAGGCCTAATCATCAGCAGGAAGCTGGATGGGAGCAGAGCAGTGGGGACTCAAACTGCACTCTGCTATGGGATGCCTGCTTCACAAGTAGTACCTCAGCCCACTGAGTCACACTGCCAGCCCCGAACCTGGTACTTCTTAAAAAGTGTAAATATTATATTTTCACAAAATTACTACTTTTCACTAACAGTTGTTAAAGATTTATTTATTACTTGAAAGTCAGAGTTAACAGAAGAGAGAGATCTTCCATCTGCTGGTTCACTCCTCAGATATCTGCAGTGGCCAGTACTGGGCCAGGCCAAAGACAGGAGCCAGAACTTTCTCTGGTTCTCCCATGTGGGTAACAGGAACCCAAGCACTTGGGCCATCTTCCAGTACTTTTCCCAGGCCATTAGCAGGGAGCTGGATCGGAAGTGGAACAGCTTGGATGCTGGCATTGCAGGTGGCGGCTTTATATGCCATGTCACAACACTGCCCCACACTAACAATTTTTTGAAAGCTATATTTATTAATCATGTAGGTCTAGATTTTTCCTTTAGATTTATTTATTGAAATATTCACATATTGTACAGTTCATTCTTTTAAAAAGTGTATAGTTCCGTAGACTTCACTATATTCACCAATTTGTACACTTACCTTAGTTATGTAATTTCAAAACATTTTTACCACCCCCGAAAAAAAACTGTAATCCTTTGTAATCCCTCCTATCTCTGGCAACCCATGTCCCCTCCTATCTCTGGCAACTTTTATTCTATTTTCTTTCTCTATGAATTTGTCTATTCTTGCTATTTTATTTAATAGAATTATATGTGACATTTTATATCTGGCTTCTTTTACTTAACACGTTTCAAGGTTCATCTGTGTTGTGACCTGATTAGTGTGCTGTGAACATTTGTGTACAAGTTTTTTGTGTGGACATAACGTTTTTCATTCCCTTAGGTATGTACTTAGGAGTAGAATTGCTGGGTGAATTGCTGGCTCATAGCCAACTGGGGAGTGAACCAGCAGATGGAAGACCTTTCTCTCGGTCTCTCCCTCTCTCTTTCAGTAATACTCTCTCTCAAATAAGTAAATAAAATATTTTTAAAAAGTATTAAAGCTGTATTTAGCTCACAGGCCCTGCAGTTTATTTTATTTTATTTATTTATTTTGACAGGCAGAGTTAGACAGTGAGAAAGAGAGACAGAGAGAAAGGTCTTCCTTTTCTGTTGGTTCACCCCCAAAATGGCTGCTACGGCTGGCGCACTGTGCTGATCCGAAGCCAGGAGCCAGGTGCTTCCCCCTGGTCTCCCATGCGGGTGCAGGGCCCAAGCACTTGGACCATCCTCCACAGGCCACAGAGAACTGGACTAGAAGAGGAGCAGCCGGGACAGAATCCGCACCCCAACCGGGACTAGAACCTGGGTGCCGGCGCTGCAAGCGGAGGATTAGCCTAGTGAGCCACGGTGCCAGCCCAGGCCCTGCAGTTTAGTATTCCATCTTACAAGCCTATTTATAGTGATTTTATTATTATTAAAATAGGACATAAAAATGGCATTTAAAAATATTTATTTGCAAGAGAGAGAGAGAGAGAACATGCAAGATCTTCCACCTACTAGATTACTAATCAAATGGCCGCAACTAACAGGGCTGGGCCAGGCTGAAGCCAGGAGCCAGGAACCCCTTCTTGGTCTGCCTTGTGGGTAGCAGGGGCCCAGTTACATGGGCCATAATCCACTGCTTCAAAGGTATGTTAGCAGAAAGCTTGATCAAAAGCAGAGTAGCCAGGACTTGAAATGACACTCGAATGTGGGATGCTGGTACCCAATGGCAGCCTAACCCACTGTGCCACAGTACCCAACCCTAATATACCATTTTTTATTGGTAATATTATGAATGGATAGAAAATCATCAGAAGTTGTAGAAATAAGAGTATTCTCTAAGAAATTGTTTAAGGACTAACATAGTATAATATTCTTTTGCCCATTGGAAAAAAAGTAACTTCTCAGGGCTGGAATTGTGGCACAGGAGATTAAGCTGATGCCTGCATTGCCGGCATTCCAAATGAGTGCTGGTTTGGGTCCTAGATGCTCCACTGTCTATCCAGCTCTCTGCAGATATACCTGGGAAAGCAGAGGAAGATGGCCTGAGAGGTTGGTGTCCTGCCACTCCCATGGGAGACCTGAATGGAGGTCTAGGCTCCTGGCTTCTGCCTGGCACAGCCTAGGCTGTTGTGGCCATTTGGGGAGTGAACTTAGAGATGGAAGATCAGTATGTCTCTCTCTCTAATTCTTACTTTCAAATGAATTAATAAATCTCTTTAAAAAAATAACTTGTCATACATGGACTCCCTACTTTTAAGATACTGTCTCTTTATGTATAAAATACCTTTTCAAGGTTTACTGTACTTATATATTTCTTGGGGTTGGAATTAAACTTATCTACAGTGGTTTGGAGATTTTATGTTGGACCCTCAAATGTGTTCAGAATCATGAGCAACTTTAAACAAATTTCCTGGAAAGGTGTTTACTAAGGTAGTCTTTCTTGTCTGCCACATAACACTAGCACATGCTTATGTAAAGGATATAGGATACTTGCAAGCACTGCCTTAAAAAAAAAGGGCTTACTTCACCCTGGTAGTTTAACAAAAGTAGATTTTTGTCTCTAGTTTCTGAGAGTAAAAAAATATACATGGCAATGCTTAGTGTTTGGGGCTGCCCTGCCCCCATCCAGAATAGCATTTTGATAGATAGAATTAGATTCTTGAACTTGGGTATATATTGAACATGTGTCAGTATGAAATTGTATTGCAAATGCAGCACGCTACTAGAATTTAAGCAACCCTTCAACAGTAAGCAAAGAGGGATATGATTTGTTGGTGTGTAATCTCTTTCCCTTTGACCTAATTTCCTAAGAGAAATATTTTGTTTATGTGTTCTCAAGCCAGATTTTCCTGTCACACAGCCTGAACTGGATCAGAGGCTTCTCTGCCCTTTAATCCTTGCCCTATTTACCATCAGTAGCATTGTAAACTGGTGCCTCAGTATAAAATAAAGGCATGCTCTGTCTTTCGCATTGAAGGGAAATGATGATTATATATTGGGATGTGTGTTAATTGCGGGTACTTGGAATAGCTTGATCTTTTTGTTTAGGTAAGCATTTATAGGTGATCAGTAAATAGAAAACATGATGGGCCCCTCTTGGAGTTTTAAATTTATTGTTAGAGTTTACCCAGAATGCATTTTTTTAAAAAAAGATTTATTGATTTATTTGACAGAGTTATATAGAGCGAGGAGAGGCAGAGAGAGAAAGAGAAAGAGAGGTCGGTCTTCTTTCCACTGGTTCTCTCCCGAGTTGGCTGCAACGGCCGGAGCTGTACCAATCCGAAGCCAGGAGCCAGGAGCTTCTTCTGGGTTTCCCACTCGGGTGCAGGGGTCCAAACACTTGGGCCATCTTCCACTGTTTTCCAGGCCATTAGCAGAGAGCTGGATCAGAAGTGGAGCAGCCAGGACTCGAACTGGCGCCCAAATGGGATGGTGGCACTGCAGGCGGCGACCTTACCTGCTATCCCACAGCCCCTGCCGCCTGAATGTATTTTTAATTGTCCTTATGTTAAGAACAGAAACTTAGGAATTAAACTGATTAAGTTAATGATGAAATTTATTTTTGATGTGTGGAATTGTCTTTTTTTTCCATTTAGATTGTTTTCAAAGATGTAGATGTGTGTCCCAGTTTTCTGATAACCTGTGAATAGACATTTGTATTTGTAATTTTCCCAAAGGAGAGAATTCACATTTTTATGTAAATTATATATAAATTGTTTTTCTCTGCGGATCTACTTGTCTAGTTATATTATACAAAAATCCCATAAAAATGCATTACCTAGACATTCAGCTGTATATCTGTTAGCTGCATTTATGAGGTGTTCCTGGTGCTTCCTTAGGTCCCAGGTTGTCACTAATAGGGTTAGGCTTGGAGAAAATTAAGAGTATTTGTCCACGCCTCCATCCTATAGTCCCATTTAAAAGAGAGGTAAAAGGAAAAAAAAATTGCCCTAAGTGTAACACAAGATATCCTATAACTGGTGTTTTAGAATTGAGAAATCCTTTTATCTTCACTTCTAACTGTCCTTGTCCTTGTGTTTCTTTCTTTCTTTCTTTTTTTTTTTTTTTAAGATTTATTTATTTATTTATTTGAAAGGCAGAGTTGGAGGGAGGGAGAGACAGAGAAGTCTTTCTACTGGTTCACTCTCCAAATGGCCACAATGGCCAGGGCTGGGCTTGGGCCAATGCCAGGAGCCAGAAATTCCATCCAGGTCTCTCATGTGGGTGCAAAGATCCAAATACTGGGGCCATCTTTTGCTGCTTCCCCAGGCACGTTAATGGGTAGATGGATGAAGTGGAGCAGCCACGACTCAGACTGGCACTTTGAAATGGGATGCCAGCGTTGCAAGTGGCAGCTTAACTTGCTGTGCCATAGTGTTTTTTAAGTTGCCTTTAGTGAATGGAAAACTGAAAGAATCTCAGCCAATCTATTCTCTTATGAAGTATATCACAGACTGAAAGAATAGTATGGGAATTAACTAAGAGTAGTTTGTTGAACTCACCTATCATTGTAGTATACTTAGTGTATTAACCAGGCTGCTTGTGTGGCTAGTGGAGCAGCAGGCTCACTTTTTGTTCAGTGCATAGCTTTCATTTACCATTGGGCTTTTAAGGTTAAACACTGTTGAAATTATTAATTAATTTTCTCTATTCACCTGTTTTTTTTTCTTTTACAGCATCCACCCGTTTTGTCAAGTGTGAAAAATGTCATCATTTTTTTGTTGTGCTATCTGAAGCAGACTCAAAGAAAAGCATAATCAAAGAACCTGAATCAGCAGCAGAGGCTGTAAAATTGGCATTCCAGCAGAAACCACCTCCTCCCCCCAAGAAGGTATAGGTCTTAGCTTTATAAGCATTTCATTCTGAAAACATTCCATCACTCTCCCTTCCCCATTTATATGGAATCCTAATCCTAGTACCTAAGCAAGTTTTATAAGTTGTCGATTTGGAGTATATGTGGCTAAATTGCTGTTGATATTTGATACTTAGAATTTAGGTATGGAGTCAGTTGCTTTTTCCCATGTCATGATTGCTAACTTCTGTAGCAGTGAAATATACTGTAATAAGTATTAAATTAGTGTGACTGTCAAGTTAATTTGAAATAATAGCCTTAAATAGAGAAGCTTTTGATTTTTTTGTTTGTTTTTTTGGGACCCTAAATAACTCTAGTCAGCAGGTATCTCTTTTAACCTTGTCTATTTTATGGTAAAGCAGCTCTCAGTCTAACAGTATAAGCAAGTAATTTTTTTTTTTTTTTGACAGGCAGAGTGGACAGTGAGAGAGAGAGACAGAGAGAAAGGTCTTCCTTTTGCCGTTGGTTCACCCTCCAATGGCCGCCGCGGCCGGCGCGCTGCAGCCGGCGCACCGCGCTGATCCGATGGCAGGAGCCAGGAGCCAGGTGCTTTTCCTGGTCTCCCATGGGGTGCAGGGCCCAAGCACCTGGGCCATCCTCCACTGCACTCCCTGGCCACAGCAGAGAGCTGGCCTGGAAGAGGGGCAACCGGGACAGAATCCGGCGCCCCGACCGGGACTAGAACCCGGTGTGCCGGCGCCGCTAGGCGGAGGATTAGCCTAGTGAGCCGCGGCGCCGGCCGCAAGTAATTTTTTCACAGCCAGTGTGCCTGGGCTGCCTCATACAGCACCATGGCTTTTGTGGTGTGGACTGTTTCCAGATTTGGTCCTGTGAAACATAACACAGGGTACCACCAGCTGCATTGGGTTCAAGGTGTTTTTTTGTTTGTTTGTTTTGTTTTTTGTTTTTTTAAGATTTATTTATTTATTTGAAAGGCAGAGTTACAGAGAGATAGAGAGAGGTCTTCCATCCTCTGGGTCACTCCCCAAATGGCTGCAACAGCTGGAGCTGTGCCAGTCCAAAGCCAGGAGCTTCTCCCCAGGTCTCCCACATGGGTGCAGGGGCCCAAGGACTTGGGCCATCTTCCACTGCTTTCCCAGGCCATTAGCAGGGAGCTGGATTAGAAGTGCAGCAGCTGAAACTTGATCCGGTGCCCATATTGGATGTCAGCACTCTAGGCAGCAGCTTTACCCACTATGCCACAACTACTGGCCTCTCAAGGTGTTTTTGAGAACTGGGAGCCCTTGTCTTCTGTGTCTTCAATTTTTTTAAACAATTCATTTCCATTTTATTTGAAAGACAGGGAGAGGGGCAGAGGGGAAGAGAGCAAGCACAATCTTCCATCCCCTGATTCATTCCCCGATTGCCCACAATAGCCAGGGCTGGGCCAGGCTGAAGTTAAGAGCCAGGAACTTAATCTGTATCTCCCACTTGAGGGGCAGGGACCCAAGTACTTGAGTCATCAGCTACTGCCTCCCAGGGTACACATTATCAGGAAGCTGGGTCAGAAGCAGGGCAGCTGTGACTCAAACCAGGCGTTCCGACTGATAACTGCTGTGCCACTTAGCTGCACCTGGGTCTCAGATCTGTGCACATTTATGTTATTTCTCATCCTCTACCTCAGTGTATATTTCTTCTTCTACTGTGCTTAGATACCACTTGTCCCTATCTCCAAATGTGCTGTGGCAGATTTAAAAATTCATAGGTAGAATTCGTGCGGATTGAAGATTTAACCAACTATAATATATATGGTCAACAATGAAAGAATGTCTCATGTAAAAAATAAATAATAGAAAATAGAGGGGGCCGGCGCCATGGCGCAGCAGGTTAATGCCCTGGCCTGAAGCGCCGGCATCCCATTTGGGCCGCCGGTTCAAGACCCGGCTGCTCCACTTCTGATCCAGCTCTCTGCTATGGCCTGAGAAAGCAGTAGAAGATGGCCCAAGTGCTTGGGCCCCTGCACCCATGTGGGAGACCCGGAAGAAGCTCCTGGCTCCTGGCTTTGGATCAGCGCAGCTCCGGCCGTTGCAGCCAATTGGGGAGTGAACCAGCAGATGAAAGACCTCTCTCTCTCTTTCTGCCTCTCCTCTCTCTGTGTAACTCTGACTTTCAAATAAATAAATAAATCTTTAAAAAGAAAAGAAAATAGAGCTACAAAGCTTTATATCTTTATTAACTTGTATAGACTTTAGACATCTGAGTCACTGTTCTGGAAAATAAACATTTTAACTATTTTCAGGAGTTGGTAGATATTAGTACCTTCTTTTTTTCTTAGAAAAATTCTTGGTAGACAAAGAGAGTTCCTTCCTGTCTGTTGGTTCATTCCCCAGCTGCCTACAGTGGGCAGGGCTGGGCCAGGGACTGCGTAGGGACAAAGCCAGGAAGAAGCTGGCAACACAGTCTAGGTCTCCCAAGTGGGTATCAGGGACCCACCTTTTTGAGCCATTACCTGCTGCTTCCCAAAATCCAAATTAGCAGGAATCTGGAGTCAGGAGTAAAGCTAGGCCTTGAACCTAGGCTCTCTGATAGGGGATACAGCCACATTAATTGGCATCTTAACCAATAAAACAAATACCTGAGCCAAAGCAGTTAATTTTGATTCACTGAAAGCTGAAGAAATTTATCCAGGTTTTTGGCTGTCAGCAATATCCAAGGGTAGAACAGAGCTTGAGTTTTGATTGTAGATAAAGCCTTTAGGAGTGGGCATTGTGATGCAGTGGGTGAATCCACCACCTGTGGCGCTGGTATCACATATCAGAGCGCCAGTTCCTGTCGTGGTTGCTCCTAGCTGCTCTGTTTCCCTTCGGGCTTCCTGTTACCACATCTGCATCAGTGATGGCCTAAATGCTTGGCCCCTGTAATCCCTGTAGGAGACCTGGATGGAGTTATTGGCTCCTGGCTGTTGTGGCCATTTTGGGGGTGAACCAGTGGATGGAAGATATTTCTCTCTCTGTCTCTTTTTGAGTGTGTGTATGTATCTCCCTCTCTCTGCAGCACTGCCTTTCAAATTAAATCTTGAAAAATAAATTGTTTGCCATTTAGATAAAATGAGTAGCTTTAAAGTTGGTATTATGAAAAATATGTTTGTATTAAAAGATACATAATATTAAAAGACGGATAGTATAATGACTTTTGGTTATATAATGATGGTTTCTGAAACAGGTAGTTTTATAATACATTATCTTTCTAAGAATATCATATTCATATGGTTGAGAGAAGTAATTGGTTCTTGCCATTCACGTAGGAGACCTGGACAGTATTCTTTGCTCCAGTCCAGCCTTGGACATTACAGGCATCTGGGGAGTGAATCAGTAGATGCAAGCATTCTCTTTCTCTGCCTCTTGGATGCACTTAAAAAAATTTTTTTAAGATTTATTTATTTAGTTGAAAGGCAGAGTGACAGAGAGAGAGAGGGTGCTTCTATCCATTGGTCACCCCCCAAATGGCCACAACAGCTGGGGCCAGGCCAAGCCAAAGCCAGGAACTCCATCTGGGTCTCCCATGTGGGTGGCAGGGATCCAGGTACTTGGGCCATCATCTGCTGCTTTTCCAGATTGGTTAGCAGGAAGCTGGATCAGAATCAAAGCAGTCAGGACTCAAACTGGCACTTTGATATGGAATGTAGACATCTCAAGTGGTGGCTTAATTCATTGTATCACAACACCTGCCCCTAAATAAATATTTAAAAAATAAAATTTAAGCAAATAGGTTCAATATGTCACTTTTTATTATGTGTGCTTTTATAGTAGCTCATAGTAAATTATTCATGCCTAACCATTTTTCAGATCTATAACTACCTCGACAAGTATGTTGTTGGTCAGTCATTTGCAAAGAAGGTGCTTTCAGTGGCTGTGTACAACCATTACAAGAGGATATATAATAACATCCCAGCTAATCTGCGACAGCAAGCAGAGGCTGAGAAGCAGACATCCTTAACACCCAGAGGTTAGTGTTTTTGATTACTGACCACATACAGATGTGTCTGCTTAGAAGTAGTCTTTATTTGTAACTCTTTCCTTTCATCTTAAAATACATTTTTTCAAAGTGTGGGTTGCTTTCTGTTAGTGGGTCATGAAATCATTTTGGTAGGTTGCCAATTGCAGTTTTTTTTCTTTCTTAAACTAATCAATGTCAGCAGAAAATACTAGACTACATTAACTTGTAGTTTAGGTAAGTATTGTTTCTGAAAATTTGTTTGGATTTTGAGTCACTATATATATATTTAAAGATTTATTTTGTTTATTTGAAAGACAGAGTTATAGAGAGAGGTAGAGACAGAGAGAGAGAGGTCTTCCATCCACTGGTTCACACCCCAGAAGGCCACAACGGCTGGAACTGAGCTGATCCAAAACCAGGAGCCAGGAGCTTCTTTCAGGCTCCCATGTGGGTGCAGGGGCCCAAGGACTTGGGCCATCTTCTACTGCTATCCCAGGCCATAGCAGAGAGCTGGATTGGAAGAGGAGCAGCCGGAACTCGAGCCGGCGCCCAAATGGGATGCCAGCACTTCAGGCCAGGGCTTTAACCCACTGCACCACAGAGCTGGCCCCACAAATTATATTTCTTATTGATGGTCTCAGTAAAAACTATTTGAAACCTGGTGGAGTAAGACATTGTCTTTTTTTTTTTTTTTTTTTTAATTTTATTTATTTTTTGAGAAGCAGAGTTATAGACAGAAACAGAGAGAAAGGTCTTCCATCTGCTGGTTCACTACCCAATTGGCTGCAACAGCCAGAGCTGGGCCAATCCAGAGCCAGGAGCCAGGAGCTTCTTCAGGGTCTCCCCACTCAGGTGCAGGGTCTCAACTACTTGGGCCATCTTCTACTGCTTTCCTAGGCCATCGCAGAGAGCTGGATGGGAAGAGGAGCATCTGAGATACAAACTGGCACCCATGTGGGATGCCGGCACCACAGGCGTAGGCTTAGTCCACTAAACCACAATGCTGGCCCCAAGATATTGTCTTTGAATTATAGACTTTACCACACAGGCTAATTCTCCTGAACGAATCATTGTAATGCTCTGTATGACTCTGAGTTCTTGTGTTTTGGGTTCAGAATACAGAATTTCATTTGCCTGAGTAAGAGGTAGGCGGAGATGATAACTGTTAATACATATGCCACTCGGCCGGTGCCGTGGCTCAATAGGCTAATCCTTCACCTGCGGCGCCGGTACCCTGGGTTCTAGTCCCAGTCGGGGCACCGGATTCTGTCCTGGTTGCTCCTCTTCCAGTCCAGCTCTCTGCTGTGGCCCGGGAGTACAGTGGAGGATGGCCCAAGTGCTTGGGCCCTGTACCCACATGAGAGACCAGGAGAAGCACCTGGCTACTGGCTTCGGATCAGCGCAGTGCACCAGCCGCAGTGGCCATTGGGGGTGAACCAACAGAAAAGGAAGACCTTTCTCTTTCTCTCACTGTCCACTCTGCCTGTCAAAAAAAAAAAAAAAAAAAACATATGCCACATATCTACACTCTTCCTCTTTGGGCCCCAGATACAGAGTGCAAGGTTGGGGGTACAATTGTAAAGTGCTTGTTTCAAAGTGCAAGGCCTATTAATGATAGATTTTAATATTTTAATATAGGCCGGTGCCGTGGCTCAATATAATCCTCTGCCTTGCGGCGCCGGCACACTGGGTTCTAGTCCCAGTCAGGGCGCCGGATTCTGTCCCGGTTGCCCCTCTTCCAGGCCAGCTCTCTGCTATGGCCCAGGAGTGCAGTGGAGGATGGCCCAAGTGCTTGGGCCCTGCACCCCATGGGAGACCAAGAGAAGCACCTGGCTCCTGGCTTCGGATCAGTGCAGTGCGCCAGCCATGGCGGCCATTGGAGGGTGAACCAGTGGTAAAGGAAGACCTTTCTCTCTGTCTGTCTCTCTCTCACTGTCCACTCTGCCTGTCAAAAATAAAAAATAAAAGAATTTAATATTTTAATATACTATGTAATTTCAAATTAATGTGGATACAGTGCGTGTTTTATTAAATAGAATATTTTATAAAAATTTATATTCACAATTGTTAATATAGTGAAACATAAATATTTAAGTTGTTTTGTTATTGTTGGTCAGAGAGTCCTGATTTCCAATTTAGACCTATAATCTAGCATTTTAGATTCTTTTGGTCATTATTGTACAATCTAAGTGAGTTCTTTTTAAAACTAAATTATTTTTTGAGTACCTTTAGTAGCTACTAAGTATATAACTGGTTTTAATGAAGTCATTTATTTGCTTGTTGAACTTAACTGCAAAGAAATTTTTTTGGTAATATCAGTTACTTTTTTTTTAGAAAGCATTAGTCATAACTAATGGAAAACTTGAAACCTCTTTTTGTTTTTGAAAGGTCCAAATAGTCCTGTCTAATAGCACAGCAAATTTTTTTCTGGTTCCTTCAGTCATTAGTCAATGTGCAAACTGTTCAAGATAGTGGAAGAACATATGGTTATGTTATTTATTAGTATGAGGGATTTTAACTTTTATTGAAGACTTAAATAATTGCATTCTTTTCTTAAAATAGATAGAATTTTGTATTTGGAAAGCATGAGTATTAACAGCTGGATAGCCATCATGAATATTAGAGAATGCATCTTTTCAGTGTATTTGGAAGGGGTAGGAAGTGGGATGCTCATTGTTTCCCCAAGCTAAACAAATTTGTAATATTTTCATGTTGCCGTTTTCATCCTTTCTCAGAGTTAGAGATCAGAAGACGGGAGGATGAATACAGATTCACAAGTAAGTGACCTCTCCTCGGGTCCTCCTAAATTGTTCTTCCTTTTGAGATGTACCGCAGTGAAGTGTCTCAGCTGTAATAAGGCAGTATATTACCAAGAAAAATCCAAATATGCTTATCAGATATGTCATATATAATTTTTTTTTTTTTTTTTTTTTTTGACAGGCAGAGTGGACAGTGAGAGAGAGAGACAGAGAGAAAGGTCTTCCTTTTGCCGTTGGTTCACCCTCCAATGGCCGGTGCAGCCGGCGCGCTGCGGCCAGTGCACCGCGCTGATCTGATGGCAGGAGCCAGGTGCTTCTCCTGGTCTCCCATGGGGTGCAGGGCCCAAGCACTTGGGCCATCCTCCACTGCACTCCCTGGCCACAGCAGAGAGCTGGCCTGGAAGAGGGGCAACCGGGACAGAATCCGGCGCCCCGACCGGGACTAGAACCCGGTGTGCCGGCGCCGCAAGGCGGAGGATTAGCCTAGTGAGCCGCAGTGCCGGCCTAGTTTTGAAAGTTTTTCATAATTTGTGTGGTTTATGTTGGGTTATTTCAGGTATTTGATTTCTGTCTTTTCTGTTATGACACTATTTTTTGGATTTTTTTTTTTTTTTTGAAAGGCAGACTTAGAAAGAAAGAGAAATCTTCCATCCACTGGTTCACTTCCCGAATAGCTGCAATGGCTGGAACTGAGCTAGGCGAAACGAGGAGCCAGGAGCTTCTTCCAGGTCTCTGACATGGATGCAGGGGCTGAAGCACTTGGGCAGTCCTCTGCTGCTTTCCCAGGCATGTTAGCAGGGAGCTAGATTGGAAGTGGAGTAATTGGTCCTTGAACCAGACTGCTTATGGGACCAAGGCACTGTAGGCAGTGACTTAACCTGCTGTGCCACAGTGCCTGCCCCTGTGATATTTCTTAAAGCAAAACTTAAGAAATACATGCACTGTATGTAGTTTTCCTCTATAAAGATAGACATCTAAGCAGGAGTTGTGTTTTTAAAAATCCATGATTGGGGCTGGCGCTGTGGCACAGTGGGTTAACGCCCTGGCCTGAAGGGCCAACATCCCATATGGGTGCCAGTTCGAGACCTGGCTGCTCCACTTCCGATCCAGCTCTCTGCTGAGGCCTAGGAAAGCAGTAGAAGATGGCCCAAGTGCTTGGGCCGCTGCACCTATGTAGGAGACCCAGAAGAAGCTCCTGGCTTCTAACTCCTGGCTTCAGATTGGCACAGCTCTGGCTGTTGCAGCCAACTGGGGAATGAACCAATCCGATGGAAGACCTCTCTCTCTCTCTCTCTCTGCCTCTCCTCTCTCTGTGTAACTCTGACTTTCAAATAAATAAATAAATCTTTAAAATATAAATAAATAAAAATAAATAAAAAAATAAAAATCCATGATTTACTACTTTACATCTTTTTTTTGCAAAACTATAATCAGAGCCAACCTTCTATAGTGATAGATCTTTCATGGTGGTAGATTATCTTCTGACTACTCTTTGCTAAAAAACAGTTTATTTTTTGGTATTTATGAAACTTATTGTAGTTTTGCAAATTATGAATTAGCCTCAGTTCATTGTTTCCAGCCCTGGATTGCTCCTGTGAACATCAGGTGGTCCCATGGAGGGTTGGGGAGGACCTGATACATCAAGCAGAATAACTGTTCTGATGGCTTGCACCCATTTCTTCAGAGGTGAATCTAGTTGCTGCAGAAGATAAGGTTCCAGGGGTGTCAATAAGACATTCATATGGCTCTTTATTTATTTATTTAGATTTATTTATTTGAAAGGCAGAACCATAGAGAGAGAATCTTCTACCTGATGGTTCACTCCCCAAATAACTGTAATGGCCAGGGTTGGGCCAAGCAGGAGCCAAGAGCTTCTTCTAGGTCTCCCACATGAGAGCAGGTTCCCAAATTCTTGGGCCATCTTCCACTGCTTTCCCAGGCACATTAGCAGGGAACTTGGTTTGGAAGTACAGTAGACAAGACTCGAACTGGTGCCCATATGGTGGCATTGCAAGCAGCATCTTAATCTGCTATGCTGCAACACTAACCCTAAGTGTTTGGTTTTAGACATAGGTTTTCACTGGGGGCATTTTTAAAAGTAAATTCAGGGGCCGGTGCTATAGCATAGTGGGTAAAGCCGCTGTCTGCAGTGCCAGCATCCTATATGGGCACTGGTTCGAGTCCCAGCTGCTCCACTTCCAACCTAGTTCTCTGCTATGGCCTGGGAAGGCAGTGGAAGATGGCCCAGGTCCTTGGGCCCCTGCACCTGGGTGGGAGGCATGGAAGAAGCTCCTGGCTCCTGGCTTCAGATCAGCACAGCTCCAACCATTGCGGCCATTTGGGGAGTGAACCAGCAGATGGAAGACTTCTCTCTCTCTCTCTCTCTAGCTGCCTCTCTGTAAATCTGCCTTTCAAATAAATAAATAAATCTTTATTTAAAAAAAGTAAATTCAAATGATACTTTAGTAATTTTTTGGCCTTCTTTCAGAATTGCTGCAGATCGCTGGAATCAGCCCACATGGTAATGCTTTGGGAGCATCAATGCAGCAACAGGTGAATCAGCAAATACCTCAGGAAAAGCGAGGAGGCGAAGTATTGGACTCTGCTCATGATGACATAAAACTTGAAAAAAGTAACATTTTGCTGCTTGGACCAACTGGGTCAGGTAAATAACTTCTTCAGGAAACTTGTGACTTTTTTTTTTTTTTGGACAGGCAGAGTGGACAGTGAGAGAGAGACAGACAGAGAGAAAGGTCTTCCTTTGCCGTTGGTTCACCCCCAGTGGCCGCTGCGGCCGGCGCGCTACGACGGCACACCGCACTAATCAGGAGCCAGGTGCTTCTCCTGGTCTTCCATGGGGTGCAGGGCCCAAGCACTTGGGCCATCCTCCACTGCACTCCTGGGCCACAGCAGAGAGCTAGACAGGAAGAGGAGCAACCAGGACAGAACCCGGCACCCCGACTGGGACTAGAACCCAGGGTGCTGGCGCCACAGGCAGAGAATTAGCCTAGTGAGCCACGGCACTGGCCATGACTCATTTTAAAAAATATAATTTAAATGATTCTGTGACATATTTCTTGTCTGCTGTGTGTTATGCTGAATCCCGTATTGTCACCAGTTTGCATCCCAGCTGTTCGACTTCCGATCCAGTTCCCTGCTAATGTGCCTGGAAAGCAGTGGAGGATGGCCCAAGCACTCTTGTGGGAGACATGGAAGAAGCTCCTGGCTCCTGGCTTCAGCCTGGCCCAGCCTTGACCATTGCACCCATTTGGGGAGTGAACCAGCAGATGGAAGAGCAAACTCTTTCTCTGTGTTTGTCTCTCTGCCTTTCTCTAACTCTGCCTTTAAAAAAAAAAAAAAGTTTTTTTAAATTATTGATTTTAATTGAAAGGTAAAGTTAGAGAGAGGGAAATACAGAGAGAGATCTTCCATCTGCTTGCTGGTTCCCTTCCCAAATGGACATAATGGCCAAAGCTGGGCCAATCCAAAGCCAAAAGGCAGGATCTTCTTCCAGGTCTCCCACATGGTTGCAGGGGCACAAGTACTTGGGCCATCTTTGGCTGTTTTCCCAGGCACATTAGCAGGGAGCTGGATCAGAAGTGGATCAGCCAGGACTTGAACTGGCACCAATAGGGAATGTCAGTGCTGCAGGTGGCGACTTTATCTGCAATACCACCATGCCAGCCTCTTCAACTCTGCCTTTCAAATAAATAAAATAAATCTTTAAAATATACAACTGGATCAGAATAATAGTAGAGAAAACATGTGACCATTAACTTTTTATTATATACTGTTGAAATTTATTTTGCAGCTTTGTAGAAAAATTATGTCAGTAGATCTTTAATAAACCTTTAGTTACTATTTCTTTTTGTAGGTAAAACCTTGCTGGCACAAACTCTAGCTAAATGCCTTGATGTTCCTTTTGCTATCTGTGACTGTACGACTTTGACTCAGGCTGGATATGTGGGTGAAGATATTGAATCTGTGATCGCAAAACTCCTCCAGGACGCCAATTATAATGTAGAAAAAGCACAGCAAGGTATGTTTGCAGCACCACATGTGTGTCCCCATATAGTCTGTTGGGGAAGCAGTTTAATGTTAAGAGATAATCTAACTCTGATTTTGAGTTATGGACTAAAATCTTATAATTATGTATAAGTACTTAATATTACATAGTTTTTAACATACTGATTAAAGACCACAAAGTTTGGTTTGCTTTGTTGTTACTAAACTGTCTACTAGGGTGGAGACAGGCCTAAATACTAGTATATCCTCAGTATTATCATTAGATCTCCATCTGTTATCTGTCCTTGTTGACATGAAAAGCTTGACAGCATCCTGATGAAATTCCTTCCAGACAAGAGTACAGCTGGGAAAGGGTAAGCTACAAATTCGCTAGTACTGGCACTGTACATACCTCATGGTTCCATACTATCAGCTTCCTGTAATAAACAACTTAAATACATTAGTGGGATAGATGACTATTAAGACATTTGGGTATCATACTCAAATGATAGTCTTATTTAATTCTAGGCAGTTGCACAAAATGATGGAGAGATAGCAGTGTATTTTTTTTAAGATTTTTTTTTTCTTATTTGAGAGGTAGATTTACAGACAGTGAGAGGGAAAGACAGAGAGAAAGGTCTTCTATCCACTGGTTGACTCCCCAAATGGCCACAATGGCCAGAGCTGAGCTGATCTGAAGCCAGGAGCTTCTTCCAGGTCTCCCACATGGATGCAGGGGCCCAAGGACTTGGGCCATCTTCTGCTGCTTTCCCAGGCCATAGCAGGGAGCTGGATTGGAAGAGGAGCAGCCAGCACCACAGGCAGAGGATCAACTTACTGTGTCACAGCACTGGCCCTTAGCAGTATATTTTTATAATGTCAAGTCATTGCATATGTTAAGAATGAAAGATTGAATAACGGCTCTCTAGGTTGTATCTTTTAAAGCTGAGACTATCTTGTGTGTGTCTTTTTCATATTATAAATAGAATCCTCCTTGAATTATAGGAATTGTCTTTCTGGATGAAGTAGATAAGATTGGCAGTGTGCCAGGCATTCACCAGTTACGGGATGTAGGTGGAGAAGGCGTTCAGCAAGTAAGCAGTTGAATATTTTGTTCAAGCCCACTAAAAGGAAGGGAGCACATCAGCCTCCCAAAGATTGTACGTTTGGTTTCACATTCAATTAGATTCTGTTTTGTTTATTTCTCCCACCCCAAACTCCACATATCACTTTAAGTAGTTCAGATGCAGACCTAAAAGAAAGTTGTTGTTGATGATTTTAAATACCAGATTCTCTTTCTTGGCAAATTAAACATATTTTGAAGAAATAAAGAAAAATTTTTTTGTTGTTGTTTTTATTCCTCAAAGGCCTAATTAAACATTTCTAGGCTTGTAAAAAAAAAAAATCTCAGCAAATTTACTTTTCAGGAGAGGCAGAGTTATGGACAGAGAGAGGGAGAGACAGAGAGAGTTCTTCCACCCATTGGCTCACTCCCCAAATGGCCACAATGGCCAGAGTCGGGCCAGTCAGAACAGTCAGAAGCCAGGAGCCAGGAGCTGCTTCTGGGTTTCCCACATGGGTACAGGGGCCCAAGGACTTGGATTATCTTCCACTACTTTTCCTGGCCATCAACAGGGAGCTGGATTGGTAGTGGAGCAGCTGGGACTCAAACTGGTACCCATATGGGATGTTGGCGCTACAGGTGGATGTTTAACCTACTACACCACAGCACTGGCCCCTCTAGAAGACTCTTGATGAATGTTTTGAGCTATTTACATGTTTCCTATTCCTTTACTTAGTTAGAAAGTTTATAGAATAATTTTTAATTCCTCACAGAGTCATAATTAAAGTCACAATGACTTATTGGCCATATTGACCTTTTGATGGTAAATAATTATGACATAAACTAAAGGGTGAGGAAAATCTCAGAATTTTTGTTTTGTTTTTGTTTTGACAGAGACAGAGAGGTACAATCACATTGAAAGTGCTAGATCCTTTTTTTTTAATATAATGGTATCTCAAAATTCAAAGTTTAGCCCTAGAACTGAATAAAATTTAAATTTATGTGAGAGGCAATTTTTCAACTATTTTCAGATTTTTAATATTTCCCACCATGATTTAGAACCATTTTATAGAGTCCTAGTTCTGTCTTTATGTCATTTGTATCTTTATCATCAAGAACAACCTCTTAGGTTGATTATTTCCTCGGTTGTTATGCATCAGGAGTCCTGTAGCCATTTTAAATTAATTATTCATGTGATGTGTACACTATAGATTTTCATGTTAGCTGTTAAAATCTGGGAGTTTTCATTAGTTATGCTCATTGATCATGAACATATTAATTTCCCCCATTGAATCCCATTATATAAAGTATAATAAAGGATACACTTACATGGTGATGCTATAAATTATTTGTTCTTTATTTAGGGCTTATTAAAACTACTAGAAGGTACAATAGTCAATGTTCCAGAAAAGAATTCACGAAAGCTACGTGGGGAAACAGTTCAAGTTGATACAACAAATATCTTGTTTGTTGCATCTGGCGCTTTCAATGGTTTAGACAGAATTATCAGCAGGAGGAAAAATGAAAAGGTAAGTTTTTCTGAGGGGTTGCTAGAAGGATAGACAGCATTTAAAGTTAGAGAGGATGGATACTTAGTGTCTGTTCTGTCTGTTTGCTATCAGGGATTTTTTTTTTTTTTTTTAAGATTTATTTATTTATTTGAAAGGCAGTTACAGAGAGGGAGAGGCAGAGAGAGAGAGAGACAGAGAGGTCTTCCATCTGGTAGTTCACTCCCCAAATGGCCACAATGGCTGTAGCTGTGCCTATCCAAAACCAGGAGCCAGGAGCTTCTTCTGGGTCTCCCATGTGGGTGCAGGGGCCCAAGGACTTGGGCCATCTTCTGCTGCTTTCTCAGGCCATAGCAGAGAGCTGGATGGGAAGTGGAGCAGCTGGGACTCAAGCCAGCACTCACATGGGATGACAGCACTGCAGACGGCGGCTTTACCCACTATGCCACAACACCAGCCCCAGTCAGGGATTTTCTTAGATTTCTTAGTTACTTTTTAAAATTTTATAATAGTAAATTGGAAGCTTTCTAAATATCATCTATTAGACTTTTTTTTTTTTTTAAAGATTTACTCACTTATTTGGAAGGCCAAGTAACACAGAGAGAGATCTTTTAAACTGTGGGTTTCCTCCCCAAATGGCCACAATGGCTGACCAAAGCCAGGATTCCAGAACTCCGTCCAGGTCTCCCACGTGGATTGCAGGGGCCCAAGAACATGAGCAGTCTTTCACCACGTTCCAAGGCACATTAACAGGGAGCTGGATTGGAAGAGGAACAGTTGGGAGTTGAACCTGCACTCCGATATGGGATGCTGGTATCACAAGTGGCAGCCCAACTGCTGTGTCACAGTGCCATCTCCCTTTATTAGTAGAGTGTTTAACAGTGACTCAAGAGATTTGTGGATAATTGTTTTACTTTTTATTTAATTTTTTAAGATTATTTTTTGAAAAGCAGAGTTATACATAAAGAGAGAAAGCCAAAGAGAGAGAGAATCTTTAATCCGCTGGTTCACTCCCCAAATGGCCACAATGCCTGGGACTCGGCTGGGACTCAAACCAGCAACTGTATGGAATGCCAGCATCACAGTCAGTGGCTCTATGCCGCAACATCAACCTCATGTGGAAATTGTTTTAAGATGCTTGTTACATAGGCACTGCCCTAATTTACAGTATTACAAAGTTAACTTTAGTTACAAAAGATTACTATATTCATTTTTGTAATTCTTTTTAAAAATCACACTTGTCTAGAGGTCTTGTCTAAACCTTGCAGCTTCATTATCTTTAGTTCTAAAGGACTTTCCTTTGTACTTCTTAATTATCTACTTTTACTAAAATTCATTCTTTGAGGAGCCAGCATTGTGGCATAGCTGGTAAAGCTGCTGCCTGCAAAACCGGCATCCCATATGGGCGCCAGTTCATATCCCAGCTGCTCTGCTTCTAGTCCAGCTCGCTGCTAGTGACCTGGGAAGAGCAGTGGAGGATGGCCCAGTGCCAGGGCCTCTGCAACCACAGGGGACCTTGGTGAAGCCTCCGGCTCCTGGCTTCAGCCTGACCCAGCCCTGGCCATTGTGGTCATCTGGGGAATGAACCAGCAGATGGAAGATCTCTCTCTGTCTCCCTCTCTCTGAGCTTTCCCAAATAAATAAATAAATAATTTTTAAAAATTCATTGTTTGAGAGTTATTATATAGTGATTATGTCTTCAGTTCTGAATGCAGACAGACTTGAGTTTAAATCCTGGTTTTAGGGGTGGGCTTTGTGGCACAATGAGTTAAGCTGACAGCGGTGACACTGACATCCTACTGAAGTGTTCAAGTCCTAGCTGCTCCACTTGCAATGCAGCTCCCTGCTAATGTGCCTGGGAAAGCACTGAAAGATAGCCCAAGTGCTTGGGCTCCTGATAACTCATGTGAAGCTTCTGGCTTCAGCCTGGCCCAGCCCTCACTGTTGTGGCCATTTGGGGAGTGAACCACCAGATGGACAATCTCTCTCTCTCTCTCTCTGACTTTACCTTTCAAATAAATAAATCTTGAAAGAAAATACTTCTGGCTTTAATACTTAGAGTAACAAGACTTTGGACAATTTATTTAACCTGTCTGAGCCTGTTTTTTTTTTTTTTTTTTTTTTTTTAATTTATTTTATTTATTTGGAAAGCAGAGTACAGAGAGAGAAAGATTTTTCATCTGCTGGTTCATTCCCCAAATGGCCACAAGGGCCTGGGCTGAGCCAAGCCAAACCAGGAGCCAGGAGCTTCTTCCAGTTCTGCCACACAGGTGCAGGGGTCCAAGCACTTGAGTCATCTGCTGTTTTCCCAGGCCACTAGCAGGGAGCTGGATCAGAAGTGGAGCAGCTAGGACTCAAACCAGCACTCATATGGGATGCTGCAGTGCCTTAACCTGTTGTACCACAATACTGGCCCCAAGCCTGTTTGTCTTCCTATGTAAAATGTGAATGATAAGGGTCAGCGCTGTAGTGAGGTAGATAAGGCTGCTGCTTGCGGCACCAGCATTCCACATGGGCCCTGGTTCGAGTCCCAGCTGCTCCACTTCCAATCCATCTTCCAACTGATGGCCTGGGAAAGCAGTGAAAGATAGCCCAAGGGCTTGGGCCCCTGCCACCCATATGGGAACCCTGGAAGAAGCTCCTGGCTCCTGGCTTTGGATCAGCCCAGCTCTAGCCGTTGTGGCTATTTTAGTAGTGAACCAGTGGATGGAAGATCACACTCTGTCTCTTTAACTCTGCCTTTCTAATAAATAAATAAATCTTTAAAAAAATGTTTTTAAAAATGTGAATGATAATAGAATCTGCTTGTAGAGTTGTTGCAAAGTTCATGTGAGGACTGGCACCTTATCCAAATTTATAATATGTGTAATTTCTCTGACAGTACCTTGGATTTGGAACACCATCTAACCTGGGAAAAGGCAGAAGAGCTGCAGCTGCTGCAGACCTTGCTAATAGAAGTGGGGAGTCGAATACTCACCAAGACATCGAAGAAAAAGACCGGCTGTTGCGTCATGTGGAAGCCAGGGATCTCATTGAATTTGGCATGATTCCTGAGTTTGTGGGCCGGTTGCCTGTGGTTGTTCCTTTGCATAGCCTAGACGAGAAGACACTTGTACAGATACTGACTGAGCCACGCAATGCTGTCGTTCCTCAGTACCAGGCTTTATTCAGCATGGATAAGGTCAGCCTTTTATTTTTCATTCTTCACTGATTTATGATTTCTCACTATTCAGACACTATATAAATTAGTCTAACAGATTAAAAAGAAATCCTGCTTGCCTGTAATATCAGCCTGTTCCTGACTAAATAATGGATCTAGGAATCAGGGAAGACACATTGCACATTATATTAGTAAGAGTTGGCTTCTTTTTTTTTTTTTTTTTTTTTAATGTTGTCATTGTAGCTTTAGCCCAAGGAAATAAAGAAGTGATGCCATCAGTCTCTAAGCCAAACACATGGGATTGTCCATTCAGCCTTGATATTCTAAATATTTTTGGTATGACATACTATGTGAACTTTTATAGGAGGGTTTACAAAAAGTTTGTGGGGAAATTGAATTTAAAAATATTGTAGGGGCTGGCATTGTGGTGTAGTGGGTAAAGCTACTGCCTGAAACACTGGTATCCAATATGGGCACTAATTCATGTCCTGGCTGCTCCACTTCCAATCCAGCTCTGTGGTAATGTGCCTGAGAAAAGCTGCAGAGCATAGCCCAAGTGTTTAGGCCCCTACTACCCATGCGGGAGACCCTGATGAAGCTCCTGGCTTTGGCCTGTCCTAGCCCTGGCCATTGTAGCCATCTGGGGAATGAACCAGTGGATGACAGATCTCTCTCTGTCTCTCCCTCTCTTGTTACAATCTTGATTTTCAAATCAATCAATCGATCTTAAATATATATATATGTATTACATATATATATGTGTATATATATATGTATGTAATATGTATATATTTCATCCCAGAATTCTGGTAATATGATTGGGAAGGCAAAGAAATATAGGCCAAGTACTTAGGCCCCTGCCATCCATGTGAGAGGCAAGGATGGAATTTCTAGCTTTGGTCTGGCCCAGACTTGGCTATTGTGGCCATTTGGGGAATGAATCAGCAAGTGGAATATCTCTGTTTCCCTCCTTTCTCTGTTGCTCTGTCTTACAAATAAATAAATAAATCTTTAAAAAATCCATTTTCCACAAGCTTTTAAAATACCCCTTATATACTTTTTTAAATAAATTTTTTTTTAGATTTTCTTTGAGGGGTGGCAGGGCGGCATTATGGCACAGTGGATAAAGCCACTGCCTGACACAAGGCACAGGTTTGAGTCCTGAATGCTCTCCTTCTGATCCAGTTTTCTGCTAATATACCTGGGAAAGCAGCAAAGATGGCCCAAATACTTGGGCCCCTGCACCCACCTGGGAGACCCAGAAGCAGCCTTGGGTTCCTGGCTTCGGTCTGACCCAGCCCTGGCTGTTAATGTCCATTTGGGGAGTGAACCAGTAGATGGAAGATCTCTCTCTCTCTCTCTCTCTCTCTCTTTCTCTCTCTCTCTCTCTCCCTTTCCCTCTGTCTCTGTAACTCTGCCTTTCAAATAAATAAGTCTTTAAAAAAAGATTTATATTTTCTTCTGAAATAGTAAGAGAGGAAGAGACATACAGAGAGATCTTCCATCTGCCTAGTTCACTCCAGCTAATGGCCACAATGGTTGGGACCACCCCAGAACTCCATCCATGTCTCCCGTGTGGGTGGCAGGGACCCAAGCACTTGGGGCATCTTCCACTGCCTTTCCAGGCTAATACATTAGCAGGGAGTTGGATTGGAAGTGGAGCAGCCAGGACTCATACCAATGCTCTGATACGGGATACTGGCATCGTAGGTGGCAGCTTAACTCGCTGGGCCACAACATTGGTCCCTACATAAATTTTATTAGTTTTCATATCTACATCTCTGCAGCCAAACACTGCAGTGACCTGTCACTCCAACCCACACTTCCAATCAGATAACAAACGTTCTGGACTTTTTTAACTTTTTTGTAAATATCATCTCTCCTTTGCTGTCACTTAGATTAAGCCCTTTTATCATTCTTGACTTGAATCCATACGTTTGGTTCCTACTTTGTCTTCCTGTCTCAAGTCTGTGTCTTGACCATCACCAACAAAATATCATTATCTTCCACATCCAAATGGATAATTTTTAAATTATTGAGCACAGTGCCCATCAAGCACATGTTTTTAATTAGTATTTATTGAATGAATAGTCACAATAATTTCACTAATTGCTAATTCTTTTACTCCCTTAAAATTCTTTAGTGGCCCCATTGTCGTCTTTGGATGCCTCTACTTTGGTGCTCCCTTAGCATCCTGTTCATTCACTGGTCTGTAAATGCCAGTGTGCTAAATTTTTTGACAGCAAAGATGATGTCTAATTTGTCCTTCAGTTTCTAGTATGTAAATACATAGGGGTTCATCAAATATTGAACAGTGTTCTAGAAAGTTCATGTGAATCTAGAAAGCCTCTTGGAGGACTAGGAAAAAAACTTGGCAATTCCTAATAATGATACTGTCATAGATCAGTCACAGAAACAAGTGCTGCTTGAGGGCAAAGTTCTAAAACACCATGAGAAATAATCACGTCACTTAAATTTCACATTTTCTGGAGGAAAGCATTAATAACAAGTCATCTAATAAGATCTTATGAAAAAAAATTTAAAGATATATTTATTTACTCAAAAGGCAATTAAGAGAGAGAGCAACATTGATCTTCCATCCACTGGTTCACTCTCCAAATGACTGCAGTAGTCAGGCAAATCCAGAAATGCAAAACTCCATCTGGTTCTCCTGTGCAGGTAGCAGGGGCCCAAGCACTTGGGCCATCTTCCACTGCTTTTCCAGGCACTTCAGCAGGGACTTGCCGTGCCACAGTGGTGGCCCTGTGAAGTTTTCTAATTCAAAGTATTTTGATTTTTTTTTTAATATTCTCATCTTTTGAAATTTGTGGTAATTTATAAAAGACTTGTCCTGAGTTCTACCTTTGTTGTACAAGATGAGAAGATTAGTAATACTCTAAAATGTAATTTTAAGAACCTCAGAAGATGTTTTAGGAGGAAAGTAATGAACTCTAAGTGATACTTTAGTCTGAAAGGGGATGAGTTCAGTCGAGGCATGTACATCCTGACCCTGCCTGTGTTTCTGAGTATCATCGAGTCACTTTGCTCAGCCCTCTGGAACTTACTTATTGTGTAGTCAGGGCGTTGGTTTCTTTTCATTCTAAAATTCTGTGATTCTAAGACTAGTAATAGTGGTAGGTAATAATAGCTAATAGATCAAATACTGTGTAGTTACATTAGGAAAATATTATAATTATCTAAATTCTCTTTTATCTTTAATGTATTTTTAGTGTGAACTGAATGTTACTGAGGATGCTTTGAAAGCTATAGCCAGATTGGCCCTAGAACGAAAAACAGGTGCACGAGGCCTTCGGTCCATAATGGTAAGTTTGCATTATTCCACAAAAAGTAAATTATCTCTTGGTCTGAGTTTTAAGAATTATTAAACTTACCCAATTTTCTTTTGCAAATATATCTAGAGAATTGGCCTAAGTTTTTCTGTGATAGGTGGCAGGAGAAGGGGTGGTCCACAGTGTGTTTTGCTTTTTTTCTAAAAAGACTAAGATGTTTGGGACAAAGAACACATACATGATATGATTAATGAACTAGAGAAAGGATTGTGGCAAGGAGAATTTCAGAAAATTCTATATGGGCTTTTGAATAAGCCCAGAGAATTTCTTTCTTCTTCTTTTTTTTTAATTTGCTCATAGAAGTTTTTATTTATTTTAAAAAATTTTATTAATATAAAGATTTCATGCATTCCATAGGTACAGTTCCAAGAAGACAACTACACTTCCCTACTCCTCCCTCTCCCACCCTCCAATCTCCCTCCTGCACTCTTCTGCCTTCATCAGTTTTTGCAAAAACATAATTTTGATCCACTCTGTATTCATAGGCTTAATTTGTTTGCCACTCATCATAGTCAACAAGTAAAAAGTAGGATTGAAATTTCATTCTCACTTGTTTGTAAATCACAGATACCTTGACATTTATCCTAAACTTCTTGAAGATGGTATGAACTCAGTTTTTTTTTTTTTTTTAAAGATTTATTTATTTGAAAGTTACACAGAGAGAGAAGGAGAGGCAGAGAGAGAGGTCTTCCATCAATGATTCACTCCCCAGATGGCTGCAATGGCTGGAGCTGTGCCAATCCGAAGCCAGGAGCCAGGAGCTTCCTTCGGGTCTCCCACGCAGGTGCAGGGGCCCAAGCACTTGGGCTATTTTCCATTGCTTTCCCAGGTCACAGCAGAGAGCTGGATCAGAAGCGGAGCAGCTGGGACTCAAACCTGTACCCATGTGGGATTCCAGCACTGCAGGCATTGGCTTTACATGCTATGCCACAGGGCTGGCCCTGAACTCATTTTTTAATTTTGTTACAGATCCTAGGGACCTGGTCTGTTTTCTGATGCCATCCACTTCCCTAGAGTTTTCCTGCTTCCCTCCAGGTCTGGCTGAATAATGGGTTTCTGTTTCCTTTCCTGTGTGCAAAGAAGCACCTATTCCTGTTCTCTTTTTATTTTATTTATTTATTTATTTATTTATTTATTTATTTGACAGAGTGGACAGTGAGAGAGAGAGACAGAGAGAAAGGTCTTCTTTTGCCGTTGGTTCACCCTCCAATGGCCGCCACGGCTGGCACGCTGTGGCCAGCGCACCGCGCTGATCCGATGGCAGGAGCCAGGAGCCAGGTGCTTTTCCTGGTCTCCCATGGGGTGCAGGGCCCAAGCACCTGGGCCATCCTCCACTGCACTCCCTGGCCACAGCAGAGAGCTGGCCTGGAAGAGGGGCAACCGGGACAGAATCTGGCACCCCAACCGGGACTAGAACCCGGTGTGCCGGCACCGCTAGGCGGAGGATTAGCCTAGTGAGCCGCGGCGCCGGCCTATTTATTTATTTTTTTGACAGGCAGAGTTAGAGAGAGAGAGAGAGAGAGAAAGGTCTTCCTTCTGTTGGTTCATCCCCAAAATGGCTGCCATGGCCGGCGCGCTGCACCGATCCGAAGCCAGGAGCCACGTACTTCCTCTTGGTCTCCCATGTGGGTGCAGGGCCCAAGCACTTGGGCCATCCTGCACTGTACTCCCGGGCCACAGCAGAGAGCCGGACTGGAAGAGGAGCAACCAGGACAGAATCCAGCACCCCAACTGGGGCTAGAACCCAGAGTACCGACTCGGCAGGCAGAGGATTAGCCTAGTGAGCTGTGGCGCCGGCCTCCTGTTCTCTTTTAAGGATTTCACTGCTTTCTATCACTTCCCTCATCTCAATAAGACTTTTGATTAGAACTTATACGTTTGTCACAGATAATTTGAGGTTATACCCTGAAAGGACCTGGGCTTAAGGTGTTGATAAGGACAGATTTATAATCATGCATACTGTAAGAGTAAGTGATACAGTTGACATTTTTTAGGGAATTTGATGTACTCAACCAGTATCTTCCTTTAGGTGGAATATAATTCAGCCCTGATCTTTAGGCAAAGGTAGTTTCCTGTAGTAAATGACTGTTAGATCTATAGCACTTGAGAAAAAGGTCATTTGAAGTCATAGTTTGAAGTTGAAGAGTTCAGTAGAGATGATTTTTTAAGATTTTTTTTTTAACAGGTAGAGTTACAGACAGAGACAGACAGAGAGAAAGGTCTTCCCTCTGTTGGTTCACTCCCCAGATTGCTGCAATGGCTGGAGCTACGCCGATCTGAAGCCAGGAGCCTCCTCCTGGCCTCCCATGTGGGTGCAGGTGCCCAAGCACTTGGGCCATCCTCCACTGCCCTCCCAGGCCTCAGCAGAGAGCTGGACTGAAAGAGGAGCAACGGGGACTAGAACCTGGTGCCCATATGGGATGCCGGCGCCACAGGCGGAGGATTAACCAAGTGCACCAGCCCCAGTAGAGATGATTTAAGATTAAACTATCTTTGGGGGCTGGCACTGTGGTGCGGTGGGTAAGGTGCCAACCTGTAGTGCCAGCATCCTATATAGGCACCAGTTAATGTCCTGGCTGCTCTACTTCTGAACCAGCTCCCTGCTAATGTGCCTGGGAAAGCAGTGGAAGATGGCCCAAGGCCATGGCACCTGCCATCCATGAAGGAGAACCCAGAGGAAGCTCCTGGCTCTTAGCTTCGGACAGGTCCAGCTTGGCTATTGCAGCCACTTGGGGAGAGAACCAGTGCATGGAAGATTCCACTGAATTTTAGTTAGAAGCTGTTTTAATTTAAAGAATATGAAGCTTCAGTGTTGCCTTCAACATTCAATTTTTAGTGTATAATAGAGATGCAGTCATGTTTATTGAGTGAGTATAAAGGTGTTTATCCTTTCTGTTTTCCATGTGATTGATTACTTTCTATCTCTTTAGGAAAAGCTGTTACTAGAACCAATGTTTGAAGTCCCTAATTCTGATATTGTCTGTGTGGAGGTTGACAAAGAAGTAGTAGAAGGGAAAAAGGAACCAGGATACATTCGGTAAAGTGTATTTCAAGCCAGAACAGATCTAAAATGTATAACTCTTATTGCTCCTTTTTGCTGTGGTTTATTGTTCTGTCATTTGGAAATGGCATTATTATTTCTTGTATTTGTAAAGAAAGCTGTACTCAGATTTTCTTATAGAAAAATATAACCTGGGTTTATAAAATAATAAAACATTTTTGAGTCTTTCTGAAAATTGATCTGATTCATGAATAACTTTTTCATGTCTTTAATAAGACCAGACTTTTCTGTCATAATGTTTCCTCTCAGTAGTAACATCAATTAATAAATTTGACACACTGCTTGACATTCACTGCTTTACCTATCCCAGGGGTCAGCAAACTTTCTCATAAAGTGCTAGATAAATCCTTCTGAGCCATACACCCTGTACTGAGACACTGCCCTCCTAGCATGAAAGCAGCCAGAGACAATGTACAATTGGATGAGTTTCTTTGAATTCCAGTAAATCTCTACACAGACAGGCAAGGACTGAATTTGGTTTGTAAGTGGTAGTTTACTGACCTCTGATTTGTTCAATATTTATTATACAGTGCTTGACACTGGATGTTACTTACACAAGACTTAGGCTTCTGGTTAACTGAGTCACAAAGTGTGTTATGTTTTATGTTTGTTTATCTTCTGAGATAACTTTAAAGGCAGTTGATTGGTTTTAAACAACCTTAGTTATTTAGAGAGAGAATCTATTTTTATTGTTTAATGGCATTGATGTGTGATGTTAAAAGGACTTGTGGTGACCTGGATCATAATTTTGGCTAATTTGAATGAAATCAGATTTGGTCAGAAGTAGTAACCTTCTTTACCATCACATGTGCTTCAATGTGAAGCATTCCAGTTAAAATAGCAGAATTTACATTGTTTCCTCGGGAAAGGGATTTTTTTAATCCTTCACGACTGAAACCTTGTCCATTTACTTCAGGAAGTTTATTGGGGAAATTTACTTGCGAGTCTTAAAGTTGTGTAATCTGTTTCCATATTTTACCCCAAGTAATCAGAATGTTAAAATTGCTCTTTATATTTTCTATATTTGAAGATATTTTAGCTAGGAACATTAATTTACTGCTTTAAGTGTAGACATCAGATTTATCTCCGCTTAACAAATGGACACGGCTCTTTGTTGTAGGGCTCCAGCAAAAGACTCCCCTGAAGAGGAGTACGACTCTGGTGTTGAAGAGGAAGGATGGCCTCGCCAAGCGGATGCTGCCAATAGCTAAGCCGTCAGACCTCCGTCCTGTGTATACAGCTCTTCCTTCCTTTCTCTAGGGTTGTAACTGTTTCTACAGTCTGACATTAAAGGCATTGATCTGTCTGGCTATCAAACATGGTCAGAAGCCTTTAGGATAAGAATCAGATCATGTATATTATAGTAACATCACATTGATTTATACAGAGAACATTACATGGACTTTAATGACACAATGTTTAGAGATAAAATGTACATTATTTTGGTTCAGTTTTTTAAAAATGTGCTTTAACAAAATTCTTAGGAGTTCTTTGAAGCAATGCAGATATTGGAATAACTGTGGATTTTACAATAATGTCACTCTACAAATGGGAAAATAAATTCTTTAAAATTAAACATTGGGATACTATTCTTTAGTGTTACCTTTTTCTACTGACATTTACCTCCTGAAAATACTGGAGTTTTATTCATCTTAAAAATTGGATGTTTCCAAATAGTTAAAAATGTCATGGACAAATACCCTGAAGTACTCAATTTCAATGATTTGTTTGGCTTTATTCTTAGTCTTATCTGCTAATGCATGACACTAACTTCCCAGTTGGTACTTTTAAAAAGCCCATTTTCTTGCTGACTTGTCTGATTTATTTGCTATCTTTGCTCCGTTTTAGTGCTAGAATAGATGAACCAGAAGTATGACTCACATCTTCAGGAAAAAACTATTCATCTAATTCTATAAATAGTATGACATAGTAACAGCCAAGTGCTAACCTCAATAAAATAGTGTGATATTGTGCACTCACCTAAAATACTGAGCTAGCTCTCCTTTTTTTTTGGTTGGAGAGCAGGGGCAAGTCATTTGTCTAATTATTTGTCTTCGTAGAACATTAAAGTCTTTGTTTTGCTATCAGCCAAAGTGAATGTGTTTACACTAAGTATAAGTTATAGCTTTTATTATGTAGCAAAACTAAAAAGTAGAGGAAAATTTTTGGACTTGAAAATAAAACTTATCGTTTAATTCCATGAATATTAATATATTTGAGTACCTTTTAAGCTTTTTTTCTTTTCTATTATAATAATACAAGTTTCTGCATTGTTCATTCAGTTTAATCTCATTTGAGACTGTTTAAGTCAGCATACCTTTAAATATTTGTTTTCATGTTTTGGGAGTTCAGAGTTTTCCTTTTTCTTAGAATATGAACCTTAAGCTATGAACAAATTCTAAATCCTGTTGAGGAAAAGTTGAACTTTCTATGATGTAATAAAAGGGATGTGAGGGGTACCTGTTTATGGTTGAGTAAAGCCAGAATTGCACTATTACCAAGGGTTTAAGCCTGATTGGTGTAGTATGGACTAGGAAACAGGTATTCTTAGTAATGGCTCAAGTTCTCAGAAAGTCTTTCACATTATAACTTGGTTCAGTATCTTTCTGTTGCAGCATCATTCTCCTTTTTGTAGAGTGGAAGTTGGAGTAGTTTCTAACATGCAAGGGTTATCCTCCAGAAATGGACGGGGAAGCATTTAGTCACAGCTGCTCACACTGAGTTTTGAAAGTTGTTGACCAAGTAGAATCAATGTTTTTAAATCAAACACAACTGAGTATAACTACAGTTTGTATTTTGGAACTTAATGTTTGGGCATTTGAATAAAACAAAAGGACAAAATGAAAGCCAAGTTGGTGGTCTGTCCATGCTGTCTGCAGCAGTGCGGGAGCACTTCGCATTGGCAACAGGTGCAGCCAAAACAGCACCATTCTTGAACAAGCACAAATAATGTGCGCTGCTTTATTCCAGGGATTGGTTAGTCATTGTCTCTTTCGTATCTAATCAGTTTTCATTTTAGCTTGCACAAAGTTTTAGTAAAGTTACGTTAAAAATTAGTGAAAACCCTCACTTAAATCCTTACAAGTCCTGCATGGAACTTGACACTAGGGATACAGACCTCTTTTCTTTTTTCTTTTTTAAAGATTTACTTATTTATTTGAAAGTCAGAGTTACACAGAGTAGGAGAGGCAGAGAGAGGTCTTCCATCAACTGGTTCACTCCCCAGTTGACCACAGCAGAGCCAAAGAATAGGCAACAGCTCTGACTTCTGTTACTATTCTCATGACTGGTTATTATCCTCCCCTCTCCATCCAACTAAAGACCAACTTGCCTCAGATTTCTTTGAAAAATAATCAGATAGGATTCATCACCCCGCCTTCTATAAATCTACCTGTATTGTATCAGCCAATCTTTGTGGTTAAAACTGAAGCATTCCTCAACCAAAACGCAGTCACTCCGATGTGCCTGGGTCCCCTCACTGCTTGTCACTTCTCAAGGCTTTTAGTTCTTCTGTTAGTTTCTCTACTACATTTTCCTTCTTCCTGATTGATTCTCAGGTGCGTCTAAACACCGCCTAGTATTTCCTGTCCTGTATCAGATTTTTAGAGCTTATGCACTTGTTTGCCTTTCCAACTACACGATAACTAACACTGGAGTGAAGACCAAGCCTATTTTGTGAACTCTGTAACAGCACCTAGTATGATGCTTCATAAAATCACTGCCTCATAAATTACTAAAGAATAGGATTTGTATGCCAGGGTAAACTACAGTTTTTTGCAGAAAGCAGTGGAGCATTATTAAAAGTTTTTAAAAAAGGGGGGAGGAAGATTACATAGGCAATTTATTAACTTGAGAGACAGACAGACAGAAATCCCATCTGCTGGTTCACTCCCCTAATATCTGCATTGGCCGAGACTGACCTGAGCTGAAGCCAGGAGCCAGCAACCCAATCTAGGTCTCCCATGTCAGTGTCAGGAGCCCAGGTCACCTGCTGCTTCCCAAGGCTGTACATTAGCAGGAAGTTGGAATTGGGAGTGGAGCCAGGATTCAAACCCAGGTACTCCGATATGAGACAGGCATCCTAACTGATAATTTAACCACACACCTGCCCTGGTTGTACATTTTAGATTGTTGGGGACGATAGGCTCTGAGGAAAATTGATGGAAAGAAATGGGCCTGGAGGCCTACTCAAGAACATCTCTCCAGCACTCGCCTCTCTGTCTCATCAGTTTCCTCTTTGTCAGATCAGTTTTCCTCAGGAAATAAAATGTTATTTCCTTGAACCCACATCCACTTCACAGCAGAACTAAAAATTGATCTTGGCTTTTTCCAGTTCCCTTGCAGGCTTTGGTTCTGAGATGAGAAGCTGTTGGAAGGTTTTGCACAGAGCATAACATCTAACTTAAATTTTAAAGACCGCTCTGATTGGAGCGTGAGAACTGACTATAGGATAGTAAGGAAAAGATGGATTAGATTAGGGTAGTAGTAGTGGAAAGAAATGGATGGGTAGGTATTTTTGCAAATCTGATGAAAAGTGGTATCCCATGATCTTCAATAGAGAAACCCAGTATTAAAATATCTTCCTGGCCGGCGCTGCAGCTCAATAGGCTAATCCTCTGCCAGCGGCGCCGGCACACCGGGTTCTAGTCCCAGTCGGGGTGCCAGATTCTGTCCTTGTTGCCCCTCTTACAGGCCAGCTCTCTGCTGTGGCCCAGAAGTGCAATGGAGGATGGCCCAAGTCTTTGGGCCCTGTACCCGCATGGGAGACCAGGAGAAGCACCTGGCTCCTGGCTTCAGATCAGCACGGTGCGCCAGCCACAGTGCGCCGGCCGCGGCGGCCATTGGAGGGTGAACCAACGGCAAAAGAAGACCTTTCTCTCTCTCTCTCTCTCTCACTGTCCACTCTGCCTGTCAAAAAATTAAAAAATCTTCCTAAATTTTATGTTTAGGAAAAACATGTTTATTTTGGAGGCAAAGAGCAAGCTCCCATTCATTGTCTTCCCAAATGCCTGCAAAGGCCACGGCTGAGTGGGGATTAGAGCCAGAGGCCGGGAACTCTATCCAGGTTTCCCACATGCATGGCAGGATCCCAATTACTTGAGCCATCACTGCTGCCTTGCAGGGTCTGAATTAGCAGGACACTGTTGGGAGCCAGCACCAGTATCAAACGCAGTCACTCTGATACGCAATACAGGCACCTTTCTGGTATCTTAACTGCTGGACCAAATGCAAATTCCCAGTCTGGTTTTTAATTGAGAAGCTTCAATTATGCCACCAATGAACTCTTTCTAGAGTTTATACTGAAACTCTAGAAAGAGTTTATATAGAATACATACACTGTGCTTCCTCTGTAACGCAGATATTATAATCATCCAGTCTTTTTTTCTTTTTTTTCTTTGACAGGCAGAGTGGATAGTGAGAGAGAGAGACAGAGAGAAAGGTCTTCCTTTTGCCGTTGGTTCACCCTCCAATGGCCGCCGCGGCCAGTGCACTGTGGCTGGTGCACCGCGCTGATCCGAAGCCAGGAGCCAGGTGCTTCTCCTGGTCTCCCATGGGGTGCAGGGCCCAAGTACTTGGGCCATCCTCCACTGCACTCCCTGGCCACAGCAGAGAGCTGGCCTGGAAGAGGGGCAACCGGGACAGAATCTGGCGCCCCGACCGGGACTAGAACCTGGTGTGCTGGCACTGCAAGGCAGAGGATTAGCCTAGTGAGCCGCGGTGCCGGCCGAGAAAAAAATTTCAATAAATGGAACTGACAACTGAGTAGCCATTTGGAAAATACGAAGTTATACCTTCCCAAATAAATTTTAAGATAAACGTGGAAGCCTTTAAAAGTCTTGAGAGGTCCCTTGGGAAGTGGAGTCAGGCTCTCTGGGTCTTCTCATGATATGACCCAAGAGGTCCTCCTTGAAAGTAAGGAACCCTTCTAACTCATGTTCCCACCATCAGCTCTTGGTATAGAAAGCTTAATAAATGATAAAAATAAGAAATGAGGCATCCATCACCTAGTTACTTTGCTCAGAGAAACATACTTGGAAAGGTAAAGTTTTTTTTTAAAGATTTGTTTATTTGTTTGAAAGTCAAAGTTACAGAGAGAGAGAGGTTTTCCATCTGCTGGTTCACTCCCCAGTTGGCCACAAAGGCCAGAGCTGCATCAATCCAAAGCCAGGAGCCAGGAGCTTCCTCCGGGTCTCCCCTGCGGGTGCAGGGGTCCCAGGACTTGGGCCATCCTCCACTGCTATCCCAGGCCATAGCAGAGAGTTGGATCAGAAGTGGAGCAGTTGGGACTTGAACCTGTGCCCATATGGGATGCTGGCACTGCAGGTGGTGCTTTACCCACTATGCCACAGTGCTGGCCCCAGTAAAGATAAAAAAAATTATTTTTTTTTTTTGACAGAGTGGACAGTGAGAGAGAGAGAGACAGAGAGAAAGGTCTTCCTTTGCCGTTGGTTCACCCTCCAATGGCCGCCGCGGCCGGCACACTGCAGCCGGCGCATCGCGCTGATCCGATGGCAGGAGCCAGGTGCTTCTCCTGGTCTCCCATGGGGTGCAGGGCCCAAGCACTTGGGCCATCCTCCACTGCACTCCCTGGCCACAGCAGAGAGCTGGCCCGGAAGAGGGGCAACCGGGACAGAATCTGGCGCCCCGACCGGGACTAGAACCCGGTGTGCCGGTGCTGCTAGGCGGAGGATTAGCCTAGTGAGCCGCGGTGCCAGCCTAAAAAAATTATTTTATTTGAAAAGCAGAGTTACAGAGAGATGGAGACACACACAGAGAGAGAGAGACAGAGACAGAGAAAGAGAGAGAGAGATCTTCCATCGGGTAGTTCACACCGCAGGTAGTTGCAACGGCTGGGTCTGGGCCAGGCCAAAGCCAGGAGCCAGGAACTTACTCCAGGTCTTCCATGTTAGTAGCAGGGGCCCAAGCACTTGGGCCGTTTTTCACTGCTTTCCCAGGCACATAGCAGGGAGCTGGATTAGAAGTAGAGCAGCTGGGACTCAAACAGGTGCCCATAAATGGTGCTGGTGCTGAACGCCAAGGCCCCCAAAATAAAGATTTAATCGTGATGCTTGAGCAACTGGACGTCTATAGGCAAAAGGAAAAGAACATCCATGAACCAAATCTCACACTTAAATTAATTCAAAATTATTACAGCAAATGTAATCTATAAAACTTAGAAAAACACAGAAAGTTCAGAATCTAGGGCCAAGGAAAGACTTAGACTTGATGCCAAAAAGGAAAAGCTCTGGAAGTTGGACTTCATCAAAGAGGATGAATAGAGGGGTGGGCATTGTGGCACAGCGGGGTGAGCTATCGCTTGTGAGCCCTGTGTCCTGTCGACCTGACTACTTGCTTTCCATCCAGCTTTCTGCCAGTGTGCTTGGGAAGGCAGCGGATGGTGGTCCAAGTACCTGGATCCTTGTTACCACGTGAGAGGCCAGGATGGAGTTCCTGGCTTCAGCCTGGCCCAGCTCTGGGTGTTACAGGGTTTTGGGGAGTGGACTAGCAGATAGAAGATGTCTCTGTCACTCTGCCTTTCAAATAAATCTTTAAAAAAGTAAGACAGAAAGGCTACAGGCTGGGAAAAAATAGTTGCAAACCTAGTATTAGACAAAGGGCTAGTATCTGGACTATATGAAGAACTCAACAGTGAAAAAACCCAAACAATTCAATTAGAAAATGGTCGAAAGACATAAACATGCTTTTGATGAAGAGGGTGCACTGATGGCAAACGTGAAAAGATGTTCAATAAAATTAGCAATTGAAGAAGTATAAATTAAAATGATGAGGGGCGGTCCTTTAGCTGAGCAGTTAAGGCAACTTGACTGGGTTCCACAGGGCTCCGACTGATGCAGATCCTGGGACGCAGCATTGATGACTCCAGTAGTTGGGTTCCAGCACCACACAGGAGAGACCAAAGCTCTCGGCTTCTGCCTTCCAACCCAGCATAGCCCTAGCCATTGTGGGCTTTCTGGGAGTGAACTACTGGATGGGAACTCTCTGTCTCTCAAATACATATATTTTTTTTCATTTGACAGGCAGAGTTAGACAGTGAGAGAGAGAGAGACAGAGAGAAAGGTCTTCCTTTCCATTGGTTCACCCCCTAAATGGCCAGTATGGCTGGCGTGCTGCTCCGATCCGAAGCCAGGAGCCAGGTGCTTCTGGTCTCCTATGCGGGTGCAGGGCCCAAAGACCTGGGCCATCCTCCACTGCCCTCCCGGGCCACAGCAAAGAGCTGGACTGGAAGAGGAGCAACCGGGACGGAATCCGGTGCCCTAACCAAGCCTAATGAGCCGTGGCACCGGCTCAAATATTTTTTTTAAACGATCATTGAGATACTACTACATATGTACCAGTATATCTAAAATGAAAATTGTAACACAAAATGACAGATGCCGAGAAGCCAGAGCACTCATATACTTATTGCTGGTGGAAGGTGCAAGGTATCCGGCGCATAACAAATCTTCCCAGGCAGATAATTAATTCATAGGCTTTTATTGGGGTTCCGCTCCCGGGCGAGGTTCACCGGTCCCAACAGAGCAACAGAGCGGGGGCCGGAGAAGTTGCACGTCAGAGGTTGGGAGGGCTCCTTTTATAGACTCAGGGCATGGGGGTTAAAGGTTGAGGCGGGTCTGATCCTCATTGGTTGACCTTTAGGCACCCGCGGGGACCTTGACAAGGACTTTTCTTCCCTGCAAGTACAGGTAGGGGCTTCTCCATTCCCGGAAGTATAGGCCTCCCTACTTGCGGATCCCAAAGCTACCAGAAGGTAAAGTGGTCCAGCCACTCTGGAAAATTACTGGGCAGTTTCTTAAAATAAACATACAACCACCACATGACCCAGCAATTGCACTCCTGGACACTTTATTCCAGAGACGTGAAGTTTATACTTCCTTTTTTCTTGAAGAACTTTCTGCATTAACAGGAAGTGGGAATCTGAAGTGAAGCCAGGACTCAAACCCAGGCACTCTGGGATGCAGGCATGCTTCTCTTTCTCTCTCTGTGTAACTCAACTTTCAAATAAATACATAAATAAAATCTCTAAAAAATGCTTTATAGCAGCTTTATTTTTTTTTTTAAGATTTATTTACTTATTTCAGAGGTAGAGTTAGAGGGAAAGACAGAGAAAGGTCTTCGATCTGCTGGTTCACTCCCCAAATGGCAGCAATGGCAGGAGCTGGGCTGACCCAAAGCCAGGAGCCAGGAGCTTCCTCTGGGTCTCCCACATGGGTGCAGGGGCCCAAGAGCTCGGGCCATCTTCTGCTACTCACAGGCACATCAGCAGGGAGCTGGATTGGAAGTGGAGCAGCCAGGACACAAACCGGTGCCCATATGGGATGCCGACATTATAGGTGATGGCTTTACCCGTTATGCCCCTATTTTTTTTTAAAGATTTATTTATTTACTTGAGAGGTAGAGTTATAGGCAAAGAGAGAGAGATAGAAAGGTTTTCCATCTGCTGGTTTCTTCCCCAAATGGCCCCAACAGCCAGAGCTGGGCTGATTCAGGTTGTGATATTGCACTACAGTTCTGCAAGAAGTTTCCACCAGGGTTGAAGCATACATATCATACATATGATCTCCCTGTATAGCTGCCTTTTTTAAAAAGATTTATTTATTTATTTGAAAGTCAGAATTATAGAGAGGGCAGGGAGAGAAAGAGAGAGAGAGAGAGAGAGAGAGAGAGGTCGGTCTTCCATCTGCTGGTTCACTCCCCAGATGGTCGCAGAGCTGGACCGATCCGAAGCCAGGAGCTAGGAGTTTCTTCCAGGTCTCTCTCCCAGGGGCCTGAGCATTTGGGCCATCTTCTACTGCTTTCCCAGGCCATCAGCAGAGAGCTGGATTGGAAGTGGAGCAGCTGGGTCTTGAATTGGCGCCCATATGGAATGCCGGTACTGCAGGAGGCAGCTTTACCCGCTATGCCACAGCGCCGGCCCCCCTGTATTGCTTCTTAAAACTGCCCAGGAATCCACAATTCTCAAATTATGTTTAAAATACAATCACGTTGTACGGCCTTCCTTCACCTCCTGTTTCAAGTCAGTGGTTTCCTGTTGTTCTTAGTGCTCCATCCACACTGGCATTATCTGAAAGTGCCCGCAAGGGCACACACCTTTCTGTGCTATCACCTGGGATTGTGCTTCTCCCTCTTCTATTTAACTCCTGTTTCTCCTTCAGATTGCAGATGAAGCCTCAAGTCCTTAGAGCAACCTTCCCAAATCGCTTCCACTAAGTCAAGTACTATCACACTTCTACCTTCGCATGACTGCTTGATCAAAGGGTTTTCTTTCCCAGACAGGGCCACCCCTAGGTCTTTGTTTCACTGTGCCTATGGCGCCTAGCTCTGCGTCTAGCACAGTAATTAAGAAAGGAGAGTTTTGGGGGCCGCCACAATGCAGCGGGTTAAGCCACAGCCTGCAGCTTTGGAGTCCTGGCTGCTCCACTTTCCGATGGCGCTCCCTGCTAATGTGCCTGAGAAAGCAGCCGAGGATCCGCAAATCCTTGGGCCCCTGCACCCGCGTGGGAGACCCAGAAGAAGCTCCTGGCCCTGGCTGTTGCGGCCATCTAGGGAGTGAACCAGCAGATTTAAGATCTCTCTCTCTCTCTCTTTGTCTCTTTTAAATAAATAAATAAGGAATGAAGAAAGAGAGAAAAAGAAAAACGAAAGCTTTAAGATTGAATGAGCGCCCACTCCAGCGCGCCGGGCTTTCTAGACAGGACGCACCGCGTCGCATGTCCAAATACGTCACTTCCGCCCGGAAGACGCTCCCTGGGAACCAAGTTCCTGTCACTTCTCAGCATCTTGTGAACATGGCCCTGCCGCCCTTCTTCTCCGCAGGTCGTCCGGGCCCGCCGCCTCCGCAGCCACCGCCCCCTGCTCCGTTCGGCTGTCCTCCGCCGCCGCTGCCCTCCCCGGCTTTCCCGCCGCCTCTTACCCAGCGGCCCGGCCCTTTCCCGGGGACCTCTGCCCCCTTCCTCCAGCCTCCGCTGGCTTTGCAGCCCCGGGGTCCCACGGAAGCCTCCCGTAGCGGCGGCGGCGGCGGCAGTGGTTCCTTCTTCCCGGTGCCGCCGCCGCCGCCGCTACCGCCGCCGCCGCCCCAGTGCCGGCCCTTCACGGGGACCGACGCTAGCGAGCGCCCAGGGCCACCGGCTCCAGGCCCGGGGCCTCCCTGGAGCCTGCGCTGGCCTGAGGTGCCGCCACCGTCCGACGTGCTCGGGGACGTGGCCCTGCAGCGCCTGCGCGACCGGCAGTGGCTAGAGGCTGTGTTCGGCACCCCGCGGCGCGCTGGCTGCCCGGTGCCCCAGCGCACGCACCCGGGGCCCAGCCTAGGCGAAGTGCGCGCGCGGTTGCGCGGGGCTCTGCGCCTGGTGCGGCGGCTGCGCGACCTGAGCCAAGCCCTGCGTGAGGCCGAGGCCGACGGCGCAGCCTGGGCCCTGCTGCATGCCCAGGCCGCTCCCCTGCGCGCCGAACTAGCCGAGCGGCTGCAGCCGCTGACCCAGGCCGCCTACGTGGGTGAGGCGCGGCGGAGGCTGGAGAGGATCCGGCGCCGCCGGGTGCGGTTTCGAGAGAGGGCTCGGGAACGCCAGGCCGAGCGGGAGGCGGAGGCGGCCCGGGCAGTGGAACGCGAGCAGGAGATTGATCGCTGGAGGGTCAAGTGCGTGCAGGAGGTGGAGGAGAAGAAGCGGGTGAGAGCGCTGGGCACGTGCGGGCCTTGGAGGTGGTGGCTGAAACTCGAAGCAGCCTGAGACTTTCAGCTGTGGTATTTTTCAGGTCTAACCCGAATGTTTCTTTAGCCATAAAGTGAAAAGATAGCCTTCCCGCCTCGTACGTCCGTGTTCATTGGGTATTCCTGGTGTGCAGAACACAAAACAAAAGCTCTAGTAGTGTTTGCAATAAAGTCCTGGCGACACAGGTATGGGACTTCGCAGTGGCGTCGCTGGCCGACAGGTCCCTTGTGGCCTGCTCCAACGTTCTCTCCACTGAGCTTTCACGACCCACACGGGGCTGGCTGCGTGCCACCCGCGCTGATTTAAAGGACAAAAAAATATAGGGAACTTGGGGCTTTACCTCGAGGAACGTACGTCCTGATTGGCTGATGGGTTCACAGTGATTGCCGCAGGATTCCTTTGTTTACGACGTTTAAACCATGAATCACCAGGTTCAGCAGTGGTGTTTTTGAGTGCTTACTATCATGTACGCATGAGGCGCAATGCTAAGCTTGTTACACACCAGATCTCGAATATACCAATCCTGTGGGGTAGGGAGAATTATCCCAATTTCACCATTAGGCATTTGAGGCATAGAGAGGTTAACTTGCCAACAGTCACGTGACCGGACTGTGAGCCCAGGTGCTCTGATTACCAAGCCTGTGGCTCTCAAGCACTTCAGTAAGGCCTGCAGAGAAGTGGAAACTGGCCAAATAGTTGTTGAATGCATTTCACCAACTTTGAAGGCTTCTGGGGTCCCTCCCTCCCCACCATCGGCTAGTGTCTTCCTGCCCTGGAGTCTGGTGTAACTTCACTCTTAAGTGTACTGATGGGAGCTTTAGCATTGCTCTCATTGCTGTAAAGGAGGCACAAGTCAGTCCAGTGGACAGTTCATGGGGCTCTGTTGTGGCAGGTCCAGTGCAGCTGCTAGGAATGGAGATGAATAGGATATAGCCCTGGCCCTTGAGGGTCTTAGAGCCCCATGGGGGATCCTGTCAGTACAGCATGGTGTGTGATGCTATAGGAGCCCAGAAAAGGGGTACTTAAGCCTTGGGGGAAAGGCTTTCTCGATGATTTAATGGCATCTGAGATGAGCCTTGGAGGAAATGTCAGAGCCAAATGAAAGCAACAGGTGCGGCTCCAGGCAGAAGTCAACCAAACAGAGGAGTGAAGCAGCGTGGTGGGGGTGGTGGTGGGGGAATTACAGGCGCTTACTTGACTTGTGGGACAGAGCCCAGCAGGCGGGTCCTTCCTGCTGTCCACCACGTGTTGGAGCCTGAGGAATGACTTAAGGAACTGGGTTATTATATCCCACGGGAACCAAGTCGGAAAGAATGGAATAGTGGTCTTTTCGGTGTTTGTGAGGGGGCCACGTGAAAGAGATCCGTGGGGCTTTAGGGCTATATTGGTCATCGCTCAGACACCTTGGTAGAGTTCTGGGCCTCCCCAGCCCCAATCCTTCTGTCTCTGAGAATCCGAATCATCAGGACAGTTGGGTGCAGATGTTCCCTGCACTGCCCTTTCAGAAGCACTGAGGCTGAGCCAGAGCAGTGCCTGTGGCGAAGCTGCCGAGAGCAGAGGTTCATCTTTGGGATGACGGTTACTGTCCCTCCGTGGAGCAGGGAGCCCCTTGGCTGGAACGTTGTGGAGGGAAGTTGTGTCAGGCCCCGGAAATTGAGATGTAGACTCAGCGGGTCTTGCCCCAGGGACTGGCTGATCCCCCCAGATCTCACCACCAGGCAGCCACTCTGCTGGGAGTGTGTTCCTGGCGCTAGGCTCACAGCCGTGTTTCCCCTACAGGAGCAGGAACTCAAAGCTGCAGCTGATGGTGTCTTATCTGAGGTGAGGAAGAAGCAAGCAGACACCAAGCGAATGGTGGACATTCTTCGGGCTTTGGAGAAACTGAGGAAACTGAGGAAAGAGGCTGCAGCAAGGAAAGGTAGCTGTGGCTTTGCGTCCCCCCCACACACACACCTTTTTTCTTTCTTTCTTTCTTTCTTTTTTTTTTTTTTTTTTTTACCCTAGTGGCTTCCCACCCCAACATTTTTGGAAGAAAAATACTTTATTATTTTCACTCTTTAGAGTCACTGGGAGCCGAAAGCCTTGGAAGATGTTTAGCCCTTGGACAGCAAGGTTGGAAGGGGAGGCAGGTGTGGGAACCCCTTGACTCACCGTTCCTACCCCAGGCGTCAGTGGCCACGCTTTTCTGAATGGGCTTGTTGTGGCTGGTCAGCTTTGCCAGCGGGCCACGGCACAAGCTTTCCTGCCCGCCCTTGTTGCTCCACAAAGTGTTGGAAACGTAATGTGCTCCTTCGGCTACATCTCATGCCTGAGTTACTGCGGTGTGAAGAGGCGTGGCCAGCTGGACAGGGTGGAATACATTGCAGAATGCACGGATGTCCCCAGCTTCCCTGATTGTTGCTTTTGGGCTCAGAGGAGGGAGCACCAGCACCCTAGCGGGGCAGTCCAAGTTTCTTCACAGAAGTTTGTTCTAGGCATGCTGGTTTTCTAGAAGTCACCCAGGCGTGCCTTCCGCTTGCATGTGTGGATCCTTGTTCTTGCCAGTGCATTTGTCTGCAAGGCCCTCAGTCCCGTCTTTGCCATTTGAAGATCTCCCCGTGATTCAGAACTGAATACCGTGCGGCCTCCTCCCTCCTTGGTCGGGCCGCAGTGACCTCACACTCCATTTGTGCTTGGTTTGTCCCATGTTGCCTTATTTAGTAGGTTCTAGGCCTCTGACATTTGCCAGGGAGATTTGGAAGTATACGAATTAACAAGTGCTGTTGTAGCAGGTGATTTCCTCTGTGTGGTTTAAAATGTGAGGGTACTTCAGAAAGTTAGTGGAAAATGGAATTAAGATGTTTTATTTTTATACAAAAATTGTTTTGAAATCCAAGCATAATGTTCCCATAATATGCATTTTCATGAACTTTTTGAAGATACCCTTGTATGTATGACCTTGGAAATTTTTTTATACCAAAGTAAACTTCTCAAGGTATTTATTTTCATTTTTATTTGAGAGGCAGAGAGAGACATGTGGAAAGAGATCATCCATCGCTGGTTCACTCTCCAAATGCCTACAACTGCCAGGGCTAGGCCAGGCTGAAGCCAGGAGCCAAGAACTCGGTTCCAGCCTCCCACATGTATTGGAGGACCTATTATTGGAGCTGTCGCCTGCTGCCTCCCAGGGTGTACATTAGCAGGAAGCTGAGTCAGAAGTGAAGTAGCCAGGACTTGAACCAGGCACTCCAGTATGGGAGATGGGCATCCCAAACAGCAAGTTAACTGCTGTGTTACACACCTTCCCCCAAAATAAGCTTTCAGTTGCATTTACCACAGCCTTTTTGAAATACCCTCATATCAGTGAAAACTGCAGTTCTCTTCGATCCCTCATAAAGTTTTGGAATGTGACCCTTGTGCATTCAGCCAGCTTGTTCACTGAGCAGTACGACAGCTTTCAGCGTGGCTACTTCCCATCCTGGCCTTGGAGTCAAACCCCCCTCCCCCAACCCCTGAGTGCTGATAGGTGCAGCTGGACATCTAAGCATGACCACTTCACAGACTGTTTCATGGGCCACACTAGAATTCTCGCTTGTACTTAAAGCTGTGGGGAACCACTCAGAGATCTTAGACAGAAAGTGAAATGATGACAGAGTTCAGTGCCAGAGCTGAGGAGGCAGAGGGGAGAGGGGAGAGGCTGGGAAAGCTGTTGTCTGGGTAGGGCTGGATAGTATGAGAGTGAGTTGGAGGCAGTAAATGAATTTAAAAGATAATGAAAGGAGAATGGGAGCCTAAATAACTTACGGGAACTCAGCATATGAACGCTGAAGGAAACAAATGACTTCCAGGTTCTAACCTGGTCTACTGAATGAGTGATAGTACCTTCTAATGGAGCCCCAACCTCTTGCTCCCCAATGCCAGCCCCTGGAATGACTTTCAGCAGGTTGTATCGTAAGAGATGGGAGCCAAAAAGACAAATTCTCTTTGTAATTCGAAAGCAAAGTAGATGAAAAGATCATAGACCAAGAGAGGTCAGCGGCTCAGAGAAATTGTGTAATCTGGGGCAGGCGCCTTCTCTGTGCCTTGGTTTCCTCATCAGAAAAACCATAATAATGATAGTACCTACGCATGCAGTGGTGTGAAGGTTAAATTAGTAAATATGTGTAAAGTGCTTAGAATATTCCTGGTCTGTAGTAAATGCTGTGTTTCATATTATTCTTTTTTATATATAAAATTCATTTATATGCAATAGCTTGAAATCAAACTATACAGACAAGGGGCCTTTAAAAAAGTTCACAATGTGTATTATGAAAACCTGCATAGATTTCAAAAACTTTTGCAACAAGCAAATACCCCTTAATTCCATTTTCCATGAACTTTCTGAAGTACCTGTGTATTGTTTTGGCCCCTGCATTTTTTTTATCAGTATGGAATGAAAACACTATTTACTGAATCTGTTAGGCTTTTCTGTTGTAAAGTCCCCGGGATTGTAAGTGTCACCTGGCTGCACCTTGTGATACACCGTCCTAGGCACTTCCTAGTTGTCTCCTCAGGATGTGTGGCTTTGGATGGAATTCCGGGGCCCTTGAAAGATTCACCATCTTTGCTGTGTTTCAGGGCACAGGATTTAGCTGAGACCGTAAGCTGCCGCTTTTCTCACTTGTACCTGTCGCGTTCTCTTAGAGTCACCGAGGGCTGCCCGGCTGCTTTAGTAAGTGATCAGCCAGGAAGGCAGCCTGAGGTCTCCCGGGGCTCCGTGGAAAAACGCGCACATTCTCAAAGGAATAGCAGGCACTGGGTGTTGGGACACCTCAGACACCGCTCCCCTCGCTGCGGTCTCTTGGGGCTCACTTTGGGCACCTCACTTCGCCAGCCGTGGGGCAGAATGGGCACCGCTGGCATGCAGGAGGCGCCGGGGCCCCTTCAGAGGCTGGGCTCTGTGTGCCGCGGCCAGCAAAACACTCCCTCCATCCTCCTGGACTGTGTGGCGGGAGAGGCGGTGCTCAGGGTGCGCGGCAAAGTCTACGCAGGCTGCGGGCTCACCCCCGTCTTAGCCGGGCTGCCGGCCTCTCCGCTTTCACTCTCCTTCTCCGGTCCGTCGCAGACTTCCTCACACGCCCAAGAAGCTCCACCTTGGTCTTCCAAAGCAGGCTCCGGGCCCAGCCCCTGTGTTGGAAGGCCGCCTGGGTCACGCGTCCCCTCCGGGCCGAAAGGGGCCCGCAGGAAAGCGCAGGCACAGCGGAGCGGGGCTCCCCCGTGGCCCAGGTTCACCTCCATGCCTGAGCCAACTTGCGGGGTACACGGCAAAGCGGGGCTCCGACCCAGCGGAGGTCCCCTCCTCACTGCGCTGTACCGCTCCACCTCACCCCTGCCCTAGTATTCTTACCAAATAATATAAAGGCATCTCAGTGAAGTGGTGGGGGTAGAAGCCAGATACAGTAGAAAAGTGAGTAGGAGAGAAAAAAAGCCATGAAATTAAGTTTTTAAAAGATTGCCTGTACAGCTCCCGCCGGCTGTGTGGCCATCTGGGGAATGTCCAGTGGATGGAAGACCTCTCTCTTTCTCTCTCTCTCTCTGCCTCTGCCTCTCTGTTAATTCTGCCTTTCAAATAAATGAATACATCTTTTTTTTAAAAAAAAAAAAAAAGATTGTGAGGAAGGAAGAGAGATCAAGAAGAGGACCTGGCCCTGTGTAAGACAGAGGTGAGGGGTTGGGTATCACAGGAAAACCTGAGTATGTTTATGGAGGGAAGGAGGGCAGCTGATGGCTCCAAGTCCCAGTGGTCCCAGGTAGAGGGAATAAGTGGAGAAGTCTTCCCCAGGCATGAAAGTAGAGGCGGCAAGGCTGGGTGGTAATGCAGATAAGTCTCTTAGGGTTTTGCTTCATGGGTGACCACAAGTTTTGGTGAGGGATGGAATTTGAAATGCCAGATCTGGAGGTTTTGGTAAAGCACACAGGCCTGGGGCGAAAGGACCTAAACACAGGGAGGGTAGAAGGTTGTAGAGAAGAGAATGACTGAGTTTTGACTTCAGAGATGGAAAGTGTTTTCTGATTGTGCCAAGATCCAAAGACTGGACAAGACCCTAAGTGTGCATAAGTAAAGAGAAACAGAGGTGAGGCCTCGGTGTCTGGGAACTCCTGGACCTAGGGGAGTGAGTGGTAGAGGCAGAGGGACCCCAGGTGATGCCGGCGCTTAGGGTTAAGAGGAAGACAAGTGCCATTTCTAAGGCAGCATCAGTAAGAGGTTGAGGGGGAGGTAGATGGGGGACCCAGACCCAGCACCCTGAGATGGGAGCAGGCCACAGCACCTTAGGGAGTGTGGAGGCACCTAGGGGTGGATGCAGTGTCTATTTTCACTGTACTAGCATACTTGAATAGTTGCAGCAGAGATATGGTTTATAAACCTTGTGATATTTACTCTCTGGCCTTTACAAGAAAAATTAAAGAAGTGAAATAAAACTATGAAATTATTATAAAATATAATTATAAATTTGTCAGTGCATAAGAATTTTAAATTTGGAATGTTAGTCTGGCCAACTTAGTAGAAGATGAATTTGAGCTGTGTAGTCTTCTTAGTTTGGGAATGAGTGAATGGAAATATTTTCAAGAAAAGCAGTTGTGAGAAAATGATCGGAGAAATGTTAGCTTTGAGAGTGAAGAAGATTGGAAAACAAGTTCCACAACCACTTAGCTGCAGTGGTTACGGCTTCTAAGGTTAAACCTCACAGAGAACCACTAAACTTGAGGATCTGTTATTTATGCCACTTCAATGGCTTACACTGAAAATGCTGTGCTCACTGCCTGGTCAGCTGGACACCTTCCCTTGGAAATGGCACTCCCACCCCATCTTCCTCATGACCCTGTGTTCTGTCATCATCAGGGGCCCTCCACTGTACCACTCACTCCCCTGGTCCTGCCGCTCCTAGACAGTGGTTGCCGAAGCTGGCAATGTCTTTCTTAACAGGTAGCAGCATACGTGTTGAAACCCTGTTGAAGATTGTTTATTCATCCAAGAGGTGTTTATTAATTACCTTCTCTGTGGCGAGTGAAGGTAACTGGGTGAACATATAGCTCTTTTAGGAAGCAGTTTTAGTACCATATTTTGGTAGTCTTGAAAGTATCCATAAATATTTCTACTCTTGAGACTGTCTTACAGAAATTATCCATAGGAAAGAAAAAAATAGCAAGTGTGCTCATTGTGGCATTATAAATAATAATAAGGCATTTGGAGTAATTTAAGAGCTCAGGAATTATTAAGCATGTTAAGGCACATTGATTTGATGAAATAAAATAAAGCTATTCTGAAGACCACAAGAATGTAGAGAAGGAACATGGAAATGACATGCATATTATGTTGGACTATATGAAGTTGCTAATATAAGGGTACCTCAAAAAGTTCTGATCAGGCCAGCATTGTGGCACAGTGGGTTAAACTGCCACCTGTGTTGGCGGATCCCATATGAGTGAGCACCATTTCAAGTCCTGGCTGCTCCACTTCTGATCCAGCTTCCTGCTAATGTACCTGGAAAGGCAGTGGAAGATGGCCCAAGTACTTGGGATCCAGCCACCCACATGGGACACCTGGATGGAGTTCCTGGCTCTCGGCTTTGAACTGGCCCAGCTCAGCCATTGCAGCCATTTGGGGGAGTGAACCTAGAAATGGAAGATATCTCTGTCTCTGTGTTTCTCTCTCTCTCTCTCTCTCTCTCTCTCTCTCTCTCTGTAACTCTGCCTTTCAAATAAATAAATATATTTTTTAAAGATTTATTTATTTATTTGAAAGGCAGAGTTACAGAGAGGCAGAGAGAGATCTTCCATCCACCGGTTCACTCCCCAGCTGGCCACGGTTGCCAGAGCTGGGTCGATCTGAAGCCAGGAGCCAGGACCCAAGAACTTCCTGATTTCCTACATGGGTACAAGGGGCCAACCGCCACTTTTCTCAGGTGCATTAGCAGGGAGCTGGATCAGAAGTGGAGCAGCTAGGACTTGAACTGATGCCCATATGGGATGCTACTGGCACTGCAGGCAGCAGCTTTACCTGCTATGCCATAGCACCAACCCCAATAAAATTTTTAAGAAATTTTTTTAAGTTCTGGGAAAATGGAATTAAAAGATAAATTTATGGGGTCAGTGCTGTGGCACAGTGGGTTAAGCTGCTGCCTGCAGTGCTAACATCCTATATGGGTACCGGTTCAAGTCCCAGCTACTCTACTTCCAATCCAACTCTGCTAACATGTCTAAGAAAGCAGCAGAAGATGGCCCAAGTCCCTGAGCCCCTGAACCCTGTGGAAGACCAGGGTGAAGCTCTTAGCTTGGGCCTGGCTCAGCTCTGGTTGTCGTGGCCATTTGGGGAATGAACCAGCAGATGGAAGATCTCTCTCTCTCTCTTTCTCCCTCTCCCTCCCTCTCCCTCTCCCTCTCCCTCTCCCTCTCTCACTGTAACTCTGACTTTCAAATAAGTAAGTAAATAAAGGTAAGTTTATTTGGGGACAAAAAATATGAAATCCAGGCATCATTTTTTCATAATGCATATTTTCCATGAACTTTTCGAGGGCCTGTCACATGTGGACAGAAAAACTGGAAGGGAGCATGGAGAGATACAAACGGCTGATTGTGGTGGCGGGGTTAGGGTTTTTTCTTTCTTGTGTCTAGTATTGTTAGCATGCCTCTGTAATAAATACATCATCCTTTAAATCCAAGCTGTGAAGATAGGTTAAGCCACAACTTGTGAACTCAGTATTCCATATTGAAATGCCTGTTTGAGTCTTAGCTACTCCACTTCTGATCCTGCTTCCTGCTAATGATCCTAGAAAGGCAGTGGAAAATGACCCAAGGATATACTTGGACGCCTGCTACCTGGGTGGGAGATCAGGGTGGAGTTCATAGCTCCTGGCTTTGGCCTGGCCCAAATCTGGCTTTTGTGACCTTTTGAGGAGTGAAGCAGTACATGGAAGACTGATAGTCTCCTTTTTCTTTCCCTCTCCTTTTGTCACTCTGTCTTTCAAATACATAATTTTTTAAAAAATTCTCAAGCACTGACAGGATAGACCATATCCATTTCACTTTACATTAAATCACCCGGCAGCTTCAGTGTTTTTGTTTTTAATTATTTATTTGAGAGGCAGAGCACATTTCTGTTTGCTGTTTTCACTCCTCAGATGTCCCCAGTAGCCTGGTTTGGGCTAGCATGGAAGCTGGGAACTCAATCAGATCTCCCATGCAAGTGGCAGGAACCCAGTTACTTGAGCCGCCCCTGCTACCTCCCAGGGTCTGCATTAGCAAGAAGCTGGAATCAGGAGCTAGAGCCAGGAATTGAACTTAGGTACTCAATGTGGAAGGCAGGCATCAACCACCAGGCTAAACACCCGCTCCTATAGCACCTTTAATATTACAGGCCATTATAATACTGAGTGCACAACTTCAGTCTACTCAAGGATTCTTTAATTTTTTGTGTGTGAAACTTAAAAATTTTGTGCATGTGCAAACAGAATATCTAAATACCTATCATCAGCCATGATACCATTATCACACTAAAAAAAAAGTGCTAGTGCTTCTTTGATATCACCTAATAACCAGCCTGTAATCAGGGGTTCCCAATTGTGGCATTAGCTATATTGCTGTACTGTTAGCTGACTTCACAGTTAAGACAGATTGACAACCATCCCAGTTTTACTGGGAGGAGTGGTTTCCCAGGACATGAGGCTTACAGTGCTAAAAGCAGGCAAACCAAAACAACTGGTCACCCTACAGTCAACACAGACTGTTAGATCCTTGTGGTCGGTTATGTGTACCGTCTTTCTCATCATTTAAGTGTGTGCTCTCCCAGAATCACAGGGAGAATTGTTTTTTAGGTCTGAGAATTAATACTAAGGGAATCCCATGAACAATGAAAAAGTTAGGACAGATGGCCCCCTTTGTGATCTTGCTATCCCACTGGAAGATCAAAGCCATTAGAAATCATCAAAACCAAGGCTAAGTGGTATGATCCAGTTAGAGAAATCAATCAGTGTAGAGTCAGAGCAATTAGAGACTGAGAAGGTCACCCTTATACTTACTGTAGGTTGGACTTTGAGTCTCCTCATTAGAAATTTTGGGACAACAAAGGTTGCTTCTAAAATGCTGCTTGTGGGACAGTGTTGTGATGCAGCAGGTTAAGCTCCTGCTTGGAATGCCCACATACCATACTGGAGCACCTGGTTCAAGTCCTGCCTGCTCTGATCCAGCTTCCTGCCACCCAGATGGGAGACCCAGGTAGAATTTCTGGCTCCTGACTTTGGCTCCTCCCGGTCCCAGTTGTTGCAGGCATTTGGAAAGTGAACCAGCAGATGGGAGATTTTTCTGTCTCCCCCTCTTTATCTTTCATATAAATAAGTAAGTCTTTGAAATAAAGAAAGTGCTGTTTGGTTCTTTTTGTCTAGGGGTCTGCCCTCCAGCCTCAGCAGATGAGACTTTTGAGCACCATCTTCAGCGACTAAGAAAACTCATTAAAAAACGTTCTGAACTATATGAAGCTGAAGAGAGAGCCCTCAGAGTTATGTTGGAAGGAGAACAAGAAGAAGAAAGGAAAAGAGAATTGGAAAAGAAGCAAAGGAAAGAAAAAGAGAAAATTTTACTTCAGAAACGTGAAATTGAGTCCAAGTTATTTGGGGATCCAGGTAAGTTTCTTTGTGACCAGTGGAGAAAAGCAAAATGCCTAAATTCACAGCTTTTTTCATCACAGGTGATCACAACTTAAGCTAAAAGAAGTAGACGGCTGGCACCATGGCTCACTTGGCTAATCCTCTGCCTGCAGCGCCGGCACCCCGGGTACTAGTCCCGGTTGCTCCTCTTCCAGTCCAGCTCTCTGCTGTGGCCCGGGAAGGCAGTGAAGGATGGCCTAAGTCCTTGGGCCCTGCACCCACATGGGAGACCAGGAGAAGCACCTGGCTCCTGGCTTCGGATCGGTGCAGCGCCAGCTGTAGCGGCCATTAGGGGAGTGAACCAACGGAAGGAAGACCTTTCTCTCTGTCTCTCTCTCACTGTCTATAACTCTCTCTCTGTCTCTCTCTCACTGTCTAACTCTGCCTGGCAAAAAATTTAAAAAAAAAAAAAAAGAAGAAGAAGAAGTAGGCAAAAAATGACACCTCCTGGATTTGCAGTTATAAACTGTATCATGGGATTATCGGTACAGAAGAAACACATTTGGTGGCACTGTCCTAGTTGTCGGCCGTGGGGGTCGAGGACGATGACACGGTGTTGTGCCTTTCTTTTTCAGACGAGTTCCCGCTTGCTCACCTCCTGCAGCCTTTCCGGCAGTATTACCTCCAGGCTGAGCACTCCCTGCCGGCACTCATCCAGATAAGGTCAGGCCGAGCTCTGGGTTGGCTTTCCCTGAAGTAGCAATTTGATAAAGTGCTTAGTTGTTGAGGTCTATTACTGCTCTTTGTTCTCTGTTCCTTATGGATTTCTGTTTCCAGTTTTCAGCCCCATGTCTTGCTTGGTTCTCATCTATCTTTAGAAGTAAAATCTCTGTTTTAACAGGTGAAGAAACTGAAATCAAGTTGGGACTTGCCATTTCCTATAGCTGTTATGCTGACTGAACGCCTTGACTTGCCTTTCCCAGTTCTCTTCTGGTGCTGAACAGGAGGGAGATCATGTGTACTTGTTTGTGGAGGCTGCTTAAGACCCATACTCACTTCGGAGCCCTCCACAAGTCAGAGCCCAGAGAGCTGGGAACAAGGAGTCTCACCTGAAGCTATAGTTGCGCATGAGCTGGGCAGTTTCAGGGTCTCACTTAGCTTACCTATGAAATGAAGCCGGTGGACTAGAATAGGACCTTCAGACTCCAGCAGCTGTCTTTGGCAAAGTCAGTGTGTGAGATAAATTGATTGTCATTGGCGGCAGCACTCTGTTGTTCCGAGACTCCCCAGAACATCTGCTTGAGGCTCCTGGGTCTGAAAATCACCCAACTAAGTGGTCTCTGAGGTCCCTTCCCAAGTGCCAGCAGTATGTGATTCTTAGGAAAGAATGCTCTGCATCATACCTAGTTTGTTTTCTGGGAAAGGCTTGTTTTTGCCTACTATACATGTTTTAAACCTAAGCACAGGTAGTTCTCATTGTTCATGATAGCTGTGTTCTGTCAAGTCACTACAGACCCTGAATCACAGAACTGCACACTGTTCCTACAGGAAACACAGGATTGGCTAGTTTCCTGCAAGTCTCTGCTCACGTTTTTGTCCATCAATCAATACCTCGTTTAAGTGTGCTTCTGTTAAAGACACCCACTTAATATGTATTGTTAACTGATTAACATTGAGCTTGTTAAAAGGACCACAATTCATGCCTGAATGAAAGTTATCCAACATCCACAGTTTCTCCGGGAGGCATTTCCTGCGCTTCGGAACTCTGGCCAGCTCTTTAACACTTTAGCTGGGGGCTTTGTAAACGGTGAAATCACCACTAAAAAGCACAAAAATGTAAAATATGTGGTAACAAAGAGAGACCTTAGCTGGGACAAAGAGCATTTTGGTGACTCGGATCCGCCCTGTATCCATGAAACGCCCCCAAGGGGTGATCTTGGGGTTACAAATAAATTCTAGTGAGTAGGCAAATTGCAGAATCTGGCAATAGTGAGGGGCATCTGTGTATTCATTATTTGGTATCCATAATGGTATCAGTTCTTTGTATTATTTGCCCCTTTATGAGTACATTTAAGTATGGTCTTTTGCCTAATTCCTAGAAAACAAGTTCTGTGGCAGGTTAGTACCTCAGTCGTTTGGAAGCTAAGTCCTAGAAATAGAACTGTTTAGTTGCTGCACATCTTGCTTATAATAAAACAGAAATAAACGGTTGTTCTACAATGTTCTTGTTAAGGCATGATTGGGATCAGTACCTGGTGCCATCCGACCATCCCAAAGGCAACTCAGTTCCCCAAGGATGGGTGCTTCCCCCGCTCCCCAGCAACGACATCTGGGCGACCGCCATTAAGCTGCATTAGTAAAGATGCTCCCGGAGTGAGGTCCAGCCCTGGCTTCTTCCAGCTCCGAATGGTACTGATGCCGCCATCTTCTTGTGCCGTAGACTCAGCTGTGACTTCCAAACTCCGTGTGGCACAGCCTTGCCCTTCTGTACCCGGTCCTGGCCAGAGGTGCCTCTTGAATCAGGAGATGAATATGGTTCTTCAGGAAAGGACCTACGTGAACTAAGGTCATTACCCCAGCAGTGACCTTGGCTCACCACATTGCCTCTGTTTTGAGGGGCTTGGTCTAGAGTGACTTGTTAATTTTCTGTAACTTCCTTGTGTGGTGATGGGTAAGTACACTCAGTTCACTCAAATACTCAACACAGGTGTATGCTGGGCAGCAGCCCTTCCACCAACACCGAATGTGAAGGAAGCTTAATGCAAAACCTCCTTACCCTTCCTGCGCATGCACCCTCCAGCTCCCAGGAGGAGAGGTCAGACAGGCTCTGTCTTTGGCTTTGTTCATCACAGTTTCGGTGCAGCTTGGGAGGCTGCTGGTTAGGGTGACAGCAGTGACTACAGGTTGGGCTGCCGAAATAATGGTGCCCTGGTCTCTGTAGTCATGTGGAGCTGAAGAGTGCCTGCACCTAAATTGGAGTGTGTTTGAATGTGTGTGGCTGCCTTGGCCCCATGCTAGAGGATCCTAATGAAAGGTTCCTAGGGATCTAGTTGTTTGGAATACCCAAGGATAGAAATTTATTTCCCCATGGGAGTGGGCCCTAAACCTCACTCAGTCACATTGTAGGAGCCAGGATAGCTGTGGGATTTTCTTCCGAACTCAAGTTTCCAAAAACATTCATGTAGTCAAAGCTGGGGAAAAGGCAAATAAAAATGATAAAGTTTATTTTTTATAGTCACTAATAAATTTTGTGCTTGGAGATGGTCAGTCATATAACATGTCAGTTTTTTGTTTTGCCAATTATTTTGTTATTTATATTTTTAAAAAATCCAAATAAATATTTCAGTTTTTAGTTTGAGCCTTTGACCCAAATTTGTTGCCTCCCAAATCACCTAACATATGCTTCTACGTTGCCAAAACACATTCTCACTGCGAAATTCAAAGTTATTAAACAAGCATTTGCTGTGGGAAAGTGACTCTCAAGTCCTCAACTTTGTGAAATCCCAACTCTGGCTAAGTCAGAAAAGAGGCTGTCTACCCTGGAAATAATACTGTGTAGCTGGAAGCTCTTAAGTGCAGGACATGAATGCCTTTGTCTCTTTTCTGTTGTTTAATTTTATTGTTCAATGTGTACATCATGCATTACAGAGGTAATACATAGGGAATTGGCACCATGCTTCTCCAAAGTGTGTCTAAACTCGTAAGCCTAAAGACCTGCTGTGATTTGCCTCATGAAACCCCACGTGCCTGTGTGCCTCTTTGTTCAACATCTCCACTAGCTGCTGTCTGATGAGGTGGGGATTAGAAACCACGGATGGGTTGTATGATGTATGTTTGCTGTCCAGATGGCCTTGCCACCAAGACACCTGCGGTGATGGGGGCAGGAAGGCGGGCTTGGGAAAATTCAGGGAGAAAAATCCAAGAATAAGGTGGCATTAAACCACAGGTGGAAAAAAAAATCCCCTCTTCCCTCATTTGGCCTATGCAAGGTTTTAATAAAGTGAGCATTGTTCCTACCTTTTGTTTGGTGGTTGTTTTGTAAGGTTTTCCTTATTTATTTCCTGTGTGTACTGGTGTTAGCAGCAGCCATTGGTCCTTTGTAGGCTTCAAAAGATTCGTATTAGTGTCTTCAGTAATTGTACTTATCCTATAGTCCCTCTACTTTTATACTTAGTATGGAACTTTTCAAATATATTCAAAAGTAAAGAGAATAGTATGATGATTTTTTTCCACACACCCATCCTCTAGTTTCAGATAATTATCTCTTCATGGCCAGTCGTGTTTCATCTCTTACCCTACCCTGCAGTCACCCTCAATTATTTTGAGGCAAATTCACACATTAAATTATTTCATCTGTGAGTAATTTAGTATGTAGCTTTAAATATTTTTTTAAAAATTTAACCACATGACCGCCATCACATCTAAAGAATAACTCCTTAACATCATAACTATCTAATCAGTGTTCAAATATCCTTACCTTGTAAGTGTATTTTACATTTTGTTCCCAATCAGGATCTAAATACACACCATAATATCTATGAAAGTTGGTAAGTGCCTTAAAGTTTCTGATAATCTATAGTTTCTTTCCTGATCACTTTTACATACCTGTCATTCTCTTTTTCTCTTTTCTTTGCAATTAATTTCTTAAAGACATAGCAACATTTTTTCTTGAAGTGTTCCCCTAGTTTCATTCTCACCAGTTGCATGGTTATGATACCAGGTCCCTCTGTTCCTGTATTTCCTCTAATGCAGTGGATAAACAGCCTTACTAGCCAGTCATAGTCACATATACAGCTAGTGAGCACTCAGAAGTGTGGCTGCTGGGAATCAAGATAAGCATTATGCACATGGCTCACGCTGTACCTCTGTTGGATAGTATGAATCTAGAGACTCGGGCACATGTTGATTAGAGTTCTCTGGCAGGAAGACTTCATAGACATGAGGCACTAGAATCTGGTTCTCTTGTGTAATCTTGGCAGCCATTAAGACCTAGATTCATTAATTCATTAGAGGTTAAAAATAGTGAATTAAAAACATTTTTTAAAGATTTATTTATTTATTTGTAAGGCAGAGTTACGCAGAGAGAGATCTTTCCTCCACTAGTTCACTCTTTAAATGGCTGCAATGGCTCGGCCTGGGCCAGGCTGAAGCCAGGAGCCCAGAACTGTCTGGGTTTCCCATGTAGATGGCAGAGGCCCAAGCACTTGGACCATCTTCTGCTGTCTTCCCAGGCATTTTGGCAGGGAGTGGGATCAGAAGTAGAGCAGCCAGGACTTGAGCTGGCACCCATATGGGATTCTGGCATCACAGGCAGCGGCTTAACCCACTGCAGCACAGTGCTGGCCCCAGTAGTGATCATTTAATTCTGTCTGCAGTTATTTCTAAAAAGAGACTTCCTCATCAAGTTTTTGGTTATCTTCAGGTATAATTTATATAGGACCAGCAAAACAGAAATACTTAATTTCTTTTATTTACTAATTTTCAAAATAATGAGTTGGTTCCCTCCCATCCTCCAAAGGTGGCCAGTGAGCTTTCTTTTTAAACTTCATTGTGACCTTGGATCCAAACTTGTTTTCCTTTCAACCCAGTGTTATCTGTCGATTTACCTCATCGTTGCCCAGGGGGCATCTCTTTAGCTCAGCACCTGATGCCCACGCCATCCCAGCATTCTGAATGCAAGCTTGGCGCTACCTTTGCTGCCGGGGGCCTGGATGTGGGGCAGGCATTTGTAGATGAGACCTGCATGCTAGGGTGCCTGTCCCTGCTGCTCAGTGTTGGCTGCTGCTTCTTCCCTTCCGCCAGTAGAACTAGGAGCTGCCATTCTGTTGAGCCTTCAGCCCTTTTCATGTCTTTCTACACTTTATCCACTTAATTGAACATGAAGGAATGAAAATGGAGAGATTCATTCAGACACTAACCAGAAAGTTAACCTGTTCCCTGTTACTTCATCGTATTCCATATGTGAGAATATTCTTTCATTTCCTAGGAGAGGAAACCCTGGCTTTGTAAAAAAAAAAAAAAAGCCATTTGTTTATTGATTTATTTTAAAATTTTACATATTTAGAGAGTGCCCATCAACTGGTTTACTCCCCAAATGCCCAATGACTGGAGCTGGAAGCTCAATTGATACCTCCTACATGGAGTGGCAGGGACCCAAATACTCAATTGAGCCATCTGCCGCTTCCTAGGGTGTACGTTAGCAGGAAGATGGATTCAGGAGAGGAACTGGGCCTCAAACCCAGGCACTCTGCTATCGGATGTGGGCATCCCAACCTGCAGTGTAACAGCTAGGCTAAATATTGCCTGCCCCTTTGAAAAAAGTTTTTTTTCATTTATATTTTTCAGGAAGCTATGAGAGAAAGATTGGTTATATGTTAAATACTGTTGAATATTCATTCCAAGTAACTTGAGTTTATTGAGTCAAAGAATTTACCGCTACAAACCAACCAATTTAATCACTCTAAAGCCATTCATGTTCCTATGTCTGTGTGACTTTTGTAACAAGAAGCTTAGCAGGGATTGTACCATCTGTTGTAGTAAGTCACTTCTACACGTGTCCACAGGAAAGCTGGGGATTACAAGGTAAATACAAAGTCTATCTTGTTCCACTTAAATAAGTCTAGTATGTGATATATAAAAGGAAAGTGAATATGAAATGCACTTACAGAGATTTATTTTCAGGAATCCAGATTGAGACATTTCCAAATTAAAATTTTTAGTACTTAGAAAAAGTAAAAAAAAAAAAAAAAAGTGAATTATTCCCATACAGTGAGTTGATTACCTCTGTGTATCCACACAGCAATTCCTGATCTGCCACACCCGCCCACCCAGGAAAAATGTGTTTCTGTGCAGATTCTGTTTGCTGATTGGGCTAAACTTGGCTTCTCCTTGTCTCTGAAGCAAAGATCAAGGTCTTCAAGGCTGGTGGTGCTGGAGTCATTCCCGTGCAGAACAGCAGACGCTTTTCTCACCTCACGACACGTTTGCTAGATGCAGGACACCACTTTCCAACTGTGTTCTTGGTGAGGTGATTTTTTTTTTTTTTTTTTTTTTTTTTTAGCATTTTCTAGGTGCCGCGTTAGGGATATAAAAAGGAACAAACAGGATTCCTGCTTATACTAATAGAATCATTAGTTATAATTGTGATAAGGACTACAAAGAAAAGTACTTACTAACTGATTTATAGTTTTTATTGTCCAAATATTTATTGAGTGCCCATTGAGGCTAAGCAAAATGCCAAATACCCCCTAAGCATAGTTCTGCTTTTCAAATGCTTCTATAATACATTTAGGGGAAATAAGAGATAGTGTCTATTATCACATGATGAAGATGAAAATTCTGATTATATATGTTTATGCTAGGTCACAAAATATATTATCGGTCACCATTTTAAAAAATCTTGAAAGCCACTGTATTAGGGGAACCTAACCAAGTTTGGGGGATTGGAGAAATTTATTTATGTTTTGGAAGAGATACATAGAGAGAGGTCTTCCATTTGCTGGTTCACTCCCCAGATGGCCACAATGGCCAAGGCTGGGCTAGGCCCGAGCCAGGCGCTTCCTCTGGGTTTCCCACAAGCACTTGGGCTATCCTCTGCTGCTGTCCCAGGCCATTAGCAGGAAGCTGGATCGGAAGTGGTACAGCTGGGACTCGAAATGGCACCCACAGGGGATGCTGGTGTTGCAGGTGGCAGCTTGACCACGCATGCTGTAACACTGGCTCCAGGAAGAGAAACTTTTTTGAAGAAATAGTGTTTTTGCTGAGCTCTAAAAAATGATCAGTTTTTAATGAGTTGTGGAGAGGAGACAAAGAAGAACATAGCGGGTGTCTGGAATGCATATGCAAAGTTGAAAGCTGTGGTGGCTGGAGCAAGTTGGAAGGATCAGAGGCTAGACGGTACAGTTACAAGGTTTTAGAAAGACTTTAGTTCTTATTCTGAAAGCAGCTGGGAACAGTAAGGGCTTTAAGCAGGAGAGTGGCTTCGTTTTGTGTTTTGAAATGGCCACTCTTACTTCTGTGCATGGAACGGAATTGTGATAATAAAGTGTGAGAGGACATGGAGAGCCCAGTGGTCCAAGTGTGAGGTAACAGGAGCTTGAACCCCATGGTAGCAGGGGAGGTAGCATGGAATGGCTGGATTCCAGAGATTTGAGATGAAGCTTGGCAGGGCATTTGAGGTAAGTGGGGGAAAGGGAGAGGAAAGCGTCAGGGTCGAGCCCTGGTGCACCTGGGTGGCTGTTGCCATTCCTGTGATGGGCAACCCTGGAGGAGCGCAGTCTGGGGGAGGGAAAGTCAGTTCACTTTGTGTGTGCTGAGTTAGAAGTGCTCTTGAGAGATTTGTAGGCAGTCGTGTTTATGAGTTTGATCTCAGCCGAGACCTGGAAAATTGATTTGTGAATCACTGGTGGGTAATTAAAGCTGGGGGTAAGGATGAAGTCATTTGGAAAGTACAGTGGACAGCTTTAAAACAATGCTGTCATTGTGTGGGCCCCACCCCCGCCTAGACCAATTTCCATAACCTCTACCTGCAGGCTCCCTACAGCCAGCCTCAGTTGCCTCCAAGTGGCTACATGGACTGGGCTATAGTTTGCCAGAGTGTGCTCAGCCTGGCTCTCCTAAAGTCTCCACTTCTCCACCCCTCCCTACCCCCAGGCCTCTTTGAGGATTTCATCACCACCTACTGAATGGAGTCAGGCCGCAGCCTGAAGTTTGAATTCGTCCCAGCACCGCCTCCGTCTATCCTTTCCATATTACTGCAGGTGCTTCCGTGAGTCAGGCAGCTTGTCCACCCCACCCCTGGCCCTCCTGCCTCTGTTCTTCTTTTTTCTGTTTTTCATTTTGAAGATTTATTTATTTAGTTTAAAGGCAGAGTTACTCAGAGAGAGGGAGAGATAGGAGAGAGAGAGAGAGAGCAATCTTCCATCTGCTGGTTTACTCCCCAATGGCTGCAATGATGGGCTGGGCTAGGTCGAAGCCAGGATTAAGGAGCTTCTTCTGGGTCTCCCACAAGGGTGCAGGGGCCCAAGCATTTGGCCATCCTTCGCTGCTTTCCCAGGTGCATTAGCAGGGAGCTGGTTCAGAAGTGGAGCAGCTGGGACTCTTACTGGCGCCCATAGGGGGACTCTGCACCCATCTGGGGATGGAGTGTCACAGACAGCAGATTAACCTGTTACATCACCACGCCGGCCCTTGCAGCTGCCCCTTCTCTGGAGTCTAACTTCCCATTTGACTCTTTTCCCACTCACAGACTCTTCTCCCACCCTCCAGGGGCCTGGTCAGGTCTCATCTGTTTCCTGAAGCTTTTCCCCAAACCCCACAAGGACCAGAACATTCCCCTCCTTCTGAAAAATATTATTACTTACTGATCGGCACCTTTCATTTTGTACATAGCAAGGTGACCCTCAGTTTAGAAAATGTTCTAACCAGGTCATATCTTACACTACAGCCCTTACCAACTGAGTCACACAGAAGTCATATTTATATATAATGTGAATATATATAATAAGCAGTTGTGAGCTTGAATTTAGTATGAATCATATTTAATATGGTTTAAAATGCATTTTAAAATACTATTAAATTGGTTCCCAGAATCCTCAAACTCCTAAATTGCCCTGGAAGCAAGTGTGGGGCTGAATAAAGAACGCCTGTTAGGATGCAGATGCTGGGTTGGAGATGGGGGGACGGGGGCCCAGTACCTGCTATGTGCACAGGCAGTTCATACTTTCTTCACAACGGAACTGTGCCCTTTCTCAGTACTCCAGAATTCAAACTTCAGCTGATAGTGTAAGTGATAAATCTGAAAATGCCAAAACTTACTGAACCTTCCTATAACAAACACCCTTATGCTTCAAACGTGCTTTGTAAGAACTGACCAATGGGGCAATTGACTGGAGACCCTGGAAGCTGCCTGATGCCGCGTCCTGGAAGCTACGTGAGAGCCACCTCCTTGACATGCAGAGACTGGCAGCAGGCACTGGGCAGATGCTGACAGGAGTGGACAGGTGGGGGAGGAGATGAGGGAATTAAGGGATTTGCCTACTTGCCCTCATTTGACTGTTCTGTACTCAGATTACTCACCCTCCCTCTCTACGTGCCATGCCGCTGTTACAAATGGGGTGTGGGGTGTGACCGCACAATGACCCTAAGAAGCAGGGCTTTTGCATCATCCTGGCAGAGGCTACAGCTTGTGTCAAGCCAGTGGTACTCCCTGATGCACGCCTCCTGGTAAGCTCTGATTGTTTGCAAAATGCCAGAGTGATCGGGAGTCCAGATTTATATTCCAGGCAGTCATAAGCTTAAATTCTGTATGATTCAATATTTAACAAGGTTTAAAATACATCAAAATTCAAATCCGTGGCTATTTTAAATATTACCAAACTAAGAACAGAGGCTACACTTGCTCTTAGGCAAAAGGCCGAGAAGTGATATGTGGATGAGTTTATAATTCTTGTATTTCAGCTGTAGTAGCTACTGTTGGTCAATACTAACAGACTTTCTTACCAACAGGACATGGAGGTGCAGAGATTCTGTTCTCCACACTTGATATCGGCAGGTTATTTTATTTTAATCATTCAGGGTTTTGTATGTGTGTGGTGGCATCTCATTGTTTTTATTTAGCATTCCTCTGATGACTAACAGAGCTGGACGACTCACCTGTTTCTTGGCTATGTAGATATCCCCTTTTGTGTAGCTCCTACTAAAATTTCTTGCTTATTTCGTATTGCTTGTGGAAGGTCTATCAGATATGAGTCCTTTCTCAGATAAATGTGTTGCAAATATCTTCTCCCACTCTGTGGCTTTTTTATTTTTTTGCTATCTTAATAGTGTCTTCTGATGGATGCAGATTCTTAACTTTAATGTAATCCAATTCATCAGTATTTTCCTTTATCATTAGTCTGGTTTTTTTATCATTAGTCTGGTTTGCCCATTCCAAGGCCATGAATATAGTCTCTTATCTTCAAGCTTTATTATTTTACCTTTCACATTTAGATCTACAGTCTACTTGGAATTGATTTTTGTGTATAAGTGATGTGAAGTCAGGATTTATTTTTCCAGGTGGATATTCAGTTGATTCAGATGCTCTGTAGGGTCAATTTTATCATAAATCAAGAATCCACATAGGTATGGATCTGTTTCTGGACTTTCTTTTCTGTTCTATTGGTCTCATGTCACTGCTGCACTGTTTTAATTCCTGTAACTGTGAAGTAAGTTCTGATATCTGATAGTATAGGACTACTTTTTTGCCTCTTCAAGATTGTCTTGGCTATTCTTGGATCTTTGCATTTCATTTCATTTGAGATTAGCTTGCTAATTTATACCAGAAAATGTGACAGAATTTTTATACTTTGTGAGTCAATTTGGAGAGCTCTTCTGTCTTTATAGCACTGAGTTTTATAATCCATGAATATGGTATGCTTCCCCATTTAATCTAATGTTTTATGGTTTTCTGTGTAGAGATCTTATGCATCTTGTGTTAGATTTAGTCCTAGGTGGTTGATGCTAACACAAATGTTTTCTTTCTAAATTTCAATATCTAATGAAATTTTTTTTACAGAATTGGGTACTTTTATTATATATAACATAATAATGAACACAAATTGCTTCCATTCTCATGACATTTTTATAGGATGATTTAATAAAAGAAAAATACTAAGATGTTCTTTCTGTGGAAAAAGAATGAGATAACAGTGGCAGCTTGGAAGGACAAAATTTATTACAGTGGTCTAGTTGTAACTGCTATCTTCTCTCCTCAGTAGCATATTCTAGAAAAGGTATCATGATACTGTGTACTCTAAGGTCTTTAAATCGAAGATTTTAGAGCTCTCGATAATGCTCCGTCTGCAGTAAGCAGCACTATTAATCCCATTTAGATGTTTTCCTCCTCATATAACTGTGTCCTTCACTATCAATAGCTTCATAGAGATTGTTTTTGTTCTCTTGTGTTGCATGTAGATAACCAATGGAAGCCACGCAAAGCGAGAGGGTTACCAATCTGAAAGCCATTACAGGTTTGTTAGGTTTAATGAAGAGCTCTGGATTCACTGCTCGAAATAAGGTGGCTGTGCGCACCCCTCTGAGCCCTGGGTTTTTTTTTTTTTTTTTTTTTTGACAGGCAGAGTGGACAGTGAGACAGAGAGACAGAGAGAAAGGTCTTCCTTTGCCGTTGGTTCACCCTCCAATGGCCGCCGCGGCCGGCGCACTGCGGCCGGCGCACCGCGCTGATCCGATGGCAGGAGCCAGGAGCCAGGTGCTTTTCCTGGTCTCCCATGGGGTGCAGGGCCCAAGCACCTGGGCCATCCTCCACTGCACTCCCTGGCCACAGCAGAGGGCTGGCCTGGAAGAGGGGCAACCGGGACAGAATCCGGCGCCCCGACCGGGACTAGAACCCGGTGTGCCGGCGCCGCTAGGCGGAGGATTAGCCTAGTGAGCCGCGGCGCCGGCCAGCCCTGGGTTTTGAAAGCCTTTCTCTCTGGGTGGTTCCTCTTTAAACGCTGGAGGCTCAGGTGCTGAAGACATCTTGACTGATGATTTATTACCTTCCCCGGGGTTCCCTCCTTTCCACTCCCGCTATGGCTCCGCCTCTCTAATGAAAATTTTTAAAGGTATTATTTGTAGGGCTTATTGTTTGTATAGAGACAACTGATTTCTGTACATTGACCTTGTATTCAATGCGCTTGATAAATTTGCTTACTAATTCTAAGATTTTTATTCACAGATTCTTCTGGATTTTCCTCATATAATTATGTCACCTACAAATAATGGTGGTTTTCTCTTTCTTTTCAATCTTGGCCAGTATTGCAGCACAATAGGTTAAGCTGCAACCTGCAATCCTTATACTTTTATTATTATTTTCTCTCCATTTTTGCACAGGCTAGTACCTCCAGGTATTGACCAAAAGGAACGCTTGTCTCATTTCTAATCTTGGGGATATGTTTCAATATTTCACCATTAAGTGGGATATTTGGGCCGGCGCCGCGGCTCACTAGGCTAATCCTCCGCCTTGCGGCGCCGGCACACCGGGTTCTAGTCCCGGTCGGGGCGCCGGATTCTGTCCCGGTTGCCCCTCTTCCAGGCCAGCTCTCTGCTGTGGCCAGGGAGTGCAGTGGAGGATGGCCCAAGTGCTTGGGCCCTGCACCCCATGGGAGACCAGGAAAAGCACCTGGCTCCTGGCTCCTGCCATCGGATCAGCGCGGTGCGCCGGCCGCAGCGCGCTGGCCGCGGCGGCCATTGGAGAGTGAACCAACCGCAAAGGAAGACCTTTCTCTCTGTCTCTCTCTCTCACTGTCCACTCTGCCTGTCAAAAAAAAAAAAAAAGTGGGATATTTGCTATAGATGTTTTAGAGAGTCTTTGTTAGGTTGAGGAAATTCTCTTCTGTCACTATGTTGCTAAAGGTTTGTTTGTTGCTTCTTAACTCATGAATGGATATTGATTTTACCAAGAATTTTTTCTGCCTCTGTGGAAATATAGAATTTTTCATATTTATTCTCATTTACTGATTTTGAAAAGTTAAGCCAATCCATCATTCATGGAGTGAATTCAACTTGGCCGTGTTGCATAATTTTTGCATTTGTGTTCATGAGAAACTGGCTTCTAATTTTTTTCTCAAGTTTAATATCACGAGTTTCCTGAAATCAAAGCGAGTTAGGAGTATTCCATGTTTTCTTCTTCTCTGGAAGAGTTTGTGTGATTTGATGTTACTTCTCCCTTATGCATTTGGGTGACAACTCTTCAGATGAAATGTTTCAGAGCTGGTGTTGTGGACCATGCTTTGGAAAGCTGGACCAGAGCCTGACTTAGACGAGAAGTGGTCAGTTCCTGTCGGTGTGAATGCTCTTGTTTTTACTCATTTCCTCCCAGTGCAGAACTGGTCACTTCACCTCTTGCTTTCCAGTTGTGTGGGGCTCAGCCAAGCAACCAGAGGTGAGCAGTGAGACCATCTGAGGCCTGAGCCTGGTCCTCAGGACTCTGAACTCTCTCCCTGCCACCAGGAGACCTGCCCCAGCCCTGCTAAGCCATCTCCACACGTCTCTGACAGAATGAGTGCCCTCGATGGCGTCCCCTTCAAGGTCCCCAATGGCTTTGTGATAGGCACAGAACCTCTCCCTGGGCCAGAGCTCAGTGTTCCAGCCTGCAGGGAGCTTCTGCTGGGTTCTATGGTAAGTGTGTATCTCTGCCTGTCTCTTCTCACCCCTGGGTCTGAGACTGCCCAATGCGGCGTTGTTCCTTGATTTTAAGGGGCAGCTCTGGGGCAAGCATCTAGCTTATAGTTAAGGTGTCCACATTCCACATCCGAGTGGATGGGTGTGATTCCCAGCCCTGCTCCTGAATCTAGACTGCTGATTCAGAAACTGAGAGGCGGCAATGAGAGCTCAAGCACTGGATTCGTGCCACCCATGTGGGAGTTCCCAGCTCCTGGCTCTGGTGCCCGCTCAGTCCTGGCCTTTGTTAGCATTTGGGGAGTGAGACAGCAGACAGAAGCGTGCTCTCTCTCTCCTCTCAAATAAAAAATAAATAAATAAAAATTTAGAAATAAATAAAGGGCAGCTTGGCCTGCTCTTGTGTGGTCCAGTAGAGGAAAAGGTGTTTCAAGGAAGAGCAGTGGTGGCTGGGTGATGAACGTTATTTCATGAGTCTTGTTTTAGGACAACTGGAGGCTGCCTACGTGATGTGTCTGAGAGTCATTATAAGAATGCTCCAATTCCTCTCTTCCCTGTCAGCCTGCCACTCTGACATTCTGTCATTAGAGTCACTCGTTTGGGCTGACAGAATCCTCTGTGGAGATGCAGCGAGTTACCCAGGATACACCAGGAGACGCTACTGCTGCACACACCCAGAGCACTTCTGCTCTGGAGGTGGCCTTGAAGTAGCTCAGGTCACACGGCTCACACCTGGGATATGTGGTGGTATCACATGTGGCCTCAGGACAAAGTGATTTAACTTCCCGGAAAGTCAAGTTCACTTGACGATTTTAAAGGAGGAGCCTATTGCATTTATAATGTAACGCAGCTATGTCAGGGGTAGGATGCAAAATTCACGTGAATTTCAAAAAAGAAAAAATAATTAAAGATTAAGATTGCAAAGAACTGTGGAGCTGGCCTTGAGCCCCCTTGGTGCTGGGTCCCCAGGCCCCTGTGTGTTCACTCCCCGCCGTCCACAGGGCACTTCATAGACCTGGCTCTGCTCTCACTCATTTGCACACAGGGAACCTGGGACCCAGAGAAGGGAAAGGAGTTATCCAAATTGAGTGTCAATGACATGACTAGAACTCGGGTCCTCCCTCCAGGTCATGTCAGAGCTAAGAATAGGATGTGGAACGTGAGATAAAACATGTAACAGGTAAGCTCTGAAGGAAAAAGTAAGTGTATGTGTGGCAGGGGGCGGGTTGTTGCAGGGAAGTCAGGAGCACAGGGCACAGTCTGCAAAGCAGAGACCTGGGGAGGGTCAGACAGGGGCCTGCGTGACCCAGGGGTGCAGGAGACGACCCCGTGCTGCCTTGTCCATCTTCAGACGCTGGAGCTGCACTGAGCCTGCGCAGGCCCCAGGTTTTCAGACCTGAAATAAGCACTGGCAAGCCCATAGCACAGTGTCCGGGCCCAGGCTGCGTGGGGCAGGCGCTCCTGCTCTCCCTGGGAGCCTGTGTTATGGCTCTCAGGTTGGCACACGACCCGTGTGGTCCATAAAAGGAATTTGCTTTACTGAGCCTGCAGTGGAAGTGGGGATCATAGCTCCCCCCACCGCCGGTCCCCACCCCCACCAAGCTTGAGCCATGCAGACAGGAGGCTAATCCCAAGGTTCCCTCCCCTAGAAACAGAAACAGTTCCCTTCGGCCAAGGCCATGCCCAGGGGCTTACACCGGCTCTGCCCCCTACTCTCAGGGTGGGTAGCCACTCTCCCTGAGCCTCCATTTCTTTCATTGCTGGGCCAGACTAACAGAGAAGAGCACTGGACACGGACTATGATTTGCAGCCTCTCCTGGCTGTAAATTCAAGTGTTTGGAACTTGAGTTTCATTGCCTCGTGGCAATATGTTCCAGATGGCAATTAGATTACCAGGTGAATCTACAGTAACCTACAGAGAAAAACAACAGCTACCAGTTACTGAGCACCTATTAAGCACCAGGCCTGTGCCAGAAAATTATTTATTTGAAAGGCAGAGTTACAGAGAAAGAAAAGGGGGCGGGGGGGAGAGATCTTCCATCCACTGGTTCACTTCCCAGATGGCTGCAACGGCTGGGGATGGACCAAACTGAAGCTAGGAGCCAGGAGCTTCTCCCACATGAGTGCAGGGGCCCAAGGACTTGGTCATCTTCTGCTGTTTTCCCAGGCCATTAGCAGGGAGCTAAAACTTCTGCTTATATGGGATGCCAGCATCACAGACAGCAGCTTAACCCTTTGCGCCTCAGCACTGGCCCTGTGGTTTACTCCCCAAATGGCCACAACAGCCAGGGCTGGGCTGGGCTGAAGCCGGGAGCCAGGAATTCCATCTGGGTCTCCCACATGGGTGGCAGGGACCCAAGTATTTGAGCCATCACCTGCTGCGTATGTATTAGCAGGAAGCTAGAATTGCAAGGGAAGCCAGGAATTGAATCCAGGCACTGTGCTATGCGGTGCAGGCATTTCAGAGGTGGGCGTTCCTGCACCATGCCACAGGAAAACACATCCCCCACTCAGGTGAGCACAGAGTCACGTGGCTTATGAGTGACAGCTAAATTTCCAACAGGAGTCTATTGAGTCATGTCCATTCCCTCCACCCTGCTGGCTTCCCAGGGAGCCCTTTCTTCCACAGTGAAAGCCCCAACAAGTCTATTTTGTTCTTTTATAGTTTCCCTTTAATTTCTTGTTTTTAAGAAATGCATTCATATAGTTTAAAAATGAGTAGATATGTATTATATATAATATATAATTATATAGTACAATTTATCATATACAATTTATATAAAGTAGTATAGAACAGGGTAAAAACTGAATCAATTATTCTGCTGTCTGGGGCTGGTGCTGTGGTGTAGTGGGTAAAGCCGTGGCCTACAGTGCCGCCATCCCATATGGGTGCTGGGTCAAGTCCTGGCTCCTCCGTTTCCAATCCAGCTCTCTGCTATGGCCTGGGAAAGCAGTAGAAGAAGGCCCATGTCCTTGGGCCTCTGCACCCACGTGGGAGGCCTGGATGAAGCTTCTGGCTCCTGGCTTTGGATTGGCACAGCTCCAGCCATTGAAGCTGTTTGGAGAGTGAACCAGCAGATGGAGGACTTTCTCTCTCTCTCTCTCTCTCTCTCTCTCTCTCTCTGCCTTTCACATAAATAAATAAATCTTTAAAATTATTCTGCTGTTGTGGGGAGAAAGAGCCATAGACAGTATAACCACAAGGGGTGACTGTGGCTGTGTTCCAATAAAACTTTACTAAAAACAGACCCATGGGGCAGGCGCTGTGCCATAACAGGTAAAGCTGTTGCCTGTTGTGCTGGCATACCATATTGGCACTGGTTCGAGTCCTGGCTGCTCCACTTCTGATCCAGCTCTCTGCTATGTCCTGGGAGGGCAGAGCAGTAGATGATGTCCCAAGTCCTTGGGCCCCTGCATCTGCGTGGGAGACTGGAAAGAGGCTCCTGGCTCCTGGCTTGAAATCAGCACAGCTCTGGCCATTGCAGCCATCTGGGGAGTGAACCAGCAGATGGAAGCGTGCTCTCTCTCTCTCTCTCTCTCTCTCTCTCTTCCTCTGCCTCTCTGTAACTCTGCCTTTCAAATAAATAAATAAATTTTTTTTTTTTTTGACAGGCAGAGTTAGACAGTGAGGGAGAGAGACAGGGAGAAAGGTCTTCCTTTTGCCCTTGGTTCACCCTCCAATGGCCGCTGCGGCCAGCGCACCGCACTGATCCGAAGGCAGGAGCCAGGTGCTTCTCCTGGTCTCCCATGGGGTGCAGGACCCAAGCACCTGGGCCATCCTCCACTGTACTCCCTGGCCACAGCAGAGAGCTGGCCTGGAAGAGGGGCAACCGGGACAGAATCCGGCGCCCCGACCGGGACTAGCACCCGGTGTGCCGGCACCGCAGGTGGAGGATTAGCCTAGTGAGCTGCAGCGTCAGCCATAAATAAATCTTAAAAAAAAAAAGAAAACAGACCCAAACCCACAAGCAGTCTACCAGCCCCTGCACCTTCTCGTCTGCACTGTTCCCCATATCTGCTCCCTCACTGGTGATCTCCGTATGTATTTATTTATTTATTTTAAAAAGATGCATTTATTTGTTTGAAAGGCAGAGTAGATGGGGAGAGAGAGAGAGAAATCTCTCATCCACTAGTTCACTCCCCAAATGACTGCAGCAGCTATGGCTGGGCCAGGCTAAAGCCAGGAGCCCAGAACTCCACCTCCTACATAAGTGACAGGCACCCAAATACTTGAGCCATCATCTACTGACTTCCCGGGAACATTAGGAGGAAGCTGCATTGAAGCAGAGCAGCTGGGACTAGAACCAGCGCTCCGATACTGGATGCTGGCATAGCAAGTAGTGGCTTATCCTTCTACGCCACAACATCAGCTCCTGTCCTTCATTCTTAATATAGCCTTCCAGAGAGTCTTACATGTGTAAGGAAAATACAACAGTTTCCTCCTTTTTTACATAAAAGGTAGACCCATATATATATATATATATATATATATATATATATATATAATTCTTGGGTTTTTTTGTGTAATATATTTTAAGATCTTTCTGTATCAGTTCATGGAAAGCTTCTTCAACTGTGTTTTTCATTGCGTGATACTGCATTATACGGCTGTATCTATCACACTTTACTGTGCTAGTGCCCTCCGGTGGACATTTGGGTTCTTCAGCCATTACGAATAACGCTGCAGCGAAGTGCTCACTCCAGCACACAGCCTTTGGAGTCTGAGTTTCAAGCCAAATTGCCCTCCCTCGGGCTTCTACTGACCCGCGTTACAGGCAAGCCCTTTCCTCCCAGGTGGCCCATGGAGTGTTGTCCAGCTGGATCCGCTAAGGGACAGGCAGATGGTATCTCAGTGGAGTTGTGATTTGGCCTTCTCCTATAGGGAGTGAGGGTCAGCAACTTTTCCTAGGCGTAACAGTCATTTGCATTCTTTTCTGTGGACTGTTCCCACCTTTTGCCCATTTTCCTGTTGGGCTGTTGGCATTTATCTTACCTATTCCTAGGCATACACTCTCTGTTAGTGGAGTTAGCCCCCTGGCTGTGATAGGAGTGCGGCTCCCCAGCCCCCAACACCACCACCAAGTTTGTCATTGGCCTTATGATTTTGTTTATAGGGCATATTTGCCATGCAGATTTTGGGTGTTTTTGTGGCAGAATTATCTTTGATGGCTTCTGGACTTTTTTTTTTTTTTTTTTTTTAATGTATTTGAAAGAGAAAGATCATCCATTCACTGGTTCACTTTCCAAATGCTCCCAAGAGTTAGAGCTGGGCTAAGCTGAAGCCACAAACCCGGAACTCCATTCAGATCCCTCACATGGGTGGTGGGGACCCAATCACCTGCTCTCTCCCAGGTCCCGTTAACAGGCAGCTGGATCAAGAGCAGAGCCGGAACTCGAGCCCAGACAGTGCAGGATAGGACGCGGTGTTCCAGGTGGTGTCTCACCTGTGCGGCACACACCTCATCCAGCTTCTGGATTTCCATACAAGACGAGAAAGGCCTGTCCACCTGAGATTGTGAAGGACTTCTCTCCTGTTTTCTCTTAGTGCTTTTACAGTTTCATAACACATATTTGAATCTTGGATTTTTTCGGAATTCATCTTTTTAGAATTTTTAAGTTAATTTATTTGAGAGGCAGAGAGACATACAAATTTTATATGTAGCTGCTCCCATCTTTGGTTCAATCCCCAAATTCCCACAGTGGCCAGGCCTGGGCCATGCTGAAGTCAGAACAGAGAACTCTGTTCAGGTCTCCAGGTGGCAGGAACCCAGCTACTTGAGTTATCGATACTACTCCCAGGGTCTACATTAGCAGGAAGCTGGAGTCAGGAGCCAGAGGTGTGTTTTGAACCCAGGTATTCGGATATGGGATGCAGGCCTCTCAACCAAAATCTTAACCATTAAGACAAATGGTTCTTAGTTTTAAAAGTAGGTGATGGGAATATTTAATTTTAACTCATTTATAAATTATCAAGTGAAATTATTTATGTGGGTTTCAGTTTTTTTTTTTTTTTTTGGATAGGCAGAGTTAAACAGTAAAAAAGAGAGACAGAGAGAAAGGTTTTCCTTCCGTTCCTCCTGGTCTCAGGGCCCAAGCACTTGGGCCATCCTCCACTGCCCCCCAGGCCACAGCAGAGAGCAGGACTGGAAGAGGAGCAACCAGGACAGAATCCGGCGCCCCGAACGGGACTAGAACCTGGGGTGCCGGAGCCTCACGCAGAGGATTAGCCTAGTGAGCCACGGAGCCAGCCCCAGATTGCTTTTTTAAATTTGAGAGACAGAGACACAGGGAGCTCCCATTGGCTGGTTCACACCCCAGATGCCCACCATGGCCAGGACTGGAGCCAGGAACATGATTCAGGTCTCCCGTGAGGAGAGAGGAGCCTAATTATTTGAGCCATCACCACTGCTCCCAAGGGCTGACTGGTAGGACGCCGCGGTCGGGGGCTGGGAATGGACGCAGGCACTCTGATGTGGGACCAAGCTCCAGCTCCCCTACATGGTTTCTCTGGGTGGCCTGCTCCCGGGGAGAAAGCCCCTGGATTAGGTGACGGAGAACACTGCTCAGCCACCCACCACCATCTGTCCTGGGCAAATACAATGATCCTCAGATCCTGAGCCTCATTTTCATAATCTGGAATAGCAGTGACACCAGAACCCACTGAGTTGAGCAAAGATTAGCCATTATTGCATTTCCGGGGCCCCAGAGTAACCTTGGGTGGCGGTAGAGGGGATGAGTCGGGAGAGGGGTTACCCCGCAGCGGGACTTGTCTGCCTGGACAGGCCTCCGGGGTGACTGCTCCATGCCAAAGGCTTCTGTGCTCAGGCCAAAGCCTCTTCTTGGGGAACAAGTTTTACCGGAAGAAGTTCTTAAACACCTGTCGTTCAGTGACATAGTGCATGGCTAAGGATCTTAGACACTGCAGTTCCTCGCTCGGTCTTTCATAGCGGAATTTGCCATCAAACCGTTAGTGACCTCTCTCCGGCGATGGTAGCTCCCTCCCAGGGTGAGGGTGGGCTGTGATGGATGCCAGGAGCTGCCCAAGCCTGAGCTGTCTGGCTGCACAGGTTCTCCCCAGGGGTGGGTGTGCACACCGGTTGGGCCTCACGTCGCCTTCTCTCCGCAGCACAACTTCAGCCTGGAAAGAAAGGCGCTCTTCTGGGTGGAAGCCGCCCTTCCGGGACCCTGCCCGTCCCAGTGCGGGGACCCGGGGACAGCGTCAGCGCCTCCAGCCTGGCTCTTGCTGCTGAGCCCGGAACACCAGCTGGCACCGGCGCCTACTGCCAGCAAAAGCCCAGAGGCCGGACTTCAGGAGCAGCCGGAGGAGGAGGAAGAGGAGAAAGTAGGGGAGGATGAGGAAGGCGTCTCCTCCGGCAGCGAGGAGGAGCCGGGCCCGCGCCGGGGCTCGCTGGGCGCATTGAGCGGCGTGCGCTCGGAACCCGCGGGCACTCGGCGGCGGCTCTCGGAGGGCCGGCTGGCCGCCCGGCCCCGCACGCTGCTGCCTCGCCCCCGCGGCCAGCGCGCGCTGAGCCTCTGCTGCTCCGGCCCGGCGCCCGCGCCCGCAGCCCCGCTCGCCGACGCCCCCGTGCTGCCCCAGCGACCCTCCACGGCGGGCGCCATGCCCCCGCTGCGCAGCCACAAGCCCACGGTCGCGGTAAGGATTCCGCCCCTGCTCGACCGAGGACCGGGCCCGCAGCCTCGGCCCCCTCCTGCCTTCCTTGACCTGCTCCCGCCAGGCCCTGCATTGTGCAGTCCCGCTGTAGCCTTTTTCCTAGACAGAGAACGTTCCCGGCCCGAGGCCCCCATGTGCGTGTCCGCTGTGCCTGCTTTGCCTCTGCCAGGGCGCGAGTCCAGTGATTTTAATTCCCCAGCCCGTGCCTGTCTCTTCCGTGGGATGAGTTCTTTTCTGGACAGGGATTAGATTCTGTTTATTTTTGTTTCCATAGCACGCGGCAGCACACTTGACCCATAGGGGGTGCTCACTGAATGTCTGTTGGTTGAATCAGTGAACAGCAACAAATCTAGGGCTGCCCACCGTGAGATTTGTCTTGGGCTGGGGGTTCCACCCCTGCCGTTACTTCCTGCCAGACACCGGCGTGAGCCACACAAGGTCCCAAGCACAGGACAAAGGAAGGTTGGCCAAAGGGCAGTGGGACAAAGCCCCAGTCCCGTTCAGAGAGATCAGGTGTTGGAAGACAGAGACCCAGGCTGCTGCAGGCTGGGAGGGCTTCAGGATGGAGGAGGTGACCCAGGGAGAACCTGGAGCAGGAGTGAATCAGAGCGAAGCCAGAGACAGCTAAGCCTCACACCTCTCACTTTACCCCTTCCTAGGTCTGCACCCAAATTTTTACCCATTATATTGTGTTCTTTGCCTTTTGAAAGGTCCCCCTCTGAATTATGGAAGTCTCAGACTCCACAGACCCGGGTTCAGAGCAGATAGGAAGGAGCAGGACTGCAGCAGAGCATGGCTTCCCACCCCCTGCAGCCCCATCCCTCAGGCCCAGAGAGGCTGCAGAACCGAGGCAGGCTGAAATTAAATCCGGAAATCGGACTTGCCACCTGGCCTTTCCCACCCACTGCTGAGTGACCTTAGGCAAGTCACCGAACCACTCTGAGCCACCCCTTCCCCACCTGTGCAGTGGCCCAGTGACCCTGCACGCAGAGCTGACAGAGAGGGGGAGCTGAGAATCCGTGAGCTGGGTGGGCCGTGCCCACCTCAGGCACCTGATGCTGAGGCCGGGATGGCTCTTCCTTGCCCCTGACAACACCACAGTGGGCCGGGTGGGGCAGAGATGCCATTGACAGGGAACTGGGGCCGAGAGTAGCTAGGAACCTTTACTAAGGACACCAGAGCAGACCTGGCTCCTAAAATTCGGACATTCTCCACCATGAAGGTAAGGGCAGGGCAGGCCCTGGGGTATGGTCACGGCGGGAAACCCCCTGAGAAGATGGCGGTGGGCAGGGAATTCCCAGGCCCCCCCATCCAGCCTCGGCCCCAGGAGCCAGGCTGGCAGCTGAGCTGCCCTTGAAAGAGGGCAGAGATGGCCAATGCCGCGGCTCACTAGGCTAATCCTCCGCCTTGCGGCGCCGGCACACCGGGTTCTAGTCCTGGTCGGGATGCCGGATTCTGTCCCGGTTGCCCCTCTTCCAGGCCAGCTCTCTGCTGTGGCCAGGGAGTGCAGTGGAGGATGGCCCAAGTGCTTGGGCCCTGCACCCCATGGGAGATCAGGAGAAGCACCTGGCTCCTGCCTTCGGATCAGCGCGGTGCGCCGGCCACAGCACACCAGCCGTGGCGGCCATTGGAGGGTGATCCAACGGCAAAGGAAGACCTTTCTCTCTGTTTCTCTCTCTCTTTCACTGTCCACTCTGCCTGTCAAAAAAAAAATAATAATAATAATAAGCCGGCGCCGTGGCTCAATAGGCTAATCCTCCACCTTGCGGTGCCGGCACACCGGGTTCTAGTCCCGGTCGGGGCGCCGGATTCTGTCCCGGTTGCCCCTCTTCCAGGCCAGCTCTCTGCTATGGCCAGGGAGTGCAGTGGAGGATGGCCCAGGTGCTTGGGCCCTGCACCCCATGGGAGACCAGGAAAAGCACCTGGATCTTGGCTCCTGCCATCGGATCAGCGCGGTGCGCCGGCTGCAGCGGCGGCCATTGGAGGGTGAACCAACGGCAAAGGAAGACCTTTCTCTCTGTCTCTCTCTCTCACTGTCCACTCTGCCTGTCAAAAAAAAAAAATAATAATAATAAAGAAAGAGGGCAGGGCAGAAGCTAGCCTAAGGGTACTTCCTCGGGAGAAACGGGAGGGGTGATGCCAGCCAAGCCAATTGCAGTGCCGTCCTGCCCGCCTCCTTGGTCCAGAGTCTGCTTGGGTTTCTCCAGCACCACAGCAGAGGGGCTCGTGTGTCCAGTGGCCACCTGCTCCCCTGCCAAGCGCCTGCCCAGCCGACTTCAAGGAGGAGGATCTGGCCAGGAAGCTCCATGCCTGAGCTCCCCTCGCTAAGGGGTGGGATAAAGAACACTTGGAGTGGGGGTTCAGGTCCCAAACACGTGTTGCATGTGAGGTTCTTTAACTTCTCTGAGCCTCGATTTCAGTATCTGCAAAATGAGATACTTGGCTGGACCTATCATAGTTCTTTTGCATGACCTTCTAGGCGATAAATGAACTATTAGCTTTTGGTAAATTCCCCCTGGGCCAGGTCCTTTGCTAATCCCTGTTCTCACACCATCTCACTTACGCCTCATGACAGCCCTGTGTGCCAGCTTCTGTGACTGCTTCCCTATCACCCACGAGGGGACCCAGTGGGCCGTGGGGAGCTGGGGTCTGCAGGCACCTCCACACCGCTGGCCCTGACACTCGGTAGAGAAGGTGGCACACAAAAGCACTTTGCGCAGTGTCTGTGCCAGCCAGATGTCACCCCTGCAGTAACTGCTGTGCTCAGCCTGTCTGTATTTCAGTCTCTCAGCCCGTACACCTGCCTGCCACCTCCCGGGGAGGCACCGCAGCCTCTCCACCACCACAGATCCCAGCCTGATGCTGCTGCGGCTGATCTGCTGTCCGCCCTGAGCCAGGAGGAGCAAGACCTCATCGGGCCGGTGGTGGCTCTGGGCTACCCCCTGGGAAGGGCCATTGTGGCCCTGCAGAAGACGGGGAGGCAGAGCCTGAGCCAGGTGAGTCGGTCCCGAGCCGAGGGGCTGTACCGCTGAGCCAGGCGAGTGGCCATGCGCTTTTCATCTTTAACCTGGGATACTTTTGCTTCCTTCTCTTCAGAGGCAGACCCTCAGGATGGCACTCATCTCTGGTGGGCTTGTGAGCCCGTTTCCAGACTCTACTGCCACCTCTTGCATCAGAGTTCATCTGGGACCCCCATACCCACTTGAGGAGCCCCAACCTTCTGCTTCTGCCCTGGTCCCTGGCCCAAATACAGGCAGTCAGGAGCTGTCCAGTGTGACTTTCTATGATGAGAGAGGTGTTTTCTATTTGTGTTATGCAACACAATAGCCACCAGCCACGTATGGTTACTGGAAACAAGGCTACTGTCATTGAGAAACTGCATTTTAGGAATTTTATTTAATTTAAATTCAAATAGCAACATGTAGATTGTGGCTGCCATATTGCATGGCACAGCTCTAACCTCATCTCTTCATGAATAGTTTAGCCATACCCATCTCTCTCTCTCCCTCCCTCTCTCTCTCTCTCCCCATTTCCCTACAGTCAAGAGTATTTATTGAGCACTTCCTGGGCATTCAGATGCAGCCAGGAGCTATGAGGAAAACCAAGGTTCATCAAACCCAGTGATGCAGCTTGGGCTCTCCTGGAAGGAGACGCAGGTGGAGTCTGGCATGCAGGAGGAGACCCTCGGGTTCAGCTCCTGTAGGGGGTGGGGCGGTGGGGACAGAGCGGGAAGCAGGCAGGGGGAGAGGCTGAGCCTTAAGGCAGGCGCAACAGCACCACCAGCCAACCCCAGGCAATTTACACCCCATCCATCAGCCACTGCGTGTGGGAAGGGCGGCCAGAGACGTGTGCAGCCAAGGCATTCCTTCCCCGAAGGGGCAGGCATCTCCCGGGGCCTCCCAGCTCTCCCAGCGTGTGGAGCAACAAGTCCTTCAACGCCGGGCTGTCTGGAAGGTGCATCATGGGGTCGATCGCACCCGGATTCTGTTCTCTCTCTTAGGGAACCTCTTCCTGATGGCACTCCAAGTGGAGCGCTCTGGGCTGCTCTGATATTTGGAAGCAGGCCTTGACCCCAGAACGAGCCAGGAACGTGTGTGCACCTGCAGGGGAGTGAGGGGCCCCGAAGGGCCTAACGAGAGGTGCGAGTGGGGGCACAGGGGCCTAGGAGGGGTGTTCCTTCTGCCAGCTACTGCTAGGGAGCAAAAGGGTCCTGGCGTCTAGTGGCACACTCCAACAACCATTTATTTGCTGTCATTCTCTGGGGCGACAGTTGGGGGGTGGACTCAGCTGGGTGGTTCATGTGCTAACCTCACCTGGAGCCTCTCATGTGGCTGCAGCTTGCTGACTCAGCTGGGGCCGAATGGTCTAAGGGGCCTAATGGTTGGTGCTGTTTGTCAGCCAGGCCATATGTCGCCAGCAAGCTAGCCCACTGGGCCCTCAGATTGCAAGAGTGAAAACCGACACGTCTTTTGAGACCCGTGCTGACATTGGGCATTGATCACTTCCACCTCATTCTATTGGTCAAAGCATGTCATAGACCGGCCCAGATTCAAAGAGTGGAAAAATAGGCTCCACCTGCCGATGGGAGGGACTGTGAGGGATTTGTGGGCATCCTCAATCTGCCACGGGAGGGTCCAGTGACCAAGAGGGGCTTTGTGAAGTGCCAGGCGCTGAGCTGGACTTCAAGGATGGATAAGAGCTGACTTTGAAGGAGAGAGAAGGGATGATATTCCCAGCCAGAGGGACAGAGGGAACCAAGGCGTGGAGGCTGGGAGGAAGCATCTGGGGTGGGGTGGGGTCTCTGATCGGAGCAGCGTTGCTGAACGGGAGAGGGTGCCAGAGGCGGGCTGGTGGAATGAGACAGAGGGGAGCTGGGGGCTGATGGACGGGGCCTTCATGCTGGGCTGAGATTCTGACAAGTGACCCTGAATGCCATTGCCTAAGCCCCCTCCCCAGTGTATCCCTGGGACTCTCCGTGGTGGGAAAGCTGACCCTTGCTCCCTTTCTCCTGTCCTCGCTTCACCCCCATCACCATCGGAGAGCTTGCGGCTGGGTGTTGGGTCCCTGGGTTGCAGAGCTGCCTGCCCCTGGGGGAGGGAGTGGCGGGAGGAGAATGACCCTCAGACTGGAGCTGGAAACAGGATGTGCTGCCCCCCAGGCTGGGGAGGTGGGGAGATGCACCTGATCCACTCCCCGGCCCCTTGTGCTTCCACTCTCCCCGGAGCTCACCCATCCCTGCCCTGTCCTGGAGGAAGCCTTCCGATTCGGTGCGTCTCCTGTGTCTGAAACGGAGGGGTGAGCTGAGCACTCTCCCGGTGGCAGCCCCTGGTCTGAGCGTGTCCAGTGAGGCCTTCTGAATCCTGCCAGGTCGCTGTGCTTTGACTGTGCTGAGCCAGGGACGCTCACCTCGCCCGTCAGGGGCAGCACCGGCGCCGAGAGCGGGCAGCCGGGACTCTGAATCTTTGTTGCTCTTCTCAGGTTCTGTGTGAGGACGTCTGTCCGAGGGCAGCACCCCAGGCTCGCTGGAGGTTTAGGAGTGCATCTAAAGTTCCCCCAACCTGCAGCTGCCACCGAAAAACTAGGACCTTGGCCAAGGATCTGGCCAGGAGAGCCGTGAGGGGCCAGACCCCCCAGGGCCCTGACACGCCACTCCCGGCCCGTGGGTGTCTGAGGATGACTCAGCGCCAGCCCCAGGCCCTGGCCTCCTAGTGGGTGGGCTGCAAGGAGCCCATTGTGTTGGGAACATTGCATTCCCAGACAGGCAGGGACCAGCTGCCTGGCCCCCAGCTGGTGGCCTTCTTCCCCGGGGGAGGTCAGCGGCCAGGCGCCAGGGGTGGCCTTCGCACCACTTCACTTTCCTCCCCCACTAAGCTGGCATTTCTCGAAGTTTTCTGAAGTTCCGCCCTAAGCCAGGCAGCTCCTTTGAGTTCAGGTGCCTTCCCTGCCTTAAAAGACACACACTGCGGTCAGTGCTTTCCGTCCGAGATGAGTGACAGGTGGCCCAGAAGGGAGGGTGTCTGGTGAGGGAGACAGGACTCTTAAAAAACTCAGGGAGAGGGCCGGCGCCGCGGCTCACTAGGCTAATCCTCCGCCTAGCGGCGCCGGCACACCGGGTTCTAGTCCCGGTCGGGGCGCCGGATTCTGTCCCGGTTGCCCCTCTTCCAGGCCAGCCCTCTGCTGTGGCCAGGGAGTGCAGTGGAGGATGGCCCAGGTGCTTGGGCCCTGCACCCCATGGGAGACCAGGAAAAGCACCTGGCTCCTGGCTCCTGCCATCGGATCAGCGCGGTGTGCCGGCCGCAGCGCGCTGGCCGCGGCGGCCATTGGAGGGTGAACCAATGGCAAAAGGAAGACCTTTCTCTCTGTCTCTCTCTCTCACTGTCCACTCTGCCTGTCAAAAAAAAAAAAAAAAAAACAAAAAAAAAAACACAAAACTCAGGGAGAGGCCGGCGCCGCGGCTCACTAGGCTAATCCTCCGCCTTGCGGCGCCGGCACAACCGGATTCTATGTCCCAGATCGGGGGCGCTGGATTCTGTCCCCGTTTGCCCCGTTTTCAGGCAGGTTATCTGCTGTGGCCAGGGAGTGCAGTGGAGGATGGCCCAAGTCCTTGGGCCCTGCACACCATGGGAGACCAGGATAAGCACCTGGCTCCTGGCTTCGGATCAGCGCGGTGCGCCGGCCCGGCCGCAGCGTGCCAACCACGGCGGCCATTGGAGGGTGAACCAACGGCAAAGGAAGACGTTTCTCTCTGTCTCTTTCTCTCACTGTCCACTCTGCCTGTAAAAAAAAAAAAAAAAAAAAAAAAAAAGTCAGGGAGAGGAGAAGGAAGGCAAAATGTAAGCTTTGTCTGTCTTCATTCTTTCTGCGAGGCTCAGTATCCATATTGTGTGGCACGTGTGAGGGTCCCCCGACCAGGCCGTGACTCCCAAGGGGACTCGAGGCCCATCGGGCTTCGCCTGTGAGCCTCAGTTTTCCTATTCCCAGGTTAGAGGAGCAATGTGTGTTTGGAGCCGATCACTTCTGGAGGCCTCATCCCGGGATCTGAAGGCGACAGCTGGGTTGTTCCTGCAGTCCCGTAGGCCCAGAAGATGACCAGGGAGCAACATCTTTACACATGCAAATTCCCAGGCCCTATTTAGAACACACACACACACACACACACACACACACCAATGTGCCCAGGAGCCTAGAATTGCAAGGTCTGTGGAAGGTTCCAGAACACAGCCTGGTGTGGTGTGGACTAAAGTCAGCCATCCCTTGATCCATTGATTCTCAGTCTTGCCTGCACATCGGGCACCCGGGGAGCGTAAAAAGAAGTCGCATCGCCCAGGCCAATGACATCACTGGGGGCAGGCAGCAGTAGCTTTTAAAGCTGTTGGAGGTAGCAGCACTGAGCACCATTGAGATTGCGAACCATTGCTGGGGACGGGCCACAAGGGGAGGGAGCACCTGCTCACCGCCCCTGCCCTCCTCCTGTCTGCTGTGCCGCCAGCTCAAAGCCCTCTGCCAGCAGCTGACTCCCCTGGGGGACAAGGCGCTGACAAGAGGTCCTAGCCCTGCGAGCCACCTGCCCCGGCTGCACCTCTGTTTTCTCAGCTGTGAAAGGAGGGCTTGGCTGAGTGGCTTTCCAGATGCAGTCAGAGCAAGGCCAAGGGGTCCCAGGCAGAAGCTCTGAGCACATCCCTGGGCCCGTTACTGCTGACGCCTCCTGTGCTGGGACCAGCTGGGCGGGGTTAACCCCGTTTGAACACCATCCGCCCAGAGGAGCCGTGCTTTCTGCCCAGCTCCTGAGGGCTGCGGAAACCCAGGCTGCTTCCTTCTCCACGGAGACTCCTAATTCTCAGGGTCTGGAGCCTTCGTTTGGCGGCTGCAGCCTATAAATCCTGCTGTGGTTTCCCTGGCACAGCTGTTGCCCCGTATCTGGTTTATCTCCCCCACTGAGTCGGGAGTTTCTCGAAGGTAGTTCTTAATTCATTTATAAACACAGGCGTACATTCATTGAGCTCCCTCGGCCTGCCATTGTGCTGGGGATGCGGGACTGACACAGCCCCTGCCTCTTGGAGTGGAAAGTTGGCAGGTGACAGATGAGAAGGATTAAGTGAGGCCATTACCCAGCCATGTGCGTGCTGTAATAGGGCAAGCACAGGGCACCCAGGAAGCCGGAGGGGCAGGATGGCTCTCCTGGGACGGGGAGAGGCTGGCCCTGGCTGGGTTCAGGAGCCGGATATGCAGAGTCCTGGGGGGCGTGGGAGGAGGCAGCACTACTCTCCTACTGGTAAAGTGGACACCAGCAGGAAGCGATTTGAACAGGCCCCCAGCCCTGCAAGTCTCCTATGCAGTCCCCGCATAGGTTGGCCGGGGACCATTGCACAGTAGGGGCTCCAAGAGGCCAGGCAGAGATGTGCCTGGGGGAGGGGCTACACATTCCCCGAGGTGGGTGCTCGCAGGGAGGGTGTGTGTGTGTGTGGCCCTGCCCCCCACCTAGGTTCTGTGCACACCCTGGCAGATCTGCCCAGCCCTTCTCCTGGGCTCCAGTCTCCAACTGGGACGACTGGCCAGGACTCACTGGCTGCCTGTCCCTGGGTCCTCAGAGGAGGTCTCTGGGCCCACAGTGCATGTGGACGCCTGCCCGGTGTGCTTGGCCCTGACCTCAGGCCTCAGTGAGACCCTTGGGAGCCTCCTGCCCTGTCGGCTGCCTCGGCCGCTCCTCTCACTGTCCTCTCTCTCTGCCCACTTCTGGCCCAGTTTCTCGGCTACCTCAGCGCCTGTGACCGGCTGCTGCGCCAGGGCTACGAGGAGGGCCTGGTGGACGAAGCCATGGAGATGTTCCAGTTCTCAGAAAGCCAGGTTAGCAGAGCCTTGGGCATGCATGAGCCCACTGTGGGGGCTGTGGGCCTGGGGGGCGGGGAGGAGAATGGGAAGAGGTGGGGCGGGAGAAATGCCCATCCTGGGCAGAGGAAGAAAGGGGGGAGCCCGCATCACCCTAGAGACACAGGGAAACCACAAGTGCCGCCCGGGATCAAGTTCATCTGACCTGGGGCAGGGCACACAGCTTTCTGATTGGGGGGTACTCCCTGGGCTGAGACCAAGTTTATCTGGCCTGGGTCGGGGCGGGGCACACAGCTTTCTGGCGCTGGTGTCGGGGGCTCCCGGGCTGAGACCAGGACTCGTGGAGCCCCCAGTGCCCGTGCTGCTTCCTCTCCCTCAGGCCGGGGAGTTCCTGCGCCTCTGGGAGCAGTTCAGCGACATGGGCTTCCAGCAGGAGCGCATCAAGGAGGTGTTGCTGGTCCATGGCAACCGCCGGGAGCAAGCGCTGGAGGAGCTGGTGGCCTGCGCCCAGTGACCACGCCAGGGCCGCAGAGCCCTCCTCGGTGCCCGGGCACCCCGGCCAGGGCCACTCCTGCAGCCCGTCCTGACTGCGTTATTAAAACCCAACTGTGGGCCCAGCGCTGTGGCGCAGAGGGTTAAAGCCCTGGCCTGAAGCGCCGGCATCCCATATGGGCGCCGGTTCGAGTCCCGGCTGCTCCTCTTCCGATCCAGCTCCCTGCTATGACCTGGGAAAGCAGTAGAAGATGGCCCAAGTCCTTGGGCCCCTGCACCTGCGTGGGAGACCCAGAGGAGGCTCCTGGCTCCTGCCTCCAGATCGGCACAGCTCCGGCCATTGCAGCCATCTGGGGAGTGAACCAGCGGATGGAAGACCTCTCTCTCTCTCTCTCTCTCTCTCTCTCTCTCTCTACCTCTTCCTCTGTAACTGTCTTTCAAACAAATGAAATACATCTTTAAAAAAAAAAAAAACTGTAGCACAAAGCGACTTGTGTTCACTGCTGAAGCAGGAAGGATGCCCAGGGTGGGAGTAAATACCCTAAGGCGGCTGGAGTTGGAAGCTACTGCCTCTGGGAAGAGAGAGGGGGGATCCTGGGCCAGGAGCTGCCTTCCCTGCAGGCTTTGTAAACATCACCGGCAGCTGACCCTTTAAGCTGTGTGCACTGGTAGCTTTGCTCTTAAGGAAGTGAGGACGAATGACTGGCAGCTCTCTTTGAGCCCCGTGAGCTCCTCCTGGGCTCCGTGCCAGTTGGAAGACCTGATTCCTGATTGGGGTTCTGTTGGTGTCCAGCTCAAGGCCTCTTCGGGCCTCCGTTTCCCAGGAAAGGTAGAGCGATTTGACGAGGTCACAAGTTACATCAGGGACCCTGGGGGTTAGGCTGCCACTGGGATGCCCATGTCCCATTTCAGCATGCCTGGGTTCCAACGCTGCCCTGCTGCCAGTCCAGTTTCCTGGAAGGCAGCAGAGGATAGCGCACGTACTTGGGTCCCCGCCACCTATATGGGAGACCCAGATGGAGTTCCTGGCTCTGACCCAGCCTGGCTGTTGCAGGCCTTTGGGAAGTGAATCAGTGGGTGGAAGTTTCTCTCTCTCTCCCCTCTACCTTTTGAATAAAAATAAAGAAAACTTTTTAAAAAGATGCTGACGCCCCATGTCACTGGCCCTGAATTCAAGTCCTGGCTTTCCTCATGATTCTAACTTCCTGCTAACGTGCACTCTGGGGGACAGTGGCAATGGCTCAAGTATTTGGGACCTTGCCGCCTACGTGGGAAACCTGGATGGAGTTTCTGGCTCCTGGCTTCAGCCTGGCCCAGCCCCTACTGTCATGGGTACTTGGGAAGTGAAGGGGCAGATAGAAAGTCTGTCTGTCTCTCCACCTCTCAAATACGTAAATAAAATGAAAATTCTACGTATTGTCCAGACCTGGCTGCCCTCCACAGAAGGCCCAGTGTGTTCTAGGGCAGAAAGCGCAGCTCGGCAGCTCCCTCGGGGGTTCTGTATGATGTAATGAGCTCCTCGCCAGTGTGTCACCCTGGGACCAGCCAGTCCGGGCCACTTTCTGCCCTGACAACCTATGAGCCTTCACTTCGAGGGTGGGGAGGTTGGGACCAGCTCTCCCCAGTCACCCGAGACCCGTCCTTTAGAAGCCCCCAGGGTTTGAGGGGAGCAGTTGCTGGAGCGGCTCGTGGCTCAGGCAAACAGAGGTCAGAGGCCAAGACGCTGGTGCCCCTGCCCTTCCCGGCTGGCCCTGTGCAGAGGCCTGTGGCAGGGAGCACAGACAGGGCTGGACGCGGTGCTGAGGACTGTCAGCAACCGGAACGGCCCATTTCTCAGGACCACAGCCCCAACCCCTTGCTGGGACGCGACATGGCTCCATATCTCCAGCGGCTGATGTGCAGGTGAGGCAGGCAGCCCCTCCCAGAGTCAGGGCCTTCACAGGGCTGGGCCTGACACAGCTGACTCTGCTCCTCCCTCGCCTCGGCCCGGAGCCTCTGCCGATCTTGCCTCAACTTGCGTCGGCCTTCCCAGCTGACAGCCTGCCCTTGGCACCTGCGCCATTGCCAGCTGAGTGGCTGCCAGCGCCTCCTCCGGGCTCGGAGCCTCCCAGTCTAGGGACAGCAGGGAGGGACACACCCTCTAGTCATGGTCGATCAAGAGGAGTCAGGACCCCCCTCCCTCTTCCAGGACCCCCGTCTGTTCTCGGCCCCTTCCTTCGGGAGCCCAGGTGTCCCCCACCCCCTAAGCCTGGCCTCTTCCTGGCTTGCACGCCTGTCTTTCCCGGTGATTAGAGAATTCCTCTGTTGACCCCTGCAGGGAACACTCTGCCTTTGATGCTGACCTCAGTTGAATAATGGCTCCTAAGTGCTGGGGTTTTAGGCTCAGCCCTGGCCAGCCGACACCTGGAAGGGTGCCTTCCCAGTGCTTCTCACTGGCCCATCCCTTATGTCTCTATGAGTTGTACCTCCAGGGCGACCTGGGGCCTTGGGGGCTCGGGGAAGAACCTCCCCTGATGAGGCGGGGCCGGGGGGCGCCTTCCAGAGCCCTCGCCCCAGTGTGAGACCTCCAGGTGCTGAGGCCATGCTGGGCAACACACAGGAAGGCTAGGATAGGCAGGCCTCTCCCTCTGTCTGTTTGTCTCTCTCTCTCTCTCTCTCTCACATACACACACACACACACACACACGCACTCCCGGCCAGGCCCTGTCTGGAGGCAGTTCAGGACATGTTCCTTCCGGCTGAGGACAAGGGATGACAGAGTCAGGGAGAGGGCCCGGGCCCACTGAACCCCACCTCCCTGCACAGCCCTGCACCCTGTGCCCTGTGCCCATTCTTGGGAGGAGAGAAGCCATGACCCTGTGTCCCAGGTGCTGCGACCCAGCTAAGGAGCCCGAAGACCCTCAAGCAACCGTTCATTGACCAAGTCTTTCGCCTGCAGACCAGCTGGCGCCGGGCCTGCCTTTGCCATGAAGTGCAGCCTGCAGGGGCGGGGCTGGGCTTGAGGGGTCAGGGCCCCGAGCAGGCGACCATGACCTTGCAGGCTCTGTCTCAACAAGGACCTCTGCTGACTTCCCCTGTGGAGCTGGGCCCGGCCCCGCCTCCCACCCTCCTGCCCGTCCTGCTGCACCTGCCCTTATAAGGACAGTGCCGCCAGAGACGTGCGTTCTGTGTCCTCTGGCAGCTGCCCACGCAACGTCATCTGCTGTTTGCTCAAGATTTTTAACCTAAGACTGATTTTTTTTTGTCATTAACAAAATGTTTCCACGTTGAGCAGGGACATTAACTGGGTGTCAGGAGAGGGCACCAGGGAGCCAGGGACCCCGGACCAACCAGCCCAGGGCAGGGCTGCCCCTCGGACCCCACACGCTTCCAGCAGCCAACAGCTCTGAGAACTCCAGCAGGCCCTGGGCTGGTCATGTCCCCTGGTTCTTAAGCAACACCCTGTGTCCTTGGGAATGACCGCTCCCCCCACCATGTTGCCAGAGCATCTGTCACCCACCTGTCAGTCACCTGTCACCCACCCAGGGCCAGGCTGATGCTGGCCCGCACCTTGCAATCCTGAGCACCTGACTTCTCTGAGGCTGAGGCCTGAGAGGGACTAGGAGGCTCTTGGCCCTTGACCCTGGCATTGCTTGGCTCCTGGCCTTGCCCGGGAGCCCTGAACTAGCCCACGTCCGTCCAGAAGATCCTGTTCGCCTTGACTTAGCCATGGGACTGCTTCCCACGCTGATATGCAAAGTGCGCTGCTGGACAGAGTGAGAACTGGAGTGGAGGCAGCAGCCAGCAGTGAGCACATCCTGCCTGCCCCAGAGCGGGAAGCCGGATGAGGGAGAGTGGGGCTGACCCCGGGCCCCTAGGAGGCCTGGAAGTCCTGCTCCTCGTGGAGGGGCGTGGTCTCCCTCAGAGCACTTCCCTAGAGCTCCGACCCTGCCACTGGGGTCGCTGCCACCTCTTCCACTGCGAGGCCGGGACCAGAGTGTGCCAGCACACGTTTCCCGCCCAGGCCTGGCCAGCTGTGGTGCTCAGAGCGTGTGTGCAGAATGAGGAGTAAGGAGTGAGCCCCAAAAGCCCTGCAAGCAGACAGGGCCGGCTGGCTCAGGGCCCCTGTGATGTGGTGCTTTGGGGCACACACAGCAGCTTCAGGAAGGCAGCAGGGGCCGAGCAGACGCGGACGTGGGCGGCTGGCCCTGAGCAGGATGGCAGCTGGGAGCCGCGGAGCCAGGCAGAGGCGGACGGCTGCTGTGGGGCGAGGAGCCGTGGCCCCCCGTCTCTGTGACGGGCCGGGTGGGGCAGGCTCCCGGGCACCGCCCTGAGCGTCAGCCATTCTTCCGTTCTCTGTCACTGTGTAGCCAGGCCAAGGTGTCAAGATGGACATTTCTGGCAGGCACTGCGGCTCACTAGGCTAATCCTCCACCTGCAGTGCCGGCACCCCGGATTCTAATCCAGGTTGGGGCGCCGGTTCTGTCCTGGTTGCTCCTCTTCCAGGTCAGCTCTCTGCTGTGGCCCGAGAAGACAGTGGAGGATGGCCCAAGTGCTTGGGCCCTGCACCCGCATGGGAGACCAGGAGGAAGCACCTGGCTCCTGGCTTCGGATTGGCGCAGCACGCCGGCTGTAGTGGCCATTGGAAGGTGAACCGATGGAAGGAAGACCTTTTTCTCTGTCTCTCTTTTACTGTCTAACTCTGTCTGTCAAAAAAAAAAAAAAAAAAAAAAGATGGACATTTCGCGGGTCTTTCACTGTGCCTCTCAGGGACAGAGGCCCAAAGAGCCAAGGGTGGGGTGGGGGTGGGGTATCCTGGCAGAGGGGAGGTGGCACACAAAGATGAAACTGTTTTGCTTATTAATATTTCCCTAAGTTAATAAGCTGCATGGGCTCTTTTCACGTATTCAGAGAAGAATTGTGAACACTGGCTCAAATAGACCAGGCAGCATGGTAAGTGTTAAGGATTTTATTCAGTGTGAGATGCACAGGAGAGTGAGGGCTCTATCTAAGGAAGAAAAGTCTAGAAATTAAGTCAGGGTCCATACCAAGCAGAGAGCAGGTCAGGAGCTGCGTGCAGTAAGTGTTTGGTTATGAGCAGCCACAAGTAGCTTAGCACGGGTAGTGAAGGGAAGGCAAGGAGAGCCCAGGAGCCGGCCGTGTGCAGCCAGCATGTAGGCGGGCAAGCAGGGAGCTGGTGGCCCAAAGGTATGGGCAGCAAGAGCAACAAGGGGAAAGAATGGTGAAAGAGGGGCTGGGCCCTCCATGTTCCAGGCCTTTTATCCACTTCCAAAGGGGCGTGGTTACGTATGTAGCCTGATTAGCAGGTGGGCACACAGGTGGGGTCAGGTAGGGGGCTGCGCTCACCCAGGGGCATGGTGAAGGCGTGGCCTTCCAGCTCACAGATCTGATCAATCTTATCCTATCTGCATGCCTACATCAAAGGGAGTTGTCAGAGGAGAGCTGGGAGGTGGGGTTCACCTTGAGGAGGGGAGGGCCCCACAGGGACAGCGCAAGGCCACCACAACCTGGAGACCAAGAGCTGTGAGGAGAGGGCCAACCCGCAGCAGCAGTGAGGAAAAAAGGCCAGCGCAAGACCACCCTGCAGCGGGCAGCCAGGAGGCAAGGCCCGGCATCACGTGCCACCCCCCCCACCTTCTGTGGCTTTCAGAGTCCAGTGACGTCATGGGGGCGGGGCAGCCCCTGGGGGCGGGGCAGGAGAGGCAGAGACGGGGCGGGGAGTGGGGGGTTCCAGCCAGGAGCATCCCTGTGGTACCCGCCACCCCGCTTCCTACAGGAACCTGCCTGCGTTTTCCAGTGAGCGCCCTTCCGGCCCCCAACAGCAGGGGCTTCATATAATCCATGCAGTGACTGCGGGAGGTGGCCCTGTTATCATCATCGTCATCATCTTCCTCTCCACTTTATGAAGAAACTGGGTTTCCCCAGACCACACAGCAGGCAAACAATGCACTTGAACTTGAACCCAGGTCCCCTGACTCCAAAACCCATGCTTAGCCGGTTGTCAGTCTTCACCTCACGGAGGGACAAGCACAGGGTGGGCCTTCCTCATGGAAAAGGTCTCAATGTGGCCAGCGCCACGGCTCACTAGGCTAATCCTCCACCTTGCGGCGCCAGCACACCAGGTTCTAGTCCCGGTCGGGGCACCGGATTCTGTCCCGGTTGCCCCTCTTCCAGGCCAGCTCTCTGCTGTGGCCAGGGAGTACAGTGGAGGATGGCCCAAGTCCTTGGGCCCTGCACGCCATGGGAGACCGGGAGAAGCACCTGGCTCCTGCCATCGGATCAGCACAGTGCGCTGGCCGCAGCATGCCAGCCGCGGTGGCCATTGGAGGGTGAACCAAGGGCAAAAGGAAGACCTTTCTCTCTGTCTCTCTGTCTCTCTCTCTCACTGTCCACTCTGCCTGTCAAAAAAAAAAAAAAAAGTTCTCAATGAAGGGAGGAGAGGAGGGGGAGGAGTTTGGGGGGGGTGAGAGACAAGTGCTGGCCTCTAAGTCCTCACTTCACCCTCAGAAGATCCTTCAGGGTAGGAATTGTCTCCTTGTTTGGAGTTGAGGTGCCTTCATTTCGGAGAGGTCACCTGGTCACACAGCAGTCACTGCCGGAGCCAGGGTTTGGCTCCCCAGGCAGCTGGCAGAGCTGGCAGAGTATGGCACCTACAAGATGCCCCCGCCCCACGCTGTCCCTCTCAGAGCCTGCGGAAGGCCCTGGTTACAGTGAAGATGCGCTCCCTGCAAGGAGCAGCCGGCAGTGGCTTCAGGCCCCCCTCGGAGTTGAACAAATCAGACGTATGTGGTGCCCAAACACCACCACCAACAACCAAGTCCTTTGCAGCCAGTGGGAAGAATGGGGCACAGGAGGCTGGCTTTTCCTGGAGAAAGTCAGGCTGGAGGCTGGAATGGGACAGGGCAAGGCCAGGTCCGGTCCCATGAGAACCACTCTCTGGGGTGTCCCAGCAGCAGCCCCGGCGACCCGCATGGCAGGCTGGGAAGGGCTACTGCAGATGCAGGTTTAGCTCGGGTGACCTCCCGGCTGTGCGTCTCCCTTGTCCTCACTGTCCCCCACGAGACGGGGTGGACTAGACGCTGCACCCTGCTCCACACCCTCATTCTCTTAGCTGCTGGGATGGCACAGAGGGGTCCCTTTCCTGTGCTCCCCATGCTTGTGGGGGCAGGATCATCCATTCCTCTGCCACGAGGCGGTGACTGGCCGCAGCTGTGTCTCCCACAGCTTGGCTAATTTGCCTGGGAAGTGACAGCAACTTTGAAGTAAAGCAATTAGGATGAAAAGAGGCCCAGCTGCTTGGGGCCAAAGGAAGATAAACAGCCTGGCCCTCTGTGTGCTCCCGGGCCAAGAGGAGCAATCCTTCAAGGGATGATCAGCGTTTCCAACCCCAGCCTTCCCCCGCCTTGAGGGAAGAGAAGCGACTCCCAGCCGCTGTGGTTCCCAGCTCTTGCCACAGTGTACTGTGCACTCCACAGCTCATCGCCTCCTCCTGGACGTCTTCCTGGCCCCACCAGGAATGGCAGCCTTGCCTCGGCTTCTCTGCGTAGCTCTCCCATGGGCTGTCCCTGGATGGGCCCATCCGTGAACTCACTCGTTTTGTCAACAGATGAGCATTGCTCATTCATTCAACAAGGATGGGGCCCGCACAGTTGCGGTGGCGCAGTGGGTTATGCCGTGGCTTGTGGTACTGGCGTCCCACATCGGAGTGCCAGTTACAGTCCTGGCTGCTCTGCTTCTGATCCACCTTCCCACTAACGCACCTGGGAAGGCAGCAGATGATGGCTCAAGTGGTCGGGCCTCTGCCACCCACGGGGGAGACCGGATGGAGTTCCAGCCTCCTGGATTTGGCCTGGCCCAGGCCTGGATGTTGCAGCATTTGGGGAATGAATCAGCGGATGAAGAGCCTTCTATCACTCTGCTTTTCAAATAAGTTAATTAATTTTTTTAAAAAACAAATATTTATTGAGTTCTGTCTACATTCTAGGCACTGGTGGTTGAGCAGGGAAAACAGACAAAACAGACAAAAACCTCTGTCTTCACAGAGCTCACATTTTAGCAGGCAGAAACACAACAGGAGGAAACAACACGGAAGACGATGCCGCCAAAGGACTGGGGAATGCTGAGAAGGGGGCGGTAGGAAGACCTCCGCTGTGGTGCAGCGGGTAAAGCCGCCGCCTGCAGTACCAGCTTCCCATATGATCGCTGGTTCGAGTCCCGGCTGCTCCACTTCCCATCCAGTTCTCTGCTGTGGCCTGGGAAAGCAATAGAAGATGGCCCAAGGACTGCACCCACATGGGAGACTGGGAAGAAGCTCCTGGCTCCCGGCTTCGGATCAGCACAGCTCCGGCTGTTGCAGTCATTTGGGGAGTGAACCTGCAGATGGAAGACCTCTCTCTCTGTCTCTGTCGCTCCCTCTAACTCTGCTTTTAAAATAAATAAATAAACCTAAAAAGAAAGAAAGGCCTCCAAAGGGAAGTGGCCTCCGGGCACAGGACCTTGGGGAACTGGGGGGTGAGCCAGGCAGAGGGCCCCATTTAAAGCCCGCGAGCTGGGTGTGTGTGTGTGTGTGTGTGTGTGCCTGCTGTGTCTACAGAGCAGCAGTGAGGCCAGGGGAATGGTGTCAGAGATCCGGAATGGAGTGGGCGAGGGGCCCTCCCGCGGCTGCTGAGCTGCAGAGCCACACGTCCCGACTGACTGTCGTGAGCAAGGCCCTGGCTGCCAGGTGACGACTGAAGGGGAGAAAGCAAGGCCGCCAGCCCCGGTGGGATGCGGGGAGGCCGGCTTCTCTGCCTGTGCCCAACGGGCCGTATTAGCAAAGCAGGCGCATTTGCAGGGAGGGGAGAGCTTGGGGTTCAGGGCGTTGAGAGTCAGATGAGCCCCGCAAAGAGGTGAGGCTGCAGAGAGCAGGGCAAGGGGAGGGGCTTATTAGGGAGGCCGCCAGACACCCTGCTCCTCAGCCAAGCAGGAGCCCAGCACACAGCACAAGCAAATGGCCCTGCGTTCAGAGCCAGGTTCCGCCACTTCCTAACTGGGTCTCTCCCAACTGTGTGACCTGGGGGCGGGTTTTGTTTTGTTTTCCTTTAAGAGGGGGTGTGGGGGTTCCACAATTCTCTGAAGCTCAAGGGAGCCCGCTGTGGGAAAGCGCCTCGTGAGCACTCTGTCTTTAAGCATCAAAGCTACAGAAAAGGCGCTCAGCCGAAGGAACAGCAAACAGCAGGGCCAGCAGGCCCCGTTGGAGCAGCTGCAGGGCAGCGGGGCACTGAGGTCTCCGGCCACGAGGGCCCACAGCTCAGTGTCATGGGTCCCTGTGCCAGCAGGTGCTCAGCACTGGTCAGGACAGCGAGCCAGGAAGAAATCCTCAAGAAAAATTACTCACGACTTGAAAGAGAAGCAAGGCACCGGCGCTGTGGCACAGAAGGTTAATCCTCTACCTGTAGCACCGGCACCCCCTATGGATGCCGGTTCGAGTCCTGGCTGCTCCTCTTCCCATCCAGCTCTCTGCTATGGCCTGGGAAAGCAGTAGAAGATGGCCCAAGCACTTGGGTCCCCACACCCATGTGGGAGACCCGGAAGAAGCTCCTGGCTTTGGATCGGCCCAGCTGTGGCCATCGCAGCCATTTGGGGAGTGAATCAGTGGATGGAAGACCTTTCTGTCTCTCCCTCTCACTGTCTGTAATTCTACCTCTCAAATAAATAAATAAAATCTTAAAAAGAGAAGCAAAAGGAGGCCTGCATGTCCTAGGGTGGCAGTGGACAGCAAGCAAAGAATTACTCCGTCATCAAGGGGAATGTTAGCTTTTACAATTTCTTAGCAAGTAGGGCCCCGCCTTTGTCAAATTCTGGGCTAATTTGCAGATGCACACATAGATAGGCCCGTACATGTGTGTGAAGATGCAAAGGATTTTTTTTTCCAGTAAAAGAACCATAAAATGTATGATTTCAATGCCCCGTAAGATATTCAGTAGCTTCACTCCTAACTCGGCAAACTTAGTCATCAGCAAGTCCTGTGCAACTAATTAGATCTCTTGCGAGCGCTCTTTTCAACCAGCTTCATCATTCCTCTGGTTCTCCTCCTAGCAAGTGAAATAAATCACGGGTACGTGGTAAAAATCCATCCTTTAACAGAACCACAAGTAAGGACTCTGCCACGCTGTGCGGCTTCAGAGCAGCCATTCAGCTTCTGAGGGTCCCGCGTCTCTTCCACCACAGGGCAGGTGCCCAGCTCCGAGGACTGCGGCCGTCTGAAGGGGCCGATGGGTGTGAGAGTCCTGTGCACAGCAATCAGGATGCCGAAGCCACGGTTTATTGTTGCGACTCATCAGTCCAAGCTACTCCGGGGCTGGCGGGGCTCAGGCCTTGGAGGGCAGCTTTCGCTTATGTCTTGGGCTTGGCCCACAGGTCAGGAGAAGAGGCAGCTAAGGGCAGCCTCGACACTTGTCTCCACGGCTAGGAGGTGCCATGCTGATGCTGTGTTACCCACTTCTGATGAGGTCCTGCAGGATGGAGGCCATCGAAGACCACTTAGAGCCGTCTGCCCCAAGGGCACGGAGAGGCCGGAGGGCCAGGGCAGAGAATTCTAAAGGAGGGACCAGAGCCCTCGTCTGACAGCAGGGGTCTCTAAGTGGCCTCTGCAGCCCCAGTGCTTGCAAGACTTCATTGTTTTATTCTGCAGGTGGGGAGGTGCACAGCCCTGCACAGGTTGCACACACACACACACACACAGAAAGCGGTTGCAGCCAAGGGTCCAGTGAATAACGCAGGCACAGAGGTCAGAAAAATGGGGAGCTGCACAGAAAAGGTGGGTGCAGAGCCAACAGAGAAAGGGGCAGGGAAGACACTTCAGGCCCAGAGAAAGGCAGCAGCAGAGGGGAGGAAGAGGGACTGAAGCCCGAGAATGTGGGGGAGGGGTTGCGACCAAGGAAGATGGGGAGGCAGCACCGGGTGCATCCCTTGAGCGACCTCAAGTCATGGCGTCTGTCCAGTGCCCCTGCGCCGATGGCAAGAAAGGGGTGAGCAAGGGGCTCGCCCTTGGGTGCTGCCCTGAGGTTTCACATTCACAGAGAAGTCCGGGGGCACCCTCCCTCCCTCCCACAGATCTCACTTCCCGCTCAGCTCAGCTGCCTGCGACATCCGCCAGGCCACAGCCCCTGCCTGACCCCTCCATCCACAGCTGCTTTCCCTCCACGACTTGGCTCAGAGACCCTTCCCACCGGCTCCGGGCCCCCCCCCCCCCTGCCTGTCACTCTCTCCTGAGCTGTCACTCTCTCCGGTATGAGCCTGTGCTTACAGCAGCTACTGTGTCCTGCCTGATCTCATCCCCCACCCCCACGGTCTGCACAGCCTCCTCTTCCCTAGAATTCTGTAGCTTCCTCTCCCTGTTTTCCTCCTGCCCTGATATCTTCAGTACTTTCTTTTATAACAATGAAGGTGGATTTTGTTTTTAAAAAGACCTTGCATTAAGGCAATGTGCACAAACCATCTTGTGCCGTAACTCTTGAGATCCAGACTCTAAGCTGCATGAACCTCTCTCTTGTAACTATAGCTCTCATCAGACCCAGCACTGTGGTGGGCACACAGCAGGTGCCTCATTTTTGCCTACTGATTGACAGTTTGCTCAGTGCCCCTTAACCTAGTCCCTGCCGGTGCTCAAGGACTGGCCCATGCACATACAAACCTGGATTCTTCAAATCCCAACGTCCCCTCCACCCTCACTGGCACTGCCAGCCAAGCCCTAAGCAGAGCCCAAGTTCACGCCAGAAGGCGCTAGAGCTGGCTGTCTCCACGAGGAGGGCCAGGTTGCCGGCAGTTCCTAAGGCCACGCCCAACACACGCAGCCCCGGCTCAGGGCAAACTCAGGGCGCCACCTCCCCAGCCGGCCCAGGGGTCACAGTTCTGGAGTTGTGGAGGCCATGGGCCCTGAAGCGCCAGGCGGCAGCCTCAGGAGAAAGGTCTGCAAAGAACCGGGCCGCGGGAAGCCGGCTTTTTCCCCGAGCAGTCGCCAGGCGCCACCCTCGATGGCGTAGAGCACCGTGAATACGCGGTTGACCGTGTAGACCGTGTCCCCACGCACCACCGCCGTGAAGAGCGCGCCCTTGCTGTTGACGAACTGGCCGGGCAGCGCCGTCCACTGGCCCGTGGCCAGGTTGAGGCAGTCAATGGCGCAGTGCAGGAAATCGTCGGAAGGCCCGTTGCGCACCACATAGAGGCTGTCGCGGTGGGCCACCATGCAATGGCCGTAGCTCTGCGGCCGCCGCAGCTCGGCCACCGGCAGCCAGGCATCGGGCCGCGCTGCGTACTCCACCACGGCCGTGGTGTCTGCCGGCCGCCACAGGCACACGAAGAGGCGGCCACGCGCGTGGGCGCAGGGCACGCCGGCGGCCGGCTGCGGCAGGTCGGCCACGAAGCTCCAGCAGCGGGCGGCCGGGTCGTAGCGCTCCACGGAGCTCATGGGTGTCCTCTGGAACTCGCCTCCGATGGCATAGAGGTAGCCCTCAAAGCCGGCCAGCGTCGTGTCGTAGCGCGGCTGGTGCGGGCTGGGGAACGGGCGCCACGTGCCGCCGTCGGGGTCGTAGCAGAAGCCCAGCTCCACCACCTCCTTGCTGGCGCCACGCACGCCGCCCACGATATAGAGCTTGTTGCCCAGCGTGGCCACGCCCGCCAGCATCGTGCTGGCCTCGAGGGGCAGCGCGGCCAGCGTGCGCCACGCGTCCTCCTCCTCGTCCAGGTAGCACAGCGTGCGCGACGCGTCCTCCAGGAAGCCGGGCGTGGGCGTGTGCGTGCTCACGGCCACGTAGCTGCTGGGCCGCTGGGCGGCCACGTAGGCGCGCGCCTCGGGCAGGGCCAGCTCGGCCGCCAGCTCGCGCGCGCCGTCGCGGATGAAGAGCGCGGCGCTGTGGAGCAGGTCGTGCAGGCCGAAGGCGGCGGCCGCGTCGCACAGCAGCGCGCAGTTGTCCGACGTGAGGCTGTGCTCCAAGAAACGTGCCAGCGCCGGCGCCTGCAGGAAGGCGGCGCACTCCACTGCCTGCAGCAGCTCCTCGGCGGCCGCCAGCGCTGGGCGCTCCCCGCGCAGCACCTGCAGCGTGGTGCGGAAGCCGCTGGCGCTCAGCACGCCCAGGCGCACCTCGGCCGCGCGCGCCTCGCGCATGCCGGAGCGGAAGAGGCCGTGGAAAAAGCCGCAGTGCTCCACCAGCAGGGCCCGCTCGGCCTCGAAGAGCTGGCCGCCCACCCACACCTGCACCGCGGCCTCCGGGCCCCGCGGCATGGCGAGCAGGAGGGGAGGCGGCCGCTGACGCCGGGGCTCCCCCAGTGCGGAAAATGCTTCCCCGGGGGATATAAATATCTCCCTGGCTAAAGATAGTACGGCTCATGTGATGTGGTGGCCCGGGGCTGGGTGGCCGCGGGCCCGGAGGACGGTTGGAGACCGGTGTGGTGGCTCCCTGTCGCAGGAGGAGCAGTACCCATATCTCTAGCACCTACTGCGTGCCGGGCGCTTCGATGGCCCCTCACTGAGATGGCACGTGGGACACACCTCACACCGGCCCTGTGCCCTGCGCGAATGCCTGAGCTTCTGGGTATGCCGTTTACTCATCTGGAAAATGGGGCCAATATGGGGCCGGGGCTGTGGCGGAGAAGGCTCCACCTACCGCGGTGGCATCCCATAATGGCCATGAGTTCGAATCCTGGCTATTCCACTTGCGATCCAGCTCCCTGCTGACGGCCTGGAAAAGTAGTGGAGGATGGCCTAAGCGCTTGGGCCCCTGCACCCACGTGGCCCCTGCACCCACGTGGTCCCAGAAGTTCCTGACTCCTGGCTTTGACCTGGCCCAGCCTCCGCCATTGCAGCCATTTGGGGAGTAAACCAGCGGATAGAAGATTTCTCTCACCTTCTCTATCTCTGCCTTTCAAATAAATAAATAAATCTTTTAAAATAAAATGCAGTGGGGGCCAGCACTGCGGCTCACTGGGCTAATCCTCCGCCTGCGGCGCCAACACTCCAGGTTCTAGTCCCGGTTGGTCCTGTCCTGGTTGCCCCTCTTCCAGTCCAGCTCTCTGCTGTGGCCCAGGGAAGGCAGTGGAGGATGGCCCAAGTGCTTGGGCCCTGCACCCCATGGGAGACCAGGAGGAAGCACCTGGCTCCTGGCTTGGGCTCGGCGCAGCACGCCGGCCGTGGCAGCTATTTGGGGGGTGAACCAACGGAAAAGGAAGACCTTTCTCTCTGTCTCTCTCTCTCAGTGTCTAACTCTGCCTGTCCAAAAAAAAATGCAGTAGGAAGTATTAGCTATGAGGGTGGGACGCACAGGTCAGAGGAAGGGGTAGAAGATGAGCGAGTAGCGTGGGCCAGGACCTCTCCAGAGCCATGTTCTCTGTAACATGGGATGAATGGCAACCCTGCATTGCACATGCAAGTCCAGTAAAGGCCCCGTATGTGCCCGATTCCTCCACTGGGGGTTCTGGAGCTTGGGGAAAGGAAAGTGGGGCTGCTGAGGCGATGGGTGCCTGCGGATGGGAAGCAGGGCTTCTTGAGGTAATAATGGTTAACTTTGACCTTGTGTGAAATGTGGGCACCATTGTAAGTACTTTACACCAGCTCCTTCGATCATTGCAACAGTCCTATGTAAGGGATCATCAAAATGTTGGTGGAGGGAGACAGGCATCCAGCGCAGTGGCTAAGATGCTACATCCCATATAGAAGTATCTGGGTTCGAATCCTGGCTCTGCACATGACTCCAGCAATCATGCTAATGCAGCCCTTGGGAGGCAGCTCAAGTGATTGGTTTCCTGCCACCCACGTGGGAAACCTGGATTCAGTTCCCAGCTCTGCCCCCTGCAGCTCCAGCTGTTGCAGATATCTGGGGAGTGGACCAACAGATGGGAGCACACTCTGTTTCTCTCTGTGTCTTTCAAATATTTTTTTAAAAGATTTATTTATTTGAAAGAGTTACACAGAGAGAAGGAGAGGCAGAGGGAGAGGGAGAGAGAGAGTCTTTCATCCGATGGTTCACTCCCAATTGGCCACAACACCCAGAGCTGAGCTGATCCAGAGCCAGGAGCCAGGAGCTTCTTCCTGGTCTCTCACATAGGTGCAGGGGCCCAAGCACTTGGGCCATCTTCCACTGCTTTCCCAGGCCATAGCAGAGAGCTGGATCAGAAATGGAACAGCTGGGACTCAAACCGGCACCTGTATGGGATGCTGGCACTGGAGGTGGCAGCTTTACTCACTACATCACAGCACCGACCCCTCAAATAAATGATTTCTAAAAACTGATGGGGCTGAGGCTGGGGTAGCAGGTTAAGCTGCATCTGCAGCACTGGCATCCATGTTCAAGCTGGTTTGAGTCCCAGCTGCTCCACTTCTTTTTTATTTATTTATTTAATTTTTTAAAAAAAGATTTATGTACTTATTTGAAAAGCAGAGTTATAGAGAGGCAGAGGCGGGGGGGGGGGGGAGAGATAAGTCTTTCATCTGTTGGTTCACTTCCCAAATGGCTGCAATGGCCAGAACTGGGCAGATCTGAAGGTGAGTGCAGGGGCCCAAGGACTTGGGCCTTCTCCTTCTCCTTCTTCTCCCTTATGTAATAAATATAAATTTCATAGGTATAGCTTTTGGAATATAGTGGTTCTTGCCCCCATACCTGCCCTCCCACCTCCACCCCCATCCCACCTCCTACTCCCTCTCCCATCCATTCTTCATCAAGATTCATTTTTAATTATCTTTATATACAGAAGATCAACTTAGTATATCCTAAGTAAAGATTTCAACAGTTTGCACCCACACAGACACACAAAGTATAAAGTACTGTTTGAAGACAAGTTTCACCGTTAATTCTCATAGTACACCTCTTTAAGGACAGAGGTCCTACATGGGGAGCAAGTGCACAGTGACTCCTGTTGTTGATTTAACAATGGACACTCTTGTTTATGATGTCAGTAATCATCTGAGGCTCTTGTCATGAGCTGCCAAGGCTATGGAAGCCTTTTGAGTCCACAAACTCCATCAGTATTTAGACAGGGCCATAAGCAAAGTGGAAGTTCTCTCCTCCCTTCAGAGAAAGGTACCTCCTTCTTCATCTTCTACTGCTTTCCCAGGCCTTAGCAGAGAGCTGGATTGGAAGTGGAGCAGCCCGGACATGAACTGGTGCCTATATGGGATGCCAGCACTGCTGGCAGCTGTTTTACCCATGATGCCACAGTGCCAGCCCCTTTTCCACTTCTGATCCAGCTCCCTGCTAATGTGCTGGGGAAAGCAGCAGAAGATGGTCCAAGTACTTGGGCCCCTGCACTGTTAGAGACCCAGAAGAGGTTTGAGGTTTCTGACTCCTGGGTTGGATCAGCCCAGCTCCCGCCATTCTGGCCATTTGGAGAGTGAACCAGTTGATGGAAGCCATCTCTCTGTGTGTCTCTCCCTCTCTTTTTGTAACTCTGCCTTTCAAATAAATACAAATATTTCTTTTTTAAAAAGTCTGTGGAACATGCATGTTATGAGAAAACTATGTACAGATTTCTACATTTTTGTACCAAAATACACTTGTTTTAATTCCATACCCATGAACTTTTTGAAGTATCCTCATTTCCCCCATTTAATACATTATCCAAGTATTGCCTATGGCAGCACCGTGAGCTAGAGTGGACCCATTTCACAGATACAGAGACCGAGGCACCAAGAGGTCTGGTCACATGGCCAGAGTGGCAGAGCTAGGGTCTGGAGGCAGCGAATCGGAGCCTGGAGTGTGTTCCCCCACCCGCTGTGCTCTGCTGCCGCCCCTATGGCAAACGCTAGGCCGTCTCCTGTCAGGAGGTCAGAGCTGGAAGCAAGGGCAGGCTCAGATGGCTGGATGCCTCCGTGTGCAGAGTGGAGGACCTAGGACGGACAGCCCCAGGCCTCCTGCGGCCCTCTCCAGGGCGCCTTTTTTTCCCTTTCTACTGCCCAGAACTTTCCTCAGTGGCCAGCTAAGAGTCCACTTCCCAAAGTGTCAAGTAGAAGGAAACTTAGGGATTCTCTTCTCCTGCCCCCTTATTCTGCAGGTGAGGAAACAGGCCCAGCCCTGTGTGGGGTGGTACCTGCAGATCAGGAGCCGCTCAGCCACCTGCCTCCACCTGTCCTCACCTCCTGCAGCATGGAGTGTCTCACAGTGACCAAGCAGGGGGACTTCCTCCCCCTTGGGAAAGCCATGCGCCCAGGCCCTCACATGGGAATCTGCAGACCCCCACAAACGAGCCTCTCCTGCTGAGGACCTCCCACCCAGTTCACTTCATCAAATGTGTGCTGACTGCGCGTGTGAGCCTGGGAAGCCAGAGGCCTGGAGGAGGCAGCCAGAAATATCAGCGCTCAGCCCCAGGGACGGTACAGGAAGAGGGGGAGGAGACGGAGGGCATGGGCAGGCGTCCCCAGGAACACCATCCCAGGCTCTGTGCCAGCTCTCTCCTTGCCCGAGGCCAGGCTTTGGCTGCCCAGGCAGCAGGCATGACGATCCGTGTGTGTGCAGTGCCAGCTCCTGACTGTGTCCTTACTGGGGACCTGAGTGGTAGGGACAGGGTTTCACAGATAAGCAAAGAAAGGCTTGGAGATGAGATGGCCTATCCTTGGTGATGAACGAGGATGCGGAACTGGCTTGAGCCCCCATCAATCGACCCCAGGCCCTGTCCTCTGGCCCTAGCCTGCCTGTTCCTCACCCACCCAGCTGCTTTCTCCAGGGCTCAGATAAGGGACTGGGTGAGCGGGGGCTGATTCCCAGGGGTTGATTTCCAGGGGTTGGGGGCTACAGCACAGTCCTGGGGGCTTAGGTGCCTCCCTGTTGCAGACAGCTGGTAACTGGCAAGCACTCCCAGATAGAACCATTCCCCAGAGCAGGAGGCACAAAGGACGACAGCCCCTCCCAGCTGCAGAGTGCTCCCCGGGTGGGCTGGGGCTCTTGCACACTCCCCTGTTCCACCTTCAGCAGCCAGGCGGTGGGGAGGGGGTCAGCCAAGGAGGGGTCCTAGGTCTGAAGCTGGCCCTGCCCCCCAGGCCCAGCAGGAGACTCTGTGCAGCTGGGGAAAGTTTCCTCCTTCCGGAAACGGAGTGGCCCTCTGGGATTTGGAGAGGACAAGGAACTATCCCGGCTGTGGGCGGCCCACGGAGTTCCCAGGCCCTGGCCGACCCCACACCAACCTCCGGCTCTGCTTTGCACCCCGCCCCCCCGCCCCGCCATACCTCCTCCCCGCACTGGTGGAGGTTGGGGGTGGGGACAGGAAAGGAGTCCGCTCACACTGAGCCTTGCAGAGCCCAGCTCCAGCCCTGCCCCTCTCTGTATCCACCAGCGCAGGCACACCGTGAGGGGCTGTCAGGTGGAGTCCCGCCCCGTGCCAGTTCCTCCTCTGCTAGGGGAGACACAGCCCTTGCCCTGGAGCTGGGAAGCCCTGGCTCTTTCTGCCCACAGTGGTGTTTCTCCGGCCTCTTACAGGGTAGAGGGTAGCTTGCACTGCCTGAACCCAGAAGAGGAAGAGCCCTGGGCTAGGAGCTGGTATTCCTGTGTGGGCTTTGATGCTGGCACTGTGCTGACTTGCAAAAGCGACCCAACCTCTCCAGGTCCCCGATGTTCATTCGTAAAGCCATGGACTTGGTTCTGCCTAGCTTAGCATCGCCCCACCCGGGACGTGCCTTCACGCTGGGGCTCCGGGGAAGGCAGCAACCTCACCACCGCGTCCTAGCTTCACGTGGAAGGGCTCCTGGAGAGCCTCACTGGCCCTCCACGTCTGGACCTGTACACGCCCCACCTGTTCACTCCAGGACATCTGTTGAGCGCCTGCTGTGTGCCCACTGTGCTGCCCAGGGCTGGGCCTCTGTACTTTTCAGTGCCCGAGGGCCC